TTTTCAACCCGGGCAACACAGCCTCCCCTTGGAATCGACTGCTTCCATTAACAAGAGGAGATGTGAGAATTGGGCACCCGGGCCCCGCGCTTCACTCAACTACGGTAGCTCTCCCCCCTTTAGTCACCTAAAACACACACACAGAAGCCAAGAAGAAGCGGGGAAGATGGGGGACAGCCAATTAGTTCCCATCCTTTCTCGGCCACCTCTAACCCCCGGGAATGGGCAAGCGCGGAATCGCGTTAAATAAATCCAAGTGGGGGCCCACCTCGGCAGGCAGTGAGCACAGTTTTTCATAAAGCCACCCGCGGGGGAATTAGGCAGGCGACGCGACCCATCTGTCTTTGGGTAACACGAGAGCCAGCCGAGTATACTAATTCACTGCTGTGCTTCTGGGTTTTGGGCGCGATTTAATGAGAAATCGGGATTGGGAGTACTGGAAAAGTTTGAATTTATGTCGGTAACATCTACATTTTTAATATCAAACCATTGATTTTTCCACAAAGTAGCCGATTTTCGACCAAGCCTTGAAATTTGTAATGTTTCTAAGCTTCGTGAAATAGTAAAATAATACCTGAAACAGTAGGAAAATAAGTTACTAGGCATACCTGGACTTGTAGCGGAAAAAAAATTGGTGCCCGCCCCTGGAAATGCGACAAACGGTCGATTTTTGCGCATTCCATCCCCAAAACTCAGCCCGCCCCCGACTGCCTAAGCATTTTTGCCCAAAAACTTCTTGTTTTGGATGGACATCTTGTCGAACATGGGCCCACCTGAATGGTAGCCATTGTCCGAATTCTAATTCCCATTATATGGCTGTCAAGTGGAGAATGGGCCCTGTCAGCATCGGAATGTGGCCCCGGGGCATACCAACCCCGTTGCCCTCGATCATCGCTCCATTACAGCAGAGTTGCCCCTAATCGTGCGGATTTCAACGAACGATGCCCTCCCTGTACCCCCAGTCGGATTACCCGCATTGCACAATGGCCACATTTGGGTTTTTGGGGGAATAGGGTAACTACCCCCACGCTGTAACACTAACAATGCCCACACCGGCGAGATGGATGGGCCGCCCGGGGGCTTTTTCGGCTCGGGCAGCCTGCATGCGAAATGGAGCTGGACGACGCGGGGGTGGACAGCTGTACGAGTTACCGAACGCCGCGGTTTTTGTAGCGTGGGGGCTGGTGCGCGCGAAATCGCGCTCGCTGCGGTGGTTTGTCATCTTTCGACGCGGGGTTACGGTAGATGAGCTTTTGTGGTGATGCGGGTAATCGCCAAAGTTTTTGTAATTTTGTAATAATGTGATTTAGGCCAAAAACGGTTTCTCTCTAAGCTCAAGCTTTAAAGCTCGATGGAAAATTTGATTAAGGTTTACCTTAAATTAGGAATATCTCGGTGCCGTTTTTGACTCACAACGCCAGCCCTTCACCCCCACCACTTCCACACAATAGTGCCAATCTTTCGGGCTATTTGTGTGTGCGAGCATATTGCGGCCTGTTCACACCCCCCTTCCCTCTGCCCCGCAGTCCTCATATTAGCGGCAGATTGCCTAATGCGACAACACTAGTTCCCTCAGTGCCTCACACAACCCCTTCCCTTTACATGCTCGGGCCCCGATCCAATTTGTGAGTAAGACGGCCCGTGTTGGTCGACCAGCCCTCGCTTATTCGAATTGAATATTGCTGCGAGATTGGGGGGGGGGGGGTACTTCGTATGGTTAGAGGGGCCAGGAAATCCGGATTTCTGTTGACACGGGGCGGTTACATTTGCAAATCGAAGGCAGTCATTTTGAAAGATTTTGCTGAAAACCAGGTTTTTCCATACAGTAAACGATTAATAATCACTTTTTTTAGGTCTGCAAGGAGCACTCCTATCCAACGTCCTCGAGCCAATCCAACTCTCATCCGTCTACTTCGGCTCGATCGGCCAATATGAAGACGCCGAGCTTCGCCACGCCTTCTACAGTCGCATCGGCGCTTCCGTCACCGACGATACCGTCGTGGAGACAAGCAAGGTAATTTTCATTCAAAGAGATAATCTGTTTTTTCCAGTCCACCATCGTTCCAACCTTCACGCAGCCCCACGTGTGGACTCGTAACATTGAACATATCGAGACGCTCGACTTGAAGACAGGCCGCACCATCCGAGGCACTCCTTCACGTCTCAGCAAGGCCGAGCTCTTCGAGGTAAACAGTCTCATCTTTTCTGAAATAGTCTGATTTTCTAGTCGTTCATTCGTCAATATCCGGAGCTCAACTCGCACACCTACCTCGAACTGAAGCAGCGTTCCGAGAACTATCAGACAATGAAGGGCCATTTCCGCAATAAGGTATGCACTCTTTCTCTGATATCGTATTATGCTTTCTATCACCGAATTTCCGTTTTATTATCATTTTTGCAGCTCGCCGAGGTTGGCCTTGGTCACTGGCAGCAGAAGCCCGAAAGCATCGACGACTTCAAGGCTGTTTCCGCTTGAATTTGACCCTCGCTTCCCCTCGATCTAGCGAGTCTCATGATTGTTATAATTTATTCATCTCTAGGCGCTCCTTACAGCTCCTCCACCCCCATTTTGTATGATTTTATACTTGACAATAGGTATCCGGCGAAAATGCTCTGTGGTGCACCTCTGTACACACCTTTTCGAAAAGTCCACCAATTCGGCTCACAGCATCTTGCTGAAAATTGATTAACCCACCAAACTTGGGATTTTAATCGAGCCAAGGGTTTTCAAATTTTCGCGGAAACTGGCCGGAGGGGTGGACTATTTCGATGCGAGTACCGCGAAGCCATTTCCCGGTAGCCGTCAATCTATACCCTTCCCTCGCCAACTCCCCCCTGATATCTCCGAATTTGATCGCGTCGTAAAATTTCGTTTTGTTTAACACCGTCCTCTCATCTCTCTCTCCCGGCCCCACTCATAATCGTCAATTGTTATTTATTTCTCGGCCCTCAGCTGCGAATAAATGTCACTGGTTCTAGTTTTGTGACTTTCATTTGGGGGAAATCGCACCGGATGGGACTGTTAGGGCTTGAAAGCGATTTTCTTGAATTCTCGATTGTATATTTAGTTGTTTTAGGTTTCTAGAAGTGAACGGTCTTACGGTAACGCAGTGCAGCCCTCTGCATCAATCTCAACTAGCCGTGTTGGGGCTCCCCGGCTTGGGCCCCCTAAAATTGGGGTGCAAATATGGCGGTGGAATGTGTTGCGGCGTGGCCCAGGACCTTCGGGGTCCCCCGAGCCATCTGGCCCATGTCTCTCTTTGTCTTTGTTGACCGTCAACCTCCGGGAATTGACGGGTGGTTTTTACGTAATTACATGGCAAGTAAGAAATGGCAGGAGTGACTGTTTTGTTTGAACCTTGGGGTTTTTATGTAGCTATACACGATTTAGGTATTGGAGAATCGGCGAGCCTCTTCAGTAACTTCAGAATCTACGTAGAAAGCTTCATGCAAAATAGGAAGAGAAAAGGTGAATTTTAACAAGTTTTATACTACTTTTTAGATTTGTCAGGACAAGGATTTAGCTTCAAAGCGAGCCGGTCAGCTTCAATCCCATCTCAAGGCAATTCTACCGTTCGCAGGTATTTACCGGAAACTTTTCAAGAGCCACGCCAAGCTCACCTTGAACCACACGACAAGTATGACCATCTGCTTTTGGGCGGTCTCCCCCTTCTCCTACTCTTCTATGTGGTGGAGACGATTGGTGGAAGCATTGGAAGAGTTGAAGGCCCCCTGCGAGACCCCGCCCTCTTTTGAGATGGGCGACCATCCCCTGCGGGCCCTCCCCCTTCAGCCACCAAACTCTCACTAGTCCCTTCTCTCGGCCCCACCCCCTTTCCAACCACTACCATAGCCCCTCGGGGCACGGTGGTTGCAAGGGGGGCGCTCGTAGTTGAACTTCTTGGAAACTATGTTTTTCGAAGTTTATTCGAGCTTTAAAACTTTGTAAACTTTTCTACTTCTTAGATTCTATCGCTAAGAGGTGCTCCTTAAGATTCTACCTCTACCCATTGCTCTCCGGTTTAAGCGGGACTGCTCGAATATTATGAGGCTCGCAACGAGGCATTTTTGCTCGGAGTTCACCCGCAGCTTACTTGCGCTTTCAAACTTGCTTAAATGTCCTAGTTCCTGGATTTTAGATAGATGCACCTCAAGGTATCAATATCTCTAAACCTTGTCCTTGGGATTTTCAGCAGTTTACTTGTGCTTCTAAAGTTTGTCAAATTTCCTAACTCTTAGCTAGCTAGATTTTATCGCTTTAGATTTGCCTTCCGCTAATACCTATGATCAATGTTTTGTCGGTTGGACTTTAGACTTTTAGGAAGTCTTTTCTCTTCTCGAAACTTTTTAGTAACTTCGAAACTTTTAAATTTACTTTACCGTATTATATAATTCCTCGCTCTTTCCGCCCTCACCTTCTACAACTTCTCAACTTCTACTTCCACGCCAAAATTCCTGCACTAAATTTTCGCGCAATCTTTATCTCAACAGAAATAGCCCTGTGCCGGACCATTGTCCTCTTTTTGCACTTCCCCAGCTGCACGCCAAACTTTTGCCGGTGTTCCGGCACTGGGCACTTTTTGCTGATCTTTTTAAGCAGGCCTGCTTGGTCAAATTCCTTTGTCTCTGCTGGCCTGTCCCTAGGCTTATGCTTCTAAACATTGCAAATCCGGCCGTAAATTTTGGCCGTGCGTGTTTGCGTAACCTTTGAGTCAGCAGGGTCAGCGTTGAGCTTTTGGCTGGGCAAATTGGGGGTGTTAACCGATGGTCAGAGATTTTGGAAGTAATTTCTATACTTTTGTATTAAAAAGTTTTTATAGGGCTATTTTTGGCGAAGATTACTGCCTTTTTTCTGATAAACGCTTTTTCGTATTGTTTTATATCTCCTGGGTTTCAATTAAGAAATTCGGCAGTTTTTTTACCTGCCCGTGTAGATGGCTAGTTTTTAATGTTTTAAACCGCGCCTATCTTACCGTATACCCACCTCTAGGCACCATACGATGTCCGGCCTCTGCCAGCAGCAACAACAGCAACAAGAGCTGTGGCTGAGCCTTTTGGGCGCTGGATTGCCGTTGGCATTCCAGAATATCCCCTCGTTCCCCACACCCTCATCCGAACGGGCCGCCTCCGATTCGACGGCTTCTGATGCCGGCGCCGAGTCGCCCGACACCGCCCAGGTACTGTAATGTGGTTGTGTACTGGAATTTACACGTTTTGCAAACTTTTTGATGCTACCAAAACTCCAGGATACCCCAAAATTCTCCTGGAATCTTTGCTAGAATGCCTGAATTCTGTGGTGTATAGCTAGAAGATTCGCCGGGGTTTCTTAATTTTAAACTTTTCTGCCGCGCTTGAATTTGGCTATTCTGTTTCCCTAAAAATCTTTGCTTAAACTTATCCGCTGGTCTTCCTAGATTATTTTTATTGCCTAAGTATCTTTGCTAGTTCGCTCTGTTCTTTTCGTATGAAGATCTAGAATTTGAACTTTTAGCCCTGTTCAAGCCAGATCAAGCTCCTTAAAATCTTTGCTAGCATGCCCTGATTTTTAACGTTTAGCCAGATCTCGGTAGATACGAAAATCTCAAAATTAACCCCCTATTCATCATTTGTATAGCCTGCCCATCTAAACAATGGGTTAGCTCAAGAAATGCCCCTACTATTCAACCATTGACTTTTCAAACAATACGCTGAATTCCAGGGAACCCCAACGGCCACCCCGACCACTGATGACACCGGCCCACCACCCGCAAAACGGAGGAGAAAACCGGAAGGTGACCATTTTGACTTCACCGCTCCTTTAAAACCCACTGCACACGTCCTTGGCCCAGGTTGACGGCCATGCAAAGTGCCTTGCAAGGGCCCCCGGTTCGAAATTCGAAATAAGTCCCGGTATGCAGCTGCCGTGTTTGTCTGTCTCTCTCGGTTTGTCTCTCTGTCTGTCTGTATGTCCGTCTTCTCTTCTCCCCCATCTGTCCTTGCTATATTGCGCCCTGTGGACGACTTATCGCCACCGTACATCTGCCTTCTTGCCGCGGTCCAACTGTTGGCCCATTAGTTGGCCGCCACCCCTCGCAAAGAGACGGCAGCTGGGGAAAAAGCACAAGTTTTTGTATGCGGCGGGTTGAACTCTGCGTAAAAAGGAGTGTCAAATCGGAAAAAAATGTTGTAAAGGTTTAAAAAAACTACAAATACGTGAAAACCTGGGGTAAAAACTGACCTTTGTAATAAAAAAATTGCTTTTTAAAAGTTAGAAAACCAAAATACATCAAAACTCGGGGGGGAAGTGATGTTTCTGAAATCAAATGCTTTTAAACGTTTAAAAACTGATCAAAATAAGGCGAGATGAAGCAATTTTTCGGATCGAACATGCCGTTTTTAAAGTTAAAAATTAGTGCGAGTGAAAGCACATTTTTCTATGAAAATCTCTCAAAATTCACCCTTGAAGCGTTATAGCGTGGAAGAAAATAAATCCGGATAGAAAAATATGCTAAAAGGTAAAAAAATCAAAACTCTGTATTATACCTTTTCTACTAAAAACCGATTAAAATTCAATCTTCAAGTTTTGCCACTTGGAAATCGAGGAGAAATGTTTCACGTTTAAAAGTCCGAAAAACTTTAGACCTCGAAAATTATGCAAAACTCCTAGCGATTTGAAGCGACCGAAGTCCGATCAAAACTCACGCCCCAAGCTCCGCAGCTTGCAAATCAAAATAAACACATTTCTAGGGGAAAGTGATGCGACCCGGACAAAGTGATGCCATTTTGTTTGGTGATTCATGAAAAAGTGGGGGAAAAGTGGTTAGTAGCTAGGACATTTACGTCAAATAACCCCTGGGCCCGGGGGTTGCGCGTAAAATAGCGGCTACAAATTACGCGACGGTGCCACCTTTCCGGGGGGTGGACTCACTTTTGGTAGGGGCCCAAAATTCCGGAAGTAATGTGGGGTTTGAAGCGGAAACTGTCTAGCCAGGACCATTTTAAAGGGATGTTTTACTCTGAAAATTATTTATTGTTTAGGTACTTTCGTATTTCTGTAAAAGCTTTACAAATTTTATAAAAAACCCACAAAAAATTAGATTTTTTCTATAAAATATCGCCGATTTTCGACAAAAAATTTCATTTTTGAGGGCTTTTCGAAGTTTGTAAATGATTTTTACGCTTTAAATAGGCTAAAGTTGACTAAAGAACTAAAGTTATATCGGGATTTACTAGAAAAATTCGGTTCTCCCCCCCCCCCATGATGGTGCGAAAGAACCGAGAAAACACTACTTTTATATAGAAAAATCGAAAAATGAAGCCTAGCCAATTTTACGAGCCATTTATTCATCCTTTGTACAAAGTTCCCAAAAATTCCCTAAATACTTCCCGCTAGCCTGCCCTCGCCCTCTCCTTCCAACTCCGCCATACATCACGACGCCATTTGTATTCTTGTGGAGTGCGTCAAGCGACGCGAGTAGTGTGCGGATTTTTGTAGCCAACCAAAAGCGGCACCCGCAGCATTGTTTTGCGCATTCCGAGAACTAACAAATTGCGTGCAGAAACTGAACAACGCCGGGGCCCGGCTACAAAAAGTTTTGCGGGCAGCCGAGGCGCTTTGGGGTTGTTTCCGGGTTGGGTAGTATTGAAGCTGGGTTGGAAATGGGGAAATAATAGCTTTCAGAGAAAAGCAAAAAGTGTGTCGCTGGCGGGGTTCGAGCCCCGGTGGTGTGGGTGACGAGCGAGAGATTAACCAATTACCCAGACAGGAGGGGGCGGCCGGGGAGACGGGAATTTTTTATTTTAATCGAATTTTAGCGAAATAATTCGTATTTTCATGTTTTGAAAGATATATTATACTTTATGAACGGCACCAACTCTAAATAGCGTTAAAAATAGACTATCTACTATATATAAATTATATTTTATTTGTTGAAAATTTTATGTTTGAAAATTCTTAAAATCGAATTGTAGTATGATATAGTATGTATTTCTCTAGAGTGTACAAAGTTAAAAATAAAGCTAAAAATATTACGCCGACCTAAAGAAATTCAGAAAATTCTGTATTTTAAAATTTTTCCACAAATCGATTACACCACCCAGCAAGTGTTATATATTATTTTTCCAGTGTTATTTCCGTAGAGTAGTAATTGTTTACGCCCCCCCCATTAAGAGGTGTGTACCCAGACGAGAAGATTCCCCAGGGTATCCCCCCTCCAACCATCCAACTTTTAATTAGCCGCCACACCGCGCAAACTTTCGCAAATCTTGCTCCCGTCGCCAGCCACTACGGGCAGCTTGGAATAGCCGAGTCTCGAGTTTATGCAGATTAATCGGATTTGAGCGCGATCCGCTGGAATCTCTCAGCAAATCCGCCGGCTTCGGCACAACACAATCGTCCCCCCTGGGCCCCAAGGAGGCCCATATTTGACCCAATCCCCCCGGGTTGTTACCCCTCACTGATTACTGTTACTCCATCGATTTGCGGTGGTTTTTAGGGTATAGGGTTTTTACAGGGTGACCAGTTGAAATGTATACAGCTCGATATTGATAGAAAGTGCCATAAAAAATTTCCCAAGCTTTTTTAAATCTTTCTGCTCATTGTAGGTAAGCAAAACCATTAATACTAATAAAGTATCAACAGATTTTGAAGGCAGTTTCGGTTGGGTGCGAAATGCAACTTCCAAAATGTTGCTCGAGGCGAAGAAAAAGTTCGCCAAAAGGCCGCAACTCCAAGTCGGATACTTTGTTCCGCCCTGCAGCCCCCGAGTGCTTCAATGGGCTCAGATTTTGCCATGATGTAAAGAAGATGTATGCCTATAACATAGACAATTATGGTAATTTTTGGACACAAGTCCTTTCGACACGAAGCTTTTTATGGCAACCTAGTCGGAACAAGAAATCGGCTGCTGAGCTAGGCTCGGACTAGTTTCGCTCGTAAAAACTCGCGGCAAGCTTTTTGAAGCACCAAATTTTGCACAAAGATGCTTGTTTGCATAAGGATAGACATTATGAACATCGATAAGCTCCTTAATCCGTTTTCGCCAGTTTTTGAGCTCCAAATGCCAAAAATCGCGCCCATTTTACACATGAAGGTCAAATTAAATCTAGATTCGAGATTTCAGTATTCTGAACGTTTCTAAACTTACTTCGGATTGTTTTTGACCGAAATATATTATTCCATGCACTGCCGATGGCCCCTACAAAATTCAGACTTAATTTTAACACTGTAACAGCAAGCCGATGAGAGCTGCGGCCCACGACCGCATAATGAGCCTCCCTTCTGAAGCTCTATCCAGAAGCACAGAGCAGTCAACTTAGAACCCAATCAATATGTGATGATCTAACTCATCATCTTTTGTTTTATTCATCAGAAAAGTTTGGGTTCAGCTTCTGGCAATTTGTAGAGGCAAAAGTTTTGTATACACTTTCTACTGGTCACCCTGTAAAGCTCGTTGCGCCTTTGAAAGCCAAACTTTTGAATGGCTATGGTTTTTTAAAGCTTATCAACTCGGCTGGGCCAATGTCAACCCCAAAAACCGGTGATTTATGCATGAAATTTGCATAGAAAAATCCCGCTGAGGCTGTTGGCGCGTCCGTGAGAAAATTTTGATAAACACCTTGTTTTTTTAAACTTATGAGCTAAACCGAAAAACTACAGATTTATGCGTAAAATTTACATAAAAAGGGCGGTGAGTAGCTAAATATGTCCGTGAGAAAATGGTGATATAGCTAAGAAAAACTAGTTTTTTTTCTACTTATCGTACTCCAAGCTTCATAAACCGATGAATAAAACTATATTTTTAGCCAAGGACATTGTACGCCTTCAAGACGACGTCATCCCGCAGCTGACCCCGGTGCAGGAGGGAGTAGGATCCGTGGAAGAGGCCGTCGTGGTCGAGCAGACCACACCGGAGAAGTGCGACATTTTGGGCGAGTTGGAGCGGTAAGTTTTTCACGGTTTCTTAATTTTCTAAACTTTGGCGTCAGTGAGACTCTCCGAATTAGTCCTTCTCAAACTTTTCGCTAGGAAAACTTTCAGAAGCCCCTCACCGGCCCAAACCCCGACGAGCCGTTCCGATTCCCCGACGCACCCATCGACACCCTCCGCGCGCGGAATGGAGCTGCCTGCCGGAGTCTTGCCGACCTTCTCCCCTCCGCCCGCCAACCTGTCCCCATCAGCCATCCCGAATTGGACCCGAAATCGAGGTCGGTATTTTTGTAGAGTTTTAAAGGACCTATAAGTGCCAGAAATCCCGTTACTGCCCGAAAAGCAGGGCCCTGTACGCCGAACGCGTTTGCACATGCGGACGGAGCTTCTTGAAATTAACTGCCTCAGCCTCGGCTTTTGGAGCGTAATGAAAAACTCATAAAACCCATAATTTCAGGCTCCGACGCGAATAAACTGTCGTGTCCGACACCCGGGTGCGATGGGAGTGGCCATCAGACGGGACTGTACACCCACCACCGATCGTTGTCTGGATGCCCGCGTCGCCCGGACAAGAATACGATACAGCGTACGTTTTTAGGGGTTTAAAACGCAAATAAAGAGCTAAAAAGCGACCCCTTCCCTTCGCTGGGTGGCGCTAGCTACGCGGCACAATTGCCTTGCGGGACCCTTTAACAACCTCCTAAATGAAACGGCAACTTTGTAACTTCCGTAAATGCACTTCTCCCCAATTCCGCGGCAATCCGATCCGGCACTTTGTCACTTCTCGTCCTTCTTGGGCTGTGGAAGTGGGTGGTGTGTGTGCAGAAATGCATGACACCTGGTGGGACTCGAATTGCCGGCTGCCGTTTTGCCATCTATGGACACAACAGCTCGTTGACAAAGTGCCCCACCTCACCACGGCCACACACTTTCCCCTCGTAAATGCAACCCCCCGGGAGCTGGACGAGAACTTGTTAGCGGTACGGTATCTGGAGTGATTTTAGTTTCAGGGTTTCTTCGACTTTAGGTTTTTGGAAGCGGGATTTTTACTAAATTTTTGCATTTTGAGCTTTATATCGAAAGCAAAGCTCAAACCAATCCAAAAAGCAAAAAGTAAAACCGGCGCGGGAATCGAACCTGCGAGCTCTGCGCGTCAGTTCTCGATACTTACCACTTAGCCACGCGATTTTAAATCCAACAATATAGAAAATTCCGTTATCACCCCAAATTTCCAAATTCGTTTCCAGAAAACTGCTAGCTTAATCTTTTTTGTCTGAATAACCTTTTCAAATTGCTATTTTAGCCTTTAAAAAGCGGCTAATTTGTCGATTAATATCGTCTAGATCGAAAACTATCTAAAATTACGACCTAAAAGTCGTACAGTCTATTTTTGTTCCACAAGTTTTGCGGGGGCCCGGTGTGTAAAGTGGAAAGTGGGGAATCCCGGCCGGAATTTCAGCCAATTCCCCCCTGGCGCGTGCATTGTTTGCAAATATATTCGCTGGCCCTTCGTGGGGGGGGGGGAACAAAGTGATCCCCCTGGAAAGTTGTATATTTGCCCAAAAAATAGCCTCGTAAAAACGGGGCTATTGTCTCGAATTGAGAACTCTCCCCGCTTCGGGCTGAAAAAGGGGATGCTAATGACCCCTGTCTATGATGACCAGGGGGCCCACAGGTGTCCCAATATAAGCCCAGAAAAAAGCCTCCCTCTCCCGTCCCCGGAAACCCGAATAATACGCCCAAATGCACTAATTTGGGGGTCATCCAGATATGGGATCTTGGGGCATCCAGGGATTCACACGGGGGATTAAGGGGCTTTGGAAATATACAGGTCTCAAGGAAGCGTGCCAGCCGAGACAGGGCAAGCTTGCCGAGATTCTTAGGAGAATGGAGGAACTAAATTAATTTAAATTTATAGCTTAATTAACTATAAGGTAAAGCTGAAATGGCAAACTAGCAGCGATCATTGGAGAAATCTATGGAACGCTAGCAGCTATATTCGGGAAATCTACCGATTACGCGCTATCATTATGATAAATAATATCTGTATTAGGTATTATGATAAATAATAAATATGATAATTATGGTCAAGGAGAAATCATTAATTCGGGAAACGATACCTAGCAGAGATCATCGGAAAAATTTTTCGGCTGGTTAGCAAAGACCCTTTGAAGCGATCACGCTATAAAAATAAGCAATCTAAATTTAGTCTGCCACTGGGGCAAACTAGCAGAGATCATTTGTATGAGCCCTAATGACCGGGGAAAGAGCACTAATGGTCCGCTAGCTAGCCACAAGGGCAAGCTAGCAGAGCCAATTTAGGAAAGTCAAACCTGGCACACTGCCGTTAATCACTCTCCAAATTAGAAGTGCCCAAAAAGACCAGATGGAAGATTCATATTCCCAGACTGTCACACTTCAGCCAGATTGCCTCCGCCGGGGTGCCAAACTTTTCTCTCACCTGTTATGTTCCCATTTCTCTCATTCTCTCTCTCTCTCTCTCTCTCTCTCTCTCTCTCTCTCTCGGATCTCGTTACGGTAATTATCACCCCAACCTCGCTCTCATGTACCAGAGATGCTATCGGCTGACGGGAGATCGTAGTCAACATTATAAGGTTTTTGAGGGGCTGGGATTCTAAAGGATTTCTGCTAGCCTACCCTCCTAAAAGATCTCTGCTAGCCTGCCTTCTCCTAAAGAATCTTTGCTATCCCACCCTCCAATCTAAGTTTACCAATTATATCACCAAGCCCGTCCTCTAACCCGATATCCGATTTCTTTCCCCTTTTTAGGCTCTCCTGAAGGGTCTCTCCATGCATACACCATATGTCGGGGCCAAACCCCCTTAGGGAGGCAAAAAGTTGACTGTGTCTCTCTGTCTCTCTTTCTCTGTCTGTCTGTGTGTCTACCTGTCTGTCGCACATCTGTCGTCTTTACTCCTCTTTCTGCAGTCACAGCCCTAACATGGTCTCCCCCTCTAATGCACTCCAACCACTCACTCACTCGGCCTAGGCCTCATTTGAATACGGGGCTTTTTAAAGGGATCGAAAGGTGGGGCTGGCTGGCAGAGATTTTTTAGGAATTGGTGACAAACTAGAGGCAATCTAACAGAGACGGATTGCGGAAAGAGCAGGCTGGCAGCGATCTTTGGAGAAACTAAAAAAATTGTTTTTATTACAGTACTCTAACCTAGAACTGGCCAGCTAACAGAGATTCTTCGAGAAAACGCGAGATTTTCGACAATCTCCCTTAAAAGTTATCAAACAGCCAAGAAAAGTCATCCGGTTCGGCAAGCTAGCAGAGACCATTTGCGGAATTTGGGTTTTCAGGAGGGTAAGCTAGCAGCGATTTTTTGTTGAAATCCGACCTTCGGGTCTACCGGTCTTCGGTCTAAAACTAGCAGAAACCCTGACTAGAAATCGGTTTTGATGAGGGCAATCTAGCACAAACCCTTTGCGGACACCGGAGCTCCAACCCGGGAAAACTAGCATAGACCATTCGCCGAAAGTCAACTCTCGGCTCCCACCACTCCACTAATTACCACCCCAAAATGGCGCAACAACTCCCCCAGCCAGGTGCACACCCAGGGGCGGCGAGCTTTTCATGAAGTCTCTCTATGGCCTGTCTATCATCTCCCAGATCGCATGGCGCGAAATCCGGGCGCCCGCTGTGACGGTGTCCTTTTGGGGGTGGGTACTGTAATCTGGGTACTTTTTAGGGCACCTGGAACTCTGTCGAAAGTCGCTTTTCGGAAAGCCACACCGGCTACCGTACACCCCAGCCCAAACTTTCCCCTGAAATGGCATTCAACGGGGGGAGAAAGTCAGCCGGGTAAATCCGCATTGGGAATTAGGTTCGTTGTTGGGTTGGCGAGAGAGAGAGAGAGAGAGAGAGCAGGGGAAATCCGAAAAAAAGAGGGCCACCTGTCGACTCACGGCTCTGACCGGCCAGTCAAGGGGGGACCAACATGCAAATTGGGTGAACCACACTAGGGGGAGAGAGTTCCATTTTGAATTCACTTTCTCGGGCAGTAACAAGAGGACGGGGTGCGTTTTAAAGGGGTGTAAAAATTACCGTCAATGGTCTCTGCTAGTTTGCCCGTGGAATTCGAGAATTTGCGCAAATGGACGATGCTAGTCTGCCATCGTAATCCGAGAATTTCCCCCAAATTACCCCTGCTAGCTTTTTCCCTGTAATTAATGAAATTCGTCAAATCCTGACGGCTAGGTCGCCTTGTAATCACGGAATTCCGCAAATGACTACGGCTGGCCTGCCCTTAAAGGGATGCCGACGGCATAGCCAATCGGTTACGCGCTGGAAAGAAAATGTCTCTGCGCCTCTCCCCGGTGCGCGCTCTCTGCCCTGTTGGCTACTTGCCAATTTGTTGATGAGGGGGGATCGACACATGCCGTCGGCAGCCCTTTAAAATTGGAGAATTTGTGCAAATGGCGTTTGCCAGGCTGCCCTGCTATTCCAGAATTTCCTCAAATTCCCTCTGCTAGCCTGCCCTCAACCCATGAAGAAAAATTTGTGACCCCCAGCTGTGACCAGCCGACCCCTTTGTTTTACCCGAAAAACCGCCACACTTCCCCGATGTCCTCAACTTTTTCCGCGAGAGTACTATCGACACAGGCAGTACTCGGGCACTTTGCATATCCAGCTGTAGAGGTTCACCACGCGGGATTCCCGACGGGACCGGGGGGAAGGGGGAATAACTAAAGTATCGAATTGAGGGAAAATGGCAATAGGAGTGTATCGGAAAATAGTCGCTATAGGCGGATTATAGGCGAATTGCATGGCGTGTATAGATCAACTACGAAAAAGACCGTTAAATTTCAAAAGTGCGATAACGAATTCCGGGTTATTATAGCGTTCAGAGGAGTACAGCGGAATATGAGGCGTATTCTGAATGGCATGGTGTATGCGATTAAATTACCGCAGCTTCCTAGTTAAAATTTAGCTTTAAAAAGTGTGACATCTACTTGGGACGTGATTTTGACTGTGCAAAGGACTGTAGCGGAAAATTTAGCGTGCACCGAATTACACGACGTGTACAGTTAAACTGCCAAAAACTCCAGAGTTTCACTTCAAACAGTAGTTAGCAATTTGAAGATTTCTGAAAAACTCAATCACTCCCCATTGCGGCTGATGGACAAATGGGCATTTTCAAATCCGTCCACCCCGCACCCATCCTTCTCACCCCCGAATTGACCCAAACGATCAGCCAGCTGCCGGCAGATTTTCCCGGACCCCTAAAGTGTGCCCCCTGGAGGGGATCGGGGGGAAGGAAAGTGGAACTTCCGTTTGAACACTTTGAACGGGCACAATTCAACCATACGACAATCCTCCGATTTCCTAAAGAATCTGTGCATAAAGAATCTCTGCTAGCCTGCCTTGAAACTTGGACAGACCGGGGGATTTTTCGGCTAGCTTGCCTGGAAAAATCTATCCGAACTTGATATTTTATTTCCTAAAAACCTCTGCTAGCCTGTTTTTACAAAAGTTGTTTTACCCAATAATTTTCACTTCTAAAAAGCTTGACCGATTCGCCAATTTCACGAGTTTACCAAAAACTTCCCGAACATCCAATGACAAAGTTTCCACCCCGGATAAGCCACGCCCCCTTCCCCCCTTTCCGCAGCTTCTCCTCTGCTCTCCGCTACCGCACCCCAGCCCCCCGAAAAGTTGTTTTTCGTAGCCGCCCGTACCCAGCAAAGGACCCTCGGCAAAACCATCATCTCCTCCGCCCCCCCCCCCCTGCCCGAAAATGATACTCAGCCCGGCTGAAAAACAAATACTTCGTCAAATCCCTCGGGACCCCCATTCCAAGAATACGACGGACTTTGCATTCCCAGTGTTAATTTAGGAATTGGAAACTGAGGGAAAAGGGATATAGAAAATCGTTAGTCTCGTGTCCTAACCCCTTTAAAAGTTCGATTTCAGTACTCGCCCTCGGCCAAGACACCGTACTCCGTTGCCAAACGCCCGGCTGTACAGGAAAGGGACATGTCAATAGGTGTGTAGCGGAATTCAGCTCAGGAATGTCGAATTCAATTTTTCGAAAATTGTTTTGCGGTATTTCGATATTTCAGTTTGTCGAAATTTAAATATGTCGAAAATCTTGCATCAGACCGATCTGTTACTGCCAGAAAATAGCGACGTCGTCACTATGATTTCGACAATTTGAAACGTCGACAACATGAAATGCCGACAAGTGAATATCGACAAATTGAAATTTGACGTCGAATATAGAAAAATCGTAAATAAGACGTATAGTGGAACTGTACCTTTATCCATTTTTAGCAATCGAACATCCCATCGCTCCCTCTCCGGATGCCCCATCGCCTACCAGCAAAAGTTGGCCCGAAAGGGCATCAAGGTGGGCGAGCAGAGATTTTTGGGGAATTCGGGACATTGCCTGACCCAGGCAAGCTAGCAGAAACGAATTGCCAACTACCACCTGAATGAAGCCCCGGGCTTTCAGATGCAATCCCCAGCGGTCCCGTAAAATCGGCGCAAAAAGCGGTAGACACGCCGCTGTCAATGGTCACGCCTCAGATACCTAATCTCCCGCAGGTAATAAAATACTATTTAAGGCTTTAATATAATCATTATCAACGTTAATTTATTAAAACACAATTTCCAGTTCAACTCCGACCCCGAGAGCCCGCTGGACCTGACGCTCCGAAACTTGGAGCAGCTTCAGAAATCGATGCAACCGCCCGAGCCTCAGCCACAGCTGCATAACAGGTAAAGTTTGCTTTCTTTTTCCTAAATTTTCTTTGCTGACCTGCCTGAAAATATACCGTAATTTTCAGCATATTCCTCGACATGCTGCAACAATTCCAAATGGGCCGTCTTCCCCCATTCCTGCCAACCCAGCCCGCATTCCCACCGGGACTCCTCGGAAACCCATTCCTCCAGCTCGGCATGATGCCAAATTTTGAGGTCAGCTTTTCGGAAATTAGAAAAAAACTTATTTTACACTTTACTAAAAAGCTAAAAAATATAATAGACGATAGCGAATCGAAAATATTGTTAAACACTTTTTTTTTTAAGTTAGAAGCAGCAGTACAAAAAAAACACTTAGTTAGACGAGTTTGCTCAGATACCTATGATTTTCGAATATGATCTCATGTGTAAAATTTTAGCTTTATTTCGGTTAATCATAGAACTCAGAATCTTTAACAAGTTCTGAAATGCTAAAATGAACGTTACTTCAGGCACCCCGACTCGCAGCCCCCAAGCAAATCTCGCCGATCAGCCCTGCCCCTGCAGTGGCTGAACAGACCGTCAAGGAAGAGCCGACCGAACAGCCCCAAGAAGCCCCCATCGACGTCGACGAGGAAAAGCCCTCGTCCGCCGAGCCGACCCAACCAAGGCCCGAGCCCCAAGCACAATCCCCCGCTGAGCAGGTAGGCCACAAACAAAGAAACAAACACATAAAAACCCCAAAAATAAACCAAAGTCTAATCGTGCCCGTTTAAAGGAGAAGCTGCCCGAGCTTCCGCCCCTGTTTGCCGGCCGCATGTTTGGTAGCCCTCTTCAACTCGCCCAGCTGTTGGCACAATTCCAGCAAGCGCAACCCATGTGAAAAGTTTTTTTTGTGATGATCTGATTTTGTGAACTAAAAAAGGGTTGGGAAGTTGGAAATGTGTCTCACCTTTTTGTTAAACTCAAAAAGTTTCAATTTAACGCTAGAAATGTAAAAAAAAACTTCCGCTTCCCAAACTTTTTAAAGGGACAATCGCGTGCCAAAAAGCGAAACCCTGAAAACGAGGAATTCCTAGAAGCGCACAGTTTACAGGCGTTCATTGGAGCCCCACGTAGCGGAATGTAGCAACGTCGGGCTCCAATTGTCACCAAATCGCAAGTGCTTTGATAATTCCTAACCTTTTCAAACATTTTGGCGCGAGATTGACCCAAAAATTCTAGGCCAACACTTTGACATTCCTTCCTTTCCCCCTCTTTTTTTCTGAATATATCTGACCGGTGTAGGCGATTTCAACCCTTCTCTGCACACCCAGAAATCGCCACCCATCTACCGCCGCCAAATTGTTGATTGAAACATCCTTTTTCTATCAGACGTGGGTGAGACAACCCACGCACATATCCGCCCAAGCTATCCGATATCACCAGACTGTAATAGATGCATATTATGATTACCTATCATCATCTCGAAGGTTCATTATCTCGAAAGTCATTATCTCGAAAATTTCATACTGGTTTTACCATTAATTTTCTTGATTTCGGATGCAATTTAACACAGTGAAATTTTCGAGGTAATGAACTTTCGAGATAATGAACTTTCGAGATGTTGATTTTCGAGATAAGGACAGAACTCCGCATATTATTATACCTATCAGTATCATTATTTATATCTATGTACTTTTCCGCCACTGCAGCTAATAGACCAAAAACGCCCCGCAACAAATTTGCCCTCCCAAATGCCAAAATGATATGTGCATGTCTCTCAAATGCCGTTCGCTTTATTATTTCGCTCTCTCTCTCTCTCTTTTGTGTTTCTTTGCCAATGCTACCCCGGAACAAATTCATTGCATTTTTCGAACTTTTCTTCTGTGAATTTGATTTGTTAGTGATATTTTTAAAGTATAAACTTTTTGAGAATACCATAGAGTCTTGTTATCTAAAATACACCCAAAATAGTGTTTTCGACAACTTATTGTTGTTAGTAAAGCGAAAAAAAAAACGAAAATCGACTTTTAGGAACATAATCGAGCTGTACAAAGCATGCCTCTGTTCATCTAACTGTCCACGGACGTTGTAAAGTGTTTTTCGATTTTTTTTTTGCTAGAAGGCCCATTTTTATCGAAATGTTCTTAGAAAAGGCTTTTTACTAAATAGATTAAAACGTTCTATGAAAATTTCGTATCTTTTGTTACCCCGATCCGGTCAAGGCAAGCCAGATTTTGTTTTGTTTCTACTTTACTGATAGCCTGTAGTTTTATTGACCTGTCACTTCAAAATCGGAAATATATTATCAAACGAACCCGCAAACAATAGACCCCCAATCCCAAAAGATTCAAAAGTCCTATGGCTACAACGATCCCCGCCGTTCGTCAGCAAGTGACACTTCCATAGCCCGAAAATCCCGTTTGCTCTCAAGATATTTATTTATCGAGGGGGAAAAGCTAAAACAGAAAAAAAATTCTGTCCAATTTGTCCCAAAAAGAATCAGGAATTTGAACCATAATAAAGCTCAAAATTGCACTATTCTTTGAGGAAGGGAGGAACGTGTTCTCTCCACAGCAGACAATCGGCTCGTTAGACTTTTCACCGGGCCACAGCCGAACTCTTCTGAAATTACGCGCCTACAGTAGTAGGAGCCCCGGTTGTTCCGCTCCCATTGTTTTTTTTAGCGGCAAAGATGGAACTCTTTGGCCCGGGATTTCAATACGCGCAAATTGACGAGCCTTGAAAAATGTGGATTGTCTGATCTCGATGGCTTTTAGTAAAATTCCAATTGAAAAGTGTAAATAAATATCTTAGAAGGGACCAAAAGAGCACTCTTTGTTTTAATAGAGTAAAATTTCGTCCAGGGGCCGAGCCCGATAAACTAGGCAATTAAAGTTATATGTTCTTTTGCTCACAAACATGAATAGATTACAATTTAGCTCATTGCACGCCAAGAATTTCTCTATCGCGACTCTGATTGGGTTTAGGGAGGTGTTATGACACTTTTAGGGCGTTAAGACCAGTTTGTCACATCAGATTTGCTACTTCTGAATCATCATTTAGTGCCAGCTCCAATGTAAGACTTCCGCTTCTGCTACAACCCTTGTACCCCGGGGCCTACTTTCGGCTAAACCGCCATGCAACCGCGGCTGCGTCGCGTCAAAATATAAGAGGAATTACCTCGCGTGTGCGACCGGATTTCAACATGTCCATTTTATTTTTACTCGGTTAGTAAAGCGCCCGCGGGCGCGCCCGAAATTGCGCCCGCGGGCGCGCTCACGGGCGCGCCCTCGGGCGCAATGGCCAAAAGCGCCCGCGGGCGCGCCCGAAACTCGAAAGCGCCCGCGGGCGCGCCCCAATCGCGTTGTAACGGCGTAGGACGGGTTCTTTTAATGCTTTTATTATTTAAAAAAGGGCACTACATCGCTTTTGACGATGCTGTACCCTATACTTAAAGGGATGCCGACGGCATGTGTCGATCCCCCCCCATCAACAAATTGGCAAGTAGCCAACAGGGCAGAGAGCGCGCCCTGGGGAGAGGCGCAGAGACATTTTCTTTCAAGCGCGTAACCGATTGACTATGCCGTCGGCATCCCTTTCATGTAGATCTTCACGTTCCCTGAGAAATTGGTTGCACTGCGCACCTGAAATATGTTTTTTTTTTTGCTTTCTTGGCTTTAGCTTCGTTTGGAACTTACAGATACATCCGAATGCGCGATAGACGGCCCCTAAAAGTGTAGCTAATTACCTAATTTCCTTTATAAACTTCGTAATTCGCACTTACTTTCTTCCCGCTTCCTGAAAACTTGCTTTTATTTGCTTCTTGCCGACTTACTTTGCAACTGCGCCCCAGAGATATCGGAAACGTCGCGCTTCCCATTTGCAATGACGACCATGATCGTCTGAAAGGTTGGCTTATATAAATCGAGAATCTGTAAATCTAAATCTAAAGTATTTTTAAAGTTTTTTGAAGGGACTGGTTGCGTAGCAAAACTTTACCTTCGTTACCTGCGCCATGGCGCTTCAAAGTATTGTATTCTACATTCGACGACGATAACCAAGCAAATCTAGTAACGTTTGTGCTAATTTATATATATTTTGAACAAAAATAAGTGCATAAGCCAGGGACTTAGCCGTTTTTTCGCAGAATTGAAAGGTGTTCACCATTCAAATGCGCCCGCGGGCGCGCTCCTAGTTGCGCCCATGGGCGCTTTTTGCGCCCCGAGCGGTTTTGCGCCCTTGTGCAAAAATTGCGCCCGGGGCGCAAAAGGGTCCAGTTCGGGCGCGCTCGCGGGCGCTTTGGGTTTTCGGGCGCGCCCGCGGGCGCTTTGCTAACCGAGTACATTTTTCTACTTCCTCCTAGAATTCGAAATCAGATTTGCACAAATTCGATGTTTCTTGTTGACAGTCCTTAGCATCCCGCTAATCAGGCGTTCCAGAACTGAAATGGGTATACGCGAGCGGCTCGAACGGGATCTGGCTGACAAGAAAGTTCTCGTCGTGGGAGCTGGAGGAATCGGGTGTGAGCTGCTTAAAGATCTAGTGTTGACTGGCGTCAAAAATATTCATACGGTGGGTATAATAATATTTGGAATTGCAAAAATCTGCTACAGATCGACCTTGACACTATTGATGTCTCCAATCTCAACCGACAATTTCTATTCCGGCGTGAACATGTGTCAAAGGCAAAGGCCGAGGTAATGAGTTATTTTTAGAATATAGACGCCCTTTAGGTGGCTGCGGCCAGCGTCAAGAATCTTCAGCCGGATGTCAACATCACATATGATCACGATTCGATTTTCAAGTACGTACGGCTTTTCTAATAATAGTGTCTATTTCTAGTGGCGAAAAATACGGGGTCCAGTTCTTCAAGGGATTTGACGCTGTCGTCAATGCTCTAGATAATCGAGGTACGATTCTTTGGCTAGAATAATTTTTTTTCAGCGGCGAGAAGCCATGTAAATCGCCTCTGTCTTTCGGCCGATGTGCCTCTGATTGAAAGTGGTTCCGCTGGATATCTTGGACAGGTGCAAAAAGTTGTTTGGAAGTAAATTTCTTTTCAGACCGCTGTAATCCTAAAGGGCCAGACGGAATGCTACGAGTGCGTGCAGAAACCGGTTCAGAAGACCTTCCCTGGGTTTGTCGAGTGAATTTGTTTTTATTCTATTTAGTTGCACAATCCGTAACACCCCCAGCGAACACATCCATTGCACCGTTTGGAGCAAACATTGTTTCAAGTAGGTCGCTTCCACTTTTTTGCCAAAAAAATTTCCAGCCAGCTGTTCGGCGAAATGGATATCGACGATGATGTTTCTCCCGATTTCCAGGACCCTGAGAATCAAACCAACGGAACTGAGGCCGGCAAAGAAAATCATGTTTGTCCCCCATTTTTGCCATCTGAATATTTTAGGCAAACGGCGCTAACGGAACCTCGAATAACGACAGCGAAGCTCGCCCTGAACTGCCCAATACACGTCAGTGGGCCGAGATGCACGATTACGACGCTAAAATGATTTTCAACAAGGTACGGCTAGCTAAATCCATTCCTAAGGCTTATTTTTAGCTCTTCCACGATGACATCAGCTACCTACTTTTGATGAAGGACCTTTGGAAGACACGTCGAGCCCCGAAGCCATTAGAGTAAGCCTAGCCTGAAGTCAAGTTCTTATGATATGCATTTTAGCTGGTCCAACGCTACGAGTGGAGACTTTGGTGGTGGCAGCACAGAGATGACTGACGAATTGACCAACGTGACAAAGCAGTGGACTATGTCTGCATGTGCCAATGTCTTCAACGAGGCTGTCAGTCGGTTGAAAGATCGCATGCGGTTGCTGCCGGAGGGTGAATTGCTCGTTTGGGACAAGGTGCTTATTTCCGCGCTAATTTCCTATTAAATTTATTTTTTTGCATTTATTACTATTTAGTTTATATTTTTAGGATGACACGGATGCGATGCACTTTGTCGCCGCTGCTGCTAACATCCGTGCCCATATCTTTGGCATCCCTGGAAAGTCGCTGTTTGATATCAAATGTGAGTTTGATCGTTGAAAGCTTTAGCTTTAATTTCAATTTTTTTAGCCGATGCCGGAAACATCATCCCAGCCATTGCGACAACTAACGCTATTGTGGCTGGCATGGCCATTGGAGAACTGCTGAAGGTATAAATACATTTAGTATAGTCAATTCTATCGTTTAGGTACTATACAAAAAGCAGGATCGCGTGAAAAACGTTTTTGTCAGGAAGGAGGTCGGCGCCCGTGGTCATATCCTGGTACGCGTTCTGGAAACATTCGAGTCTTTGTTTTTTAGGCCACCGACGGTCCATATCCACCCAAAAAGGGTTGCTTCGTCTGTTCGACGGACAAACGCGAGGTCTTCGTCCGCGTCAATACAAAAATTATGACGCTGCGGCTTTTTGTTGATAAGGTGAGTACTAGAGGCCTCGAATATTGAATTTGCCTAGGTATTGAAAGCCGGGTTCTCGGTTCAACAGCCAGAGGTTATGGTGGATTCGAGCATCGTTTTCAGCGCCGATGAGGACGATGACAACTCGGGTAACATTATCTAGATTTGAAACAATTTTCGTTTAGGTATGGAAGCCAAATTGCTTCACGACATCGGATTCTTCGATGGAAAAGTGGTGGTCGTGGATGATTTCTCGCAGGACCTCAATTTTAACGTGATCATCATCAACGACGACACCCTCAAAGCGGATGAGCATAAGGTACACAGTTTTTCCCGGCGTCTCTAAATTGAATGCATTTTTTAGGTGGACCAAGACAGCGGCGCCAAGCCAAACGAAACTGCCGCAGAAGAAGAAACCGATCGCAAACGTAAGCTCGTCGATGAGGACCAGTTGAACGACTTTAACGACCAGGCCAAGAAGATCCGCGTCGAAGAGTAACTAGCTCAAAATTGCCAACGATTTCCCCCTTTTATATGATTACCCCGGTGCACTCTTGATTTTGTTCGCATCTCAATACGGAACACCTTGTTATTCCCACATTGTTCACCAATTTACCATTGATCTCTTGGAAATAAATTTTGGACTTCATCACGGAATCCATCACTTGGTACGGCGTTTGTTCGCTTCTATGCTTCTAAATTTCTAGAGATTATCAGCAATATTTACGATTTCATTTAGTTATGCGGGAAGTAATGAACGTTGTTGAAGAAAGTAGTTCAAAGAGTATGGAAGTCGATCAGAATGATGGTGTGTACCTTTGCTAAAAAGCCGAAATCTGTAAAAATATAGATGAGGAAGGTGTGATCGGCTGTTTGCCCTCTCATCTATCGCCGTACCATCGCGCTGAATTGGAAGCAATCATTCAGAGGGTCGGCTCCGGGAGCCATGAAGAGCATGAGGTTTTATACACTAACACATTTCAACTATCGAGTTTAGAAATTACATGAAAGGTTCAAGCAGTTGCTCGAAGTTTATGCGGAACAACCGAGACTTTTGGACCCCCTCATCCCTCCTACTGTTGAACATTTGACGAGCCTGGTGGATTTGCAATCATCGCCCGAGGATGGACGAGGGTACGGGTTTTTTCATGCAGCCTGAAGAAATCAGTTCTTTAGATTGAGTCGAACGTCGGGCTTCGCACTTGTGCTTCTCAACACGCTCATCAAAATCCGAGGCTACAAATTCGTCTTGAAGTTTTTCCCGCATCAGGTATTGACTTCATGCTATCGATTATGACGTGCTTAGATCACTTATCTAATTCTTCTCATCAATGCGCTGGAGGCCTATAACCGGGCAGACTTGGCCGGTCGGGTGCCATTCCATCTTCTCGAACGGACTTCCCTGATTTATTGGCTTTCGATGGTCTGCAAGAACCCCTTTGATTTCAGGTGATTGGCGAATTCATAAAAAAGACTATGGATTTTCTGTTTAGCCGGCTTGATGCGCCTGACGCAATCGGTACAACGCTTTCAAGGATATTGAACGTTGCTTCGCCGTTTCTGACATCGACTACCGCGTTTATTCAAGTCCGTCGCAGTAATTTTCCGTCATACTGATACTATTATAGTTTGCTGCTGCGAGGCTCATTGCAGACTGCTTGGCTCGTCAAGAGGCTTCACATCTTTGCCAATCGGTAAGTTAGCAGTACATTACAACACCCAGGAAGCTAATCGCCTATTTTTACGACGTTTTGAGATTTAGGTCGTCGACGAATCCGTGCAATATCTCCTAACTGAAAAGACGGATCGAGTACTTGGACGTCTCGTCTTACTACTGGCCATGTTGAAACACACACCTCGTCAAATAATGCTGCCATTTACACATCAAATTTCGACGGTGGTCGAGCCACTCTCCGTCAATCTGAAGCAGAATACATTGGTAATCCGCCATTCCAACGCTAACCCTTGGCATAGGTCCGAAAATGTGTATGCAAGTTGATCCAAAGATTGTCCCTGAATATCCTGCCCCCAATATTGGCCCTTTGGCGGTATCAGAGGTATGGTCTCGTTGGCAGTCTAATATGAAATTAGGGGGAAACGACGATTGCAAGACAACTTTGCTGGTCCGGTGGTCGATTCTGCGAAACCTGAAACGAGGCTCGATGAAGAACCACATGGCGAAATAGCTCCCGATCCGATTGTATGACTTGTCATCTCATCATATTATAGTGTTCTTTAGGTTGAATGGTCGTTGGGTCTTCTTCTCCCAAACCTGAACGATAATGATACAACGGTTCGATGGTCAGCTGCGAAAGGCATTGCCCGCATTTCGGAACGCCTACACAAGTGAGCTACTCAACAAGTTTATTGACCACATTCAGGGAACTTGCCTCTCAAATCGTCTCTTCCATCCTGGCCTCAAATTTTACGGACAATGCAGGATATGGATCCTGGCATGGCGGATGTCTCGCATTGGCCGAGTTATCAAGGCGAGGGCTACTGTTGCCCGAACTGCTACCCGTCGCCTTTGAAGTGGTGCTGCGCGCGCTCTTCTACGAGGTCATTATTGGTCAGGCTTCATTTATTCAAAATTGTTTAGGAGCGAATGGGTCGTTTTGCTTGGGGCTCCTGTGTCCGTGACGCGGCATGCTTTGTCATCTGGGCTTGGGCCCGTGCGTTTGCCCCGGAAAAACTTGAGGGGTTCACACAAAGAGTGGCTGAGAAACTGGTATGACATTTTTTTTACGCGGTAAAGTCTTATTCAGATATGCTGCGCGCTTTTTGATCGGGAAATTTCGGTTCGGCGTGCGGCGTCGGCCGCTTTCCAGGTTGGTTAAGCATGATCGTTAACATAAAATTATATAATTAAGCAGAAATAAACGTCAACGATCGTCTGAAAATGTTCTATTTTAGGAGACTGTCGGCCGTATTGGTGGAATCACTAGCGGAATTGCCCTGCTTTCGATGGTTGACTATTTTGCCGTTGGAAACAGGAATCGGTACGGGAACTACCCCTTCCAAGAGATTTTTAGATGCTTTTCATCTTTGTGCGTAGAAGTAGCTGAGCACGCAGAATATCGTCCAGTGATCGTCCACCATTTGATCGAATTGAAAGTAATTCTGACAAAGCCTTGAATCACTAATTTTGATCGATATTAGGTAACACATTGGGATGAAACGATGAGAATAATGGCAGGTATCGCCCTCCAAGCGCTTTCAACCAGGTATTTTCCTTTTTTCTTTATCTAATGAATTTTAGATTCCCGTCCGATGTTTGGGGCCCTATCCAAGAATCAATCTTGCCTCGACTCACCGAGAATGGCCCGGTAGGGAGATTTTGGTTGCGAAGTTGCTTCATTATGAACATAGGTTGTCCTTCATGGCTCACTCCTCGCCGTTTCACATACGGTGAAGGGTATCTGTGAAGTTACTGCCCAACTAGTTTCGCCTCAAAATGCGAAAGTCCTGAACTCGGTCCCTTCCGTCGTCCTACCGAAAATGTCGTCCCTCAAGGGAATTGGTGGCGAAATGGTGAAGAAAGCGCTTGCTCAATATGTTTCGCTGGCATCATCGTCGATCCAAATTGACGACGAGTTTGTGAGTTCTTCTATAACCGAAAATAAAGGCCTTTTGGTTTTGATCAAATCATTAATTTTATTAGTTCGCTGATTGGTTGACCGTCGTCGATACATGTTGTGGTGACGAAAATCCGGCTATCCGTGAAGCTGGCGGTGTTGCGGCGAGGGCCCTTTTGGGATTGCTACCTGGCCGAAGCCCAGAATGGACGCAGCGACTTCTCAGCTCATGTTTGCATAAGGCAAGTAATGCGCTTACGACGAAAATATTTTTTCAGATAAACATGGCGGCAAGAGAATGGGAACGCGGCGGTGCCTGTGCTATCCTCGAATCGCTTCCAAATCAGTTACAACTGGAGAAAGGCCTCGTTGACCGACTATGCCAAATTATTAAAGAGTATTCTGCAAATCCTTTTTTATATAGTCTTTAGAACAACTCCCGTGGATCTGAAGTGGGCATTTGCCAGATCGGCAGCTATCAAGGCTGTCTCAAAACTTTGCTCTAATGGCAGGACTTTTGTCGATTGTTCGCTACAATCAATACGTCCGGCACTGTTCGACTCCTTGCTTGGAGCATTAGGCAGGAGGACTACAATTTTTCTGTTGACCACGCGGTTTAGACGATTACACCGAAGATGAGCGCGGCGATATCGGGCGATTCGTTCGCACCTCGGCCATGGAAGCCGTTAAGAACTTGGTGCTAGAAAGCCCTGGCGAATATTCGAATGTAAGTTTTTGATAGCATAGCAGCAATCTGTTGTTCTAGGTGCTCGTGGAGCAATTGATCTGCCACCTACTTCAACAAGCCGCTGAACGAATTGGGCGCGTCCGCGAGGTAGGCAATTGTCTACGTAAATCACTTTTATTATTTAGGTGGCTGCCGGTTGCATCAAAAATATCCTTGACGGCGGTGACTTTAACATGGCGCACTCTCAATTGCTCAACGAAATATTCGCAGAACCAGCATTGTTTATCCAGTAAAAAATCTTTACAAGCTTATCGAGACTCATTTTAGTGACAGTCAACTGTACCGGCTTCGACCTCTACTCTCGCTAGAGCCATACTCGCAATGGGTCCTAAAGGGATTGATGATAGCCGCTGGTATTTTTTTTGCCTTAAATTACCCTATTTTGGCAAAGCAGCTGACCCAAGCCAAGCCGACCATTAAAGTGGCGTAAGCGAAGGGCATTTTATCGCGTCAGCGAAGCACCAGAATCTCCCAATTATGCCCTTAAAAATTATAGGCGGAATATCTGATGTCACCTCTCAATTCGCGCTACAAGCTATTCACGAATACTTGAATGCCGCCAATGAAGAAGAGATCGACGGCGCCCTGTCGTTGATTGCCAGGCTTCTCAGACCACCCAGAGCAGCTCGGATGTTCGTACCCTTGCTGCGTGTTGTTCAAACGGTCCTCCCACGGATCCCGAGTGTTCTGGAGAAACCAGATAGCTCGCGGCCGATCCAAGACATCATATTGACTTGTAAGAAGGTAAGCCTTGTTTCCTGAAAGCAGAATTTTCTTTAGGTACTTGCCAACTCAAAGCTGTCGCCGGCTCGTGCACGGTTGTGTCTAAATGCCGTCTCTCCACTCCTACTTTGCCCACCGAACAGTGTCGTCTGGAAAAATGCAGCTGCTACGGTATTATAACGGTTGTCAATTGTAATTTCTGATTTCAGGTGGTCTCTGGGCTGTTCTCCGCATTCCCTGCTGTCCGACGGGCCGCTGCAGAAGCGCTTATCGAGACATTGTGCACGTTGGAAGCCGTTGATGATAATGTACGCTGGTCTTATTTATTTAAAGGGATACCGACGGCATAGGCCGATCACCCTTGATCGAATTTTTGGCAAATAGCCAACAGTGCAGAGAACGCGCTCAGGGGCGAGACGCAGAGACATTTTCTTTCCGGCGCGTCACTGATTACTTATGCCGTAGTTATCCCTTTAAATGTCTCACCCTTTTCAGTTAATTTGTCTCCTCGCCGATACGCAATGGCAGGATGCGAAGCCAGCAAGCAAGGGCCAAGATCCCGAATGGGAACAAGCTGCCCGAGAAGTACAACACATTCTGTTGGGCGACGCGAGAGCGGATGGGTGACCAAAACATTTTCTCTTTTTGTTTTGTTGATTTGTAATAATGGTCTTTTACTATCCTATGATTCGTTTTTTGAGCTTGTAACTTATCTGCGAGTCCATCGGCCTGATCTCAATCTTTGCCTTCGTTGCTTGTTTTTATGATATCCAATGAATAGTCGATAAATTGTGCATAATACAATTTTTACTTTATAGCTTACAATGGGGTTACTTGCCCGTTTTACCGGTGCAAAAGCTTTAAAGCTATCTGAACGAAACGTCTTGGAAGTTTGATCGAAGCTCTGTATTCTTGCAGGAGGTAAGAAATCAATAGAAAATTTCCAGGATTGAGATGGACGACGATGACGATTATGAGGGTTCGTTGGACGATTCTCAGGGCCCATCGGGACGCGGTGACGATGAGGCCAAAAAGCACGCCAGGGCCCAACATAACGCGCTTGAACGACGGCGGCGCGATAATATAAAAGTATTTAATCTTATCACGCTTTTAGACAAGAAAAACAATACCTCCGCATCAATTTTAGGCTATGTATGGGTCGCTGGAGGCAAAAGTCTCAAAGGACGGCGAAAAATTGTCGCGAGCGGCCATTTTAAAAAGGTTTCCCGTTTACTCAACTAATCCGACCTTCCTCTTTCAGATCGATCGATTCTGTAGCCTCGAAGACGCAACAGCTCGAGCAAAAGAAGGCTTTGATCAAGGGGCTAACAGAAAGCATAGCAAGTATGGAAGCGCAGGTATTCAAATTTTTCTTATCGGAGATTTTTTATTTAGGTACAATCCATGCAAGAAAATCCCACGGCTTCTACTGAAAAGACATAAAGTATATAAAACTGTAATACTATCTGGAAGCAGCCCATTTCTCTTTGGAAATGCACTAATTCCACCAAAAGCTTTCGGTCTCGAAATTCACGTGATGGGTTTCCACCACTGGTGTTGGATATTTCATGAGAAGTTTTTTGAAAGCTTGGAAAAAGTTTTGGTACTTATCAAGTTGGGGGGGGGGGCACTTTGGGTACCTATTAGGAGACACTTTTTTACCGTTTTCCGAGCGTTTCTGGGGTAGTTTTTTACGCTGAGTGCGATTAGAGTCGCAACAACCTTATCCAAAAAAAAACAGCGTGAAGATTTATTAATAAAAAGTGTACTTATGCACAATTTGAGGCTTGCCGCATTGTCAGGCAAGGTGGGCCGTCGCTTCGGATGGGCTGCCGCTCCACTCTTTCAAAATCGGGGCGCCTGGGCGCTTCGCGCTCCTCGGGCGCCCCGATTTCGAAACCCTGTACGAGCTCGCACCCATCCGAAGCGACTAGGCCGCGGGTGGCACGAAGCCTTATTTTTAGGTCAATACCGAATGTCTGCATCTCTAACGCTTAACAAACGTTTAGATAATTCGGTTTTACTACTCTGATTTTGTTATATTCGGAACCAGCACAAAAAACTAGCCTAGAAAGACTCAAAAAGTCGAAAACCAAAGTGGCCCCCCCCCAACTTGATAAAGTACCAAAGTTTTTATGTGCTTGTAACTGAAATGAATTAATGAATAAATGTTCTGATTGATTGTTTGGCCTTGAAATATATGCTTTCGGCTGACGCACCGAACAAATATCTTTGTTGGCTGAAGTTGATTGAATTGAACTGTACCGAACTGAAGTTGTCTTTTCGATAATTTCAACCATTATGATCTTTAGAGTTACGCGGTAAAAATGCCTGATGTACCGCCATTAAATGATGTGTTGGACGGTATTCACACGATTTTGGTCAGCGAATCTTCTGGAAAAATGCTGATAAAGAAGATCCTAAAGGTAATTTTCTGTGGCTATATGAGTTACTTATGCATAGGAATATTACGATTCGTATGGCTTGGATATAAGCCCGAACATGTATAACGCGGGCTCAATAGAACAATTACTACGGAAGAAGCCCGATTTGGTAAGGACTTTCGATAGCCTTGAGAGCTGACCCTCTTTATAGTTCGCCATTGAGGGTCAATATGTTCGGGTTGTCTCAATTAGCAATGAACTCGCCAACCAACGTGCCGAAATCCAGCTTCAACAAAGCAAGGTTTGTTTCTTGTGTAGAACTTACCGAAATTTGCTTCAGAAATCGCGAGGGGGAGGAGGAGGAGGAGGAGGAGGAGGATTCCGCGGAAGAGGTGGATTCTCGCAAAACGCCGGAAGAGGACGCGGACAACCTGGTGCCTATGGTGCCGCGTTTAGAAGCGCGGCTCCGGTGCGTTTTTAAAGGCCCAAACCGTGGCTTGGATTTTTATGCGAAAATATACCTCATTTTAGCCGCCCAGCAATAACAGTTCGAATGGATTCCGGAGACCGCCCTCGCCCCCTCGCAACGGCTACCAAGAAGCTCCTCAATACAAGTCGGTGTGCTTGCAGTCCCTCAGGCTTGTTTTAGCGAGCCACGCTACCAAGACCGGATAAACGGACGGGACAGAGAATTTGATAGACAGCCGCCAGAGTCTCGGAGAGTTGACGGTTTGAAAAATGTTTTTGAAAAGCGCTGTTTTTAGACTATCCCCCTGACGAATACGAAGAGCGGGGCCCACGTGGTTATAATTATGACGATCGCGGTGGACCGAATTGTGAGTCCAGTACAAGAGTGGTTCTAACACTGACAGCTTTAGATAACGAGGGTTTTTCGAGGGGTGATCCACCTAGATTCAACGATTATCACGATATCCCACCGGTTTGTTAGGTTCCGGAATTTGAAACGAAATTTAGCCGCCTGGCCTAGTTCACCGGGAAGCCGATGACCGCCCGTATCCTCCCTACGATGAAGGGAGGCCGATGAACACTACGGCACCTCGTCCACAGGCAAGCAATGAACTTATAAACAACATCATGTTTTTCAGGTCACCAGGACACAAGTGATGCGGGGACTTGCCGATTACGTTCACCGCGAGGGAGGTGCTGTCCCGCTAAACCACCTTGTCGACGGATTTAGGAGGTACGGATTTTATGCAAAAATTTTCCATTAATTCAGGTTCGATAATGGACTACACCGGGTAATCTTTGGGAATATAGAAATAAACACGGTGAAATTCGACTACGAGCCGATCATTGTGTTCGTTGAAGAGGTATGCGCTATTCTAGGCTCTCGACACTTACTATGTTTAGAACAATGTGAAGCTCGACCCAGGAAGCAGGATGAGAATCTTTCACTCGCACCTCGTCTTCATTGAGCACATTCCCCACCACCTCCACATTGAAAATGATGATTGGTGGCGGCTCTGGATTGATGTGCGCACAGTTTATTCTTTTCGATTTAATCGGCCATATCTATCGAATCTCTTCCTGGAGTTGATTATTTTTAGATTTATGAATACCTCTCGGAGAACGGAGGAAAGGAAAGCTGGAAGGCAATCACCCGTGATTTCGGATTTGCGGAGAGTTCGCTGCGCCTATGGACAAGAAACATCATCAAGCTACAATTTGATCCAGATCTGGAAGACAAGGTATCTTTTTTAGATTTATGAAATATACGGTTTAGGGTCTCCGGCGCTCCTTCCAATTCGCAAGTCACGGAGAGGGGAAGTTAGAGATCAAGCATGAGCACCCAACCGACCCGGGTATTCGTGATGAAAGTCGGTGGCTCTTTTGAATCTTAACTATCGTTTCCAGCGCATCGATACCTTTGCGATTACTTCCCCGCCGAGCTACGGGCTCCGCGCTTTCGGTAATTTTTTCTTCGTTGCTGTACCAGTGATTTATAGGCCACCATCAGTCCATGGTTCTTCGCGATCAGTGGAAGGTCTGCGGGAGACGCCGGTTTGTGCTATTTTTCGATTACTAGCAATATAAAGGTGTTTGATATGTAAAAATAGCCATTTTTAGCCACCCGCGTCTAACGTGTCTTATGGATTTCCCCCGGTGAGTAGCTTTCTGGGTTTTCAACTTAAAAATTAAAGCTGGGCCAGTTCGACTTCACCCACCCAATCCTGCGCGTGCCCGAAGCTGACTATCCCATGTATGCTGATCGACAGGTATCACTTTCTTTATCTGTCGAACGTTCTCGCTTTTTCAGATACATTTGGATCTGAGCCCTCCATTCAACTTCTCCAATTTCACCATCACTTTGTACCTGACGGATAGCAAGCAACGGGAGGGCTTGTCAGCGAAACTCAAGTACGGTTTTTCCCTATAGCATCAAAAGGAAAATATATAGGGCATGCTGGAAACCCCCCACGCCAGCAATAATGGAGAACCTTCGCGATAAAGATGCCTGTATTCTCCGGGAAACCGACGCCTATTATCGCGTCTATCTTCAAGAGATCCGCGGCAGGAATCAGGTTGCGATTTGTACTCATTGATCTTCGTTACACGTATTACTTTTCAGACAATGGTCAAAGTTCATCTGGTGGATTACGGATATGACAAGGAGGTGCGGGTTGATCGTTTGAGCCCGTTGCCAAAAGAGCTGACCACTTTTCCGGCCACCTGTTTTCCCTGCACCATTTGGCCGTTCGACGTGCTGGACGAGGTTGAGCGCTTGCGAACTCTGTGAAAATAATTTTCAGGATTCTGCGGAGTATTACCAGCAGCACATTACGACCACCCAAGCGGCGGCGCCTTTTTCATTCAAATTGACCGAGATCTTAGGCCATATGGTGAGCGAGTATATTTACTTGGCAATTGTGGGGCGTTAGAGCAAGTCTGTAAAGTTGGAGTACCTATAAAACGCCCGGAACGCTAGGTTATAGCATTTTTTACATCAGCAATCTATCCGCAGATGTCAATAATTAATAAATTAGCTAGTTAATAAGGTGTGTCCTCCAAGCAAGCTTAATGTAGGAAGTGATCGCAAGCTTCCAAGCATGTTTATTTTATCTATTACATGCTTTAATAATTGAAATGGAAGACTCCTACGCGGACCAGCGAGCCTCCCCTAAAGGAATACTTCATTCGACTGTCCAAACTTTACAAACTTGCTCGAACGCTTGAACCCTCATGTTTTACAAGTTCCCTTTACTTTTCAATATACAGGGTGTCCCAAAAAAAAAACCTCCTCCCCTACCTGGCGGTCCTCGGTCAAGTCCGATTTTTATGATTTAACTACCAATCGAAAGCTCTCGAAAGGCGAGAAAACAAGCGGGTTTCGTTTTCTAAGATTTAATCTGATTCTATCGATATTTCAGGTTTTCCTAAAAAACCGGGAATTTTTCATCAGGAATTTCGCAATTAGCATGCAGATCTCGCATAAATCAGCAGTTTTCATGGTTTTTGGACATAAAATTAGCAAATAAAAAGGCTTAATTAAGAAATTCAACCCTCCTTGTTTTCTCGCCTTTTCGAGAGCTTTCGATAGATACCTAAATCGTAAAAATCGGAATCGACTGCGGACCGCTAGGTAGGGGGTTTTTTTTTTGTGACACCCTGTAGTTTTTTTTTCAGCCGGATGGTCGGCTCATCGTCAAGGTCCGGCTCGGCGACAGATTGGGCGATCTGCGACAATATCTGATCAGCTACGGTGTCATCCGCGGGAAGAAATGGGGCGAATAATCCTTGCCGCTATTGCCAATCTTTACGAAATCTAGTCCCGTACTGACGGCATTTCGCGTACTTTTCGTTCTTTCATTGCTTTCATTCCGATATCATCGGGCAGGCGGGGGATATTTTCGGCTTTATTTGTGGATACCATTTGCTCAATCGAGTATTTTATTGTTATTATGCCCATATTGCCTGGCCTTCTTTATAAATAAAGTATTCATTTCCATGCAGTATTATTTTTAACGATGCGTCATAATCGCTCGACTTAATATTTGAACGTTATCATATTTGAGTTAGTAAGTGTTTATACTCAAAGTTTTTCCGCCGTTTCGGCTTGACATTTTTCATTACTCAAACCTCCTGTCGCTCTGCTATATCCGTTCCAATTTCCGCTCCACCGTATCTTTTCTTTTCTCGCTAGATTTTATCGCCATATCACTCGGTGGCACACACAGGGTGTTTTTGCCGGCGAAAGGATAACCCGCCTAGTTACAGGGTTGAGATGATCCCCAGCCGTCTGCTCCTCTCCAAGGGGTTCACCACCTCAGTTGCGGTATATTTCCTTTCAAAAGACTGACAAATTGTCCTTAGGGCTCACGCTTCGCTTCGACCCTCGTCGTCGCCGAGCACAACGATGAGAAGCTGTCCCCAATCACGCTGAACGCCATCACTGCTGCTTCCAAGGTACGTTTCTCTCCTTTTTGCATTTTTTTTTTTTAGTTGGGCGGTGATGTTACGGTCCTTGTCGCCAGTTCGAATGCCAAGGCGCTGGCTGCTGAGGCCGCGAAGGTACGTTCAATTTTGCAAGGAATTTTGCTATTTTTCTTTTAGATCACTTCCGTCAAGAAGGTCCTCGCTGTTCAGGACGACAAATTCAAGAACTCGTTGCCTGGTGAGGATTTGTAAAACCGTTTTGTTATTCAAACCTAGAGCGCGTTGCGGGAGCAGTCCTCGCTGCACACGAGGCCCAGAAATTCTCGTCGATCGTGGCGGGAGCGTCGGCTTTTTGGCCGCGGCCTGATCCCACGGGTGGCCGCTAAGCTGGGAGTTTCGCCAGTGTCGGACGTCACGCAAATCCACTCGGCCGACACCTTCACCAGGACGATGTACGCCGGAAATGCCGTTGCAAAGGTTCTATAAGCTGGGTTGCTTCATTAATCGGGTCATCCTCTAGGTCCAATCGACAGCTACCGTCAAGCTGCTCACGGTCCGCGGGACTGCTTTCGCCCCTGCTGCTGGTGGCGGTAGCGGTGCGGTTGAAGATTGTAACTAAATATTCCGTTGTCTAATTGCCTTCTATTTTAGTGCAAGTTGGGGAGGTGAATGCGGACAGTGAATTCCTGGGACAGGAGCTGTCAAAGAGCGAGCGACCCGACCTGGGAACCGCTAAGGTATTGCTATCTCTTTCAATAGAATGACTCTTTGCATTCAGATCGTCGTTTCTGGAGGCCGGGGCCTGAAGAGCGGCGACAACTTCAAGCTCATCTACGACCTTGCTGACAAGGTTGATTTAGCGTTATTCCTAATACCTTCCCTCAGCTTGGCGCTGGTGTTGGCGCGTCGAGGGCGGCCGTGGATGCCGGATACTGCCCCAACGACATGCAGGTCGGACAGACGGGAAAAATTGTCGCACCGGTAGGATTTATTTGGTGTTGTAGTTCGTTTGTAGGAATTGTACATCGCCGTTGGTATCTCTGGGGCCATCCAGCATCTTGCGGGCATGAAGGACAGCAAGACCATTGTTGCGATTAACAAGGATGGAGATGCTCCGATTTTCCAGGCACGTTGCAGTGATTTATTTTAAAGCGAGACATGTTAGCAATCGTTATAAAATAGGTGCTTAGTCATCGTCAATGTTTTTATTTTAGGTTGCCGACATTGGACTGAAGGAGGACCTCTTCAAGGCTGTACCCGAGATGACCAAGGCCCTCTGAACCATTATTTCTGCCATCTTTAGCCATTGGGTGCGCTTAATTGTGATTTGATTTGACTAGTTGTCGGTTTCTGTGTCATATATCCGGATCTAGGACTTTATCGTATTTTATACAAATAAACGGGCGCTCAATCTATAGCCGCAAGTGATACAGCCATCGTCATCAGCAAGAAGATGCCAAAAGTGATCGAGAACCAGATGGTCAACATGCTCAGCACGACCACCACGGACAATCGCCCCCGTGTCACCGCAACGACAACGGCATAGACGAGGGAGAAAGAAGCGAGTCCGGCGTGCATGTGCATCCAGAATGCACCGTTCGTCGCCGGACCAGCTTCGAAGGCGAAGCGGACCAGAAAACCGGCGACATTCAGCCCAGCCACAAAGAATACTGAGAATGCGCAGCGTTTCCAGACCACTGATCCGCCGTTCCACAGCCATCCTTTGCCATCGCCAGAAATGGCTGTTGCGATGGGGGCCCGTGCCCTGAAAGATATCAGATATCAAAGGGGCCCAGCAGCGCGGTTTCGATACCGATTTTTAGGAAGCTCACCATGAATATTTTGGGGCCGTCTCGAGCGCAGCCGTCTGAATCAAGTGCTGCATTGCCATGTTTTCGAATAGTGATAGCTGTCGTTGCTTGCGTCGGCAATCATGTGATTCAGTTTAAAGAGTTCACGCTAACGAGAAGCACCGCCCGAAAAGACGATGCTTATAACGTGATCAATGTGTTTATGGACATATGGAAAGGGGGAATGCGGCTAATTAGGCGCGGAAGGGGCGGGCGGGGTCTGGCGCCTTGGGCAGAGGAGGATCATCTTGAGGCCCGTCACGTCTCAAGCACCCCGGAAGGCTGATTGGCGGAGGGCGCGTCGAGGGGCCTTCAGGAACATAATTTTTCTGTCTGTCGCGCGTGAAAATTATTCTAGGGAATTAAGGGAAAACAGCAGCCCGCAATATTAGCCTGCAGTTCCTGAAAGAAAACAGCATAGAATGGCACGGCATTTCAAAACCCCATCGATCAGTTAAAAGTGCAAGCTTTTGTCGTTGCTATCCGAGAGGCAAATGATGAGATTTTATCTTATTAGGTGAGAAATTGAGAAATAAAGGCAACGTGGAATTGTGAGTAGAGGTTAAGTGTGAGATTAAAATACCAGTATTCGGGTGAGAAAAAATGAGAGTAGAAACAGTGAGAGATCCGGGAAGAGATTATTAATGGCGCTTGTTGAGTAGCAAGGAGACAGACACCATGACACCAACTACCGCCGCCGCCACTATTCCCCATCTAAAAATCGAACCTACGGGCGATTCGTTATAATATTTACCTCGCCAAATGGCCGTCGCTGTTTTGCTGCGCCTCACGCTCCAAGAGTGATGCCTTGGATGTCTCCATGAAATCCGCCTGTAACAATTTTGAGAAACCTATAAAAGCGTTACCCAGGAGAGATGCTCGTCGGCCCATGTAGCATTTATTCGAGACTGGATATACTTCGAGGTATAAAGCGACACCTATAGAAAAATTGAAGTAGAAAAAGAAATGAAATTACCTGCGAGATCTCATGCCGATGGCCGGTGTTCGCCAACATTGCAGCCAGATAGCCGCTGAACGCGAGTAATCCAATCTAAATTGAATTTTTAGAGAAAAAACACTATTTTTTTTATATATATATAGTAGGATATCACAGAAAAAGCGTGAACAAAATGCAAAACTGTAATTAAAGCTTACCAATCTTCCATACGACATCACCCCATCACTTTGATTGGCAGTATTAATAAACTTTTCGACGACCTAAAACTTGCTATTCGGATGATGAGAATAGCTTACGGTGCAATATTTCTGGAATGTTTGCGAGGGCGATTCGATCAACGGGGCCGCGCAGCGCCGTATTTCTTCTTGAAACCGACGCTCGAAGATTTCGCAGACTTTTCTAAACGCTCAAAAATTTAGTCAGGGATCAATGACATACCTAACGATTTTGTATTCGGGTTGGGTTTCTCCTTGTTCTGGTTGATCATACCAATCGCCACCGCCTTCAGCGATCCGCCAGGAGAAGTAGTCAACCACAAACCTGGAATGAAGACAATAATAAATAGCCTATAAAGCACATACCCTTCCATTCGGAGACGAGGATCTTCATAATCGAAATCGTAGACGACCTTCCGCCTCGTCGTTACACTAAAAAAAACGAAAATTAAAAATTAATCAGAAAACTGACTGTTTATCATCTATTGCTACCGACGGGTCGACACTTCGGTGGAGCGAGCTCCTCTCCTCCTCTCGTAATGTTATCGGGCCCGGATCGATCTCAGTCATCTTACCTGAAATTTATTTATGTATACCGGGATTATTTTCTTAGCGCACTGAATTGAAAACAAGAATAATGGTTTGACGACTGTGCACAGAGAAACAAAAGCAAAAACACACGACTAACTAAAATGGAAGGAGTAAAGACTAATGCCTTAATGGAGTACTATCACAATGCTAAAAAGAGGTAAAAATCAATGAACGCTGTTGATCTATTTCTTCTGGGTGAGCGGGCAAGGAGTGCTGTTGCAGGAGGCGCGGATCACGATTAAAGTGCTGATGAGGACGGAGAGGCCGAGCACCAGGTAGCCGCTTTTGTAGACCGAGCCCAAATCGGTACCCTAAAACAGGGAATTAATTTAAAGGGCTGAGAGGTGAGTTACCTTTGCCATATCGAAGCCCATGTGTCGGATGCCGTTCAAAGAATGATAGACGATAGGAAAGGCGATGATCCACTGAAAAAAGCATTTTGTTGCGGGTTTTACGGAAGAAATCAAGTGAATTACCTTAATGGGGAAGAGCAGAACTCCTGGCAGATCCCAACGCCGGATCGTGTCGAAAAATTGGGTGAAGTTGAATGGGGCAACGGCAAATCCGACTGAGCCCACCAGCAAGGCGCCGGCCATCACGCATCCCGTCACACGGTGCAATCCCGACATTCCCCTAAAAATGAATTCAACAATTTCAATCAAGCTTTTTAAAAATCCGAATTTTTCAAAACAAAACGTTCGGACCCTCGGCTTTTCCGGACCCAATAACACTTACATTGTCAACTGAATTTTGTAGATGCCAAGGTTGGGCGAAAGGGGCCGCTTCAGCTCCTTCTGGCGCACGAGATATTCCCAGCCCCATTTCTGCACCGGCGTCTTCACATCTTCGTAAAGGCGAGCCGACTGCTTCAGGCTGCGGATGACCTGAAAAAACGAATTCTCACGAACACTGGCTTTTCCAACCTGAACCTGACGGCCGCTGCTTCGGCACAACGCCAACGTCGTCTGGCCGATCATCGTTCTGAAAAAAAACGGAAGTTGTGGAATCGGAAACGGGGCATAAACAAGAAAGGAACGAGGGTTGTGAATGGCGGCATGGGTACGAAAGAATCCGATCGGCGACCGAAATGCATACAACCGCATATAGAGATAGATACAGAGAGGTGTCCAGAGAGAAAGAGGGAGAGAAAGGCAGAAACGGCTCATAGGAGAACGAAGCCCTAAGCCCAGTAAGAACCCAAGCATAAAAACGCAGAAAGCCCCGGTTTTAACAGAAATAGTGACATTTCCAAACACGAATTGAGTAAAGACCATTGGGGCAAAACAGCTGAGCGACAGTGCCACCAAAATGATTGCAAAATAATCTGGAACAAAAATTTTTTTTAGTCATTAAAGATGTCTTTCACGTAAACTACCCTACCCAGCCAAGTATTCTATGTATTTCTGAGGGCATTCTGGGGAAACTGGCCAAATCAATGGCCGCTTATGGTTTTACCCCATGAAGCTGGCGTTAGTAATGGCTTTGGCTACTTATTGCCCCTATGATAGAGAAATAAATCTAGTTTATAACTTGCTAGGAAGTTAAACATTCCGTCAAAAATCAAAAGAAAGCAGCTAAAATTAATGTAAAACCAGGGTTGAAAAACCGCTTCGCGGCTTTTCAACCCTGGCCCCGTCTAACGCACACATATTTCTTCCCGAACCTTGATTGCAAAAAAATGAAAAGGACCCCTCTACCCCCTTATATAAGCTTTCCCCGCTTCCGGTGCATGCAAATTGGCTCCTAACAAAGAGATTTTCCGATATCTTTACAAAAACCCAATTTTACTTGCGAAAACAGTAATTTTTCAAAACTTTGATATGTGTGCACTCATCTCGGCACCATTACGCACCTAACGACGTATCATACGTACCTCAAAAACTCTCCCCTGAGGCTGTAGGTGAGAGACAACCTCACGGAAGTTGCATGCAAATGCACACACACAGACACTATTTTTTTATATAGAGTACACAGCGGCCCGGCTCCTAATAAAAACGTCCGGTAGCTTTGGAAAGGTGGGAAGACCGCAACGCGTGCGATAGACGCGTCGCGCCATTGCGAAAGCAGGCCTGCGCAGCTAAAAACCGGTTGCTATTCCGTGCACCCGCACGCAACGCGCGAAAAACACGCACCGTACGCCCTTTCCCTTGAACCATCTGGACCGAACCCATGGGCGGTTGTGAGTAGGAATAGTAGGATATCTAGTTATGACATGAAAACAGGCTCAACGTACGAAGCCTATTGACAAAAAATATTTATAGTAGCTGGTCGGAATCGAGTTATGAATAGAAAAGCAAGAAGAAATCAACTATAAGAATCAGCATGCCGACAAAAGCGCAGGCTGTAACGGGGAGGATGACAGAAGCGCCAACGAGAAACGCGCCCATGCAGAAGCGCCAAACGAAAAGCGCCCAATGCCAGAAAGCGCTCTATGGGGAAGGCAAACGTATGGAGAGAGGAAACAATTACATAAAGTAGAGATAAAATAGTTGTTTTAATACGTTTTCTGGTGTTATTATGGTAGTTTAGCGGCACTTCGACCTACTAGGCCATAAATTACCGACCGGGTCAAGTTATTTTGGCCTCCTAGGGCATTCTTTCACCCGAATAGCTAGTTCTCTTCTAAAACAGCTTTACCACCATTTTTTAAGTAGTTTCTTGATCTCTACACGCTGGAACCGGTTCGAAAATGTATTTCTAATGTGAGCAAGGTATAAACTCGCCGTGGAAAGGTTGTTCAGAGCCATTTTCGGATCCATTATCCGGAAATACGGCGTTCTTCTCGTCGTTCTGGCCTCCAAACACTATTTTATAACAAGTATTTCGTGCTTGCAACAGTATTGTGACTGAAAACATCAGAAATCGTGAGAACATGAGGCAAAACCGGTGAAACTACAGACTGAAACACGGCAATTCAAGCCAAAAAGACCCAATAAGGCCAAAACAACCCGCTCGGGTGATAATGGCCGTCTACAAAGCCTACCTATCGCTAAACAACGTTTAAAAGACATACAAAGCTTGAAAAAAGCCATTTTATGTCATTGTTTCCTCTCTCCATACGTTGGCTTTCCCCATAGAGCGCTAATCACAAAAATCGGCTGGGCAAGGGCTACAGTACCCCGCCTTGAACCGTCATTTTGGATGCTGCCGTTCGACCTGCACTCGCTGAATTCGTCGTCGTCGCCTGAAGCTCAAAAAATCCAAATAATCAATTTCAAAAAAATAAATGGAGGAGTCGAAGCGAAGCGGAGGAAAATTAAAAAGATGTTAAAATATTTTTTATAAATTACCAGACAGCAGCAAAGTTCAAATGCACTCCTAAAGAGGCCATAAACCAAAAAAATCCTAGAAGACGGATGGCAGCTTTGGTCGACGAGGCCGGAGGGGTGGCATCGATGCGGGAGCAGCCCCTTCGATCTACAGTAACCTGAATAAAGGCGTAATATAGAAAAAAATACCTTTTCATCGCGTAACCAGTGCAGCTGCTTCTCAGACGGACGTGGAAAGTGTCGGTAGATTAGCACCACACACTGTACATGCTTCAAAAACTAATCCTCATACTGATATGCGTGCTGGCGTACGGATGGGAGGAGGTGTATGACGACGATGGGGCCAACTCCACCTGCCCATTCCTTCAAGTAAGCCGCTATTCCCTTCAAAATTCCTGAAAATTGAGTTAGCTTACTCCTCTGCTTTCAGGGCGAGCTAGACGCCCAGGATATCCCCGGCTTCAACTGGACGGACGGCGCCCTTCTACAAACTACCCGCACATGCCACGACGAGCTTCTAAGCGACTTGCAGAAGCAGAAGGAGGAGGTGAGAGTTGGCGCTGTACCTATAAACGCTATTAGATTGCCGACCTCAAGTCGAAGCTGGAAAACGCCACAAGTGAGGCCCACCGCTACAAGGCCGACGCGGAGGACTGGAAGTCGCTGCTCGACATCGAGCTCAACAAGACGGCCGCCAGGGAGGAAATTGAGCTAGACAAAGGCGAGCGCAACAACACCAGCATCCTCTGGCACGGCTGGAGCTGGATCCCGAGCCACAATGACACGGTGTGTATCTGCCAACATCGTCACATAGCTTTTTTTTTCTAGCCGGGACTCGTGGGGACGCTTGCGGCTCGAGTGGGCGCCGGCTTCGCGTGCGACTGGTTGAGCGACATACTAGAAGCGCCTCAACCTCCTCCGGTCCATGGCTTCTACGTCAAGCTCCTCAAGCTGGTGCTCCTCCTCCTTTGGGTCGCCCTGGACGTGCATTACGGCTTCGTTCGCGACGTTTTCCGCGTCTGTTTCGGCCTTCTTTTGGCTTTATGGGCTGCCATCGAAACCTGGCGGCGCATACAAGTACTTTTTGACGCGTGGAGTCGGGCCAAACAAAATCTGATCTCTCTCTTCCATCGCGTCGGCCGCTTTTTCGGTCGGGGCCGCGAAGACCGAGCCCACCTGCCTTATTAAATCTCCTTAGCAAGCCTCATCCTCTCATCCTAGCATATTTTGAAGCCACCTCCCCAATGTGATATTCTCATTTGAAAATTTCGCGAAAGTTGCCGGGGCCCGGGCGAGAAAAATTCGCGCATCTAGCGGTGCTCTCCTAATCTAAAACAAGTTTAAAGGGGTTCAGAGATAAAAATTCGCGCGTGCGGGGATTCAGCCTAAAATATTGGGGCGAAAACTACTTTTTGAGTGCGAGGCGATTACATGTTGTAATGCCTTGCAATCTTTCAATCTCGGTCATTTTCTCAGCAATTGTCCTCATTAAACCATCTAGGTTGGTCAAAATTCGATGACGATTCCAAAAATCGCGTCAGAATTTTGAAATTTGGGCGATTGCGCGTCCAAAAAGGGGCAAAAGGACATGCGACGCGGTAGCATCTGGCTATTTGCCAGGAATCAACGGTGGGGGCGTGGAGCAAATTTTGGAGCCTCCATTTTTGGTTTTGATTTTGGCGCGCTCTTTTTGCCTGGATTTTATGAATTTTGAGGGGCATCGAGGGGAACAAGGCACCATTTTCCCCCCAAGTGGCCCGATAATACCAAAAATAACTTCGGATTGATTCACGACTCGCGTTGCGAGATGTGAAGCCAAATACCCCTCTCCATTCGCTGTGATTTATTAATTTATTTGTTCTATGCGTGCAGAATACTTTGAATTCCCCAATTTCTCACCCCTTCATCCACACACTCTAATCTGAATCCACTGAATTGTGACTTATCTAAGCGGCACCTGTGATTACATGAAATATGCATAAACCGCTTTTACTGACAGGTATAACGCGCGTGTAAAGCTATGCGAGGCAAGATTAGCGAACAAATTCCGGAAGACCACCCCGCGCACATCGTGGGAGCCGCAGCATGAAAACGCTAAAACAGAGAGAAAGTTAGTCGAATATGGCCTTCATTTCTTCGGAGGAAAAGCCTTCGGTGAGGTGTATGCCGGGAAGCTGGAGATCACGACGGTCGAGAAATCGAAGTTGCGGTCAAGGTAGCCCGCACCAAGGCCCTGGACAAAGAAACGGTTTGCATACGAAAATACTTGAATTCACTTCTACCGCTGAATGAACTGATGAAGGAGGCTCGTCTGATGCGGAAGCTAGGGAAACTCGTTGGACAAGTTTCTGCATCCCAATGGGCAAACATTGCAACACCTCGATAGGCTAACTGCATAAAATAGAATAAGCGGTGTAACCGCCGAACCATATGACCGATACTGCCTACAAAAATTAAAAACACCCCCAAAAACTCGTAAATGGGTTTCACGTGAACTACCATACACAACCAATTATTCTATTCCTGCAGAGCCTCGCTGGCTCGGGCGTCCACGGGCAATTGGCCAAATCAGTGGGCGCTTATGTTTTTTTGCGAGCGGGTGCGGTTCCCAGGAAGCTGGCGTTAGTACTAGCTTTGGCATGATGAGCGAAACAGGACCATCGTTTTTCGATTCTGTGACTTCTGGCAATTCACGCGGCGGCTTTGACAACCGCGAATTCACGTGTTGCTGTCGCCAGATCCGTTACACGGTAAGCTGGGTTGACGCGGGGAAGCATGCTTATTGTCCTGTCCTGAGGAAAGATAGCTTTCTAGGAAGATTTTGACAAAAATAAAAAAAAAAGTTAAATAACTGTAAAAAAATATCTAGTTAGGCCACGAAACAGGCTTGACGTACGACGCCTATTGACAAAATTTCGTTCATAGACGCGGCTCGGAATGAGTTTTATTCATTACATAATTTTGGGTTTAGCTTTTCCTCCAGAAGAGCTGAAAATCCAAAAAAAAAGAGTTTTTGCGTTTCAGACTGGCCTCCGCGTAATTTGCGGCCTCTTATGGGTGACCGTCATCTACGAGTTGGCCCAGCTGACCACAAGCCCAAGCCAGCGACATCTGGTCGGCGTGACCCGCTTCCAAATTGACGAGACACTGGTGCTGCTGATAGTTTGGGTCCTGTTAGCATCGACCCTGCTTGCAGCGCTGATTCGGCGCTGCTCCCTGCTGTTGCTGCCCACGATTATCATCCAGGTAGGAGCGTGAAGGAAAACCGAAGAAATAATAGGGCGCTGGATTGACTTGGTCTTTGCTGCTCTTCGTTGCTTTTCTGGTGATCGGCTCCTTTGGGAAGGTCAAGCCGTTGGCAGCGGCGCTGATTTTCGCAGGTTATGGCAGTCTATTCCGTCGTGGGGATGCCTACCTTCGTAAGTGTAGCTTCTTTTGTACCGTTTTTCAGACCATATGGCATGGGAAAGGGTCGTCTCCCTAGCCGGAAGCATTGTTTTGCTTGCTTTACAATTATTCTTCCTCACCGGCTCTTATAGATATTACAGGTTGATTCGTAATGTATGGTAATATTCACTTCAGAGCGCGCGCCATTTGGATTCAAAAGAATGGGCGCTCGATAAATCGGGCTCGGCGGTATCCAGCTGGCACAAAGGTGCAACTTATAAAAATTTGATAAGCCCTTTTCAGTCTCTGTCGACCTCATCTTGCCGTTTATCACACTCGCTGGACACCGTCATCATGCCGAAGAAGAACAATGCAAACCGTTGCCTCAGCCAGGTCTGACCAAGAACAAGATTAAGAGCAAGAATCAAACGTTTTTTTGCGTAATAAAATCGTTCATTGATTTACAGATATAGATACATACAGATTAGCGTCATATGGCACAGGTAGAGGCAGTGGGGGTGAGATCAAGGTTCTCGGCTAATATCCCGTATAGCATGGAAATGCAAGCATTTTGATAAAAATTAAAAACAAGTATAAAAAGCGGTTTTCAAGGCGGTGGCAGGGCCCAGAGTACGACCGAACGGTCAGCGGATGTGGAGAGGAAGGAGAATTCATGTGGGTGCCATCTAAAAAAGACATTTAGAATGGAAAATTAAAGTATCAAATTTCTAAAAAATAAAGAGCTGCCCTTGAACTAACCTGCACTGTATCACTTTATCCGAGTGTTCGGCTACCGGCAAATACATCAACGGGGCCATTAAATCGCCTCTCATGTCGGTGATGCATACCCTACAGGGGTGAAATTTTTATTTTTTATAAATAGGCTGGATAATTGTTACTAATATTAATTCTTAATAAATAAAGGATGGCGATTAAATTATGAAGCCATACCTCTTATCGTAGCTGGCCGAGAGGAGGTAATAGGCCGCATTGCTGAAGCGTACGCTCCGCACCTCATCACCGTGAGGACGGAACGTTTGGAGGACACGACGCCCGGTCATGTCGTATCTATTTCATGGCGTAATCGTTCAAACCGGGAGTAAAATGCAATCAGCGCAAAGGATGATAGTGTGTCAATTAGTGTCTCGTTCGAAAAAACGGAAGCTCTTTTGCAATTTTTCAGAAGGCTAGTATGCCTTTAAAAAGCTGAAAACTCACAGGGCAACCGATGCATCCTCATGTCCAGAAACCAGCAGCTGTCCCGATGGGTCTACGCAAACCGACGTCACCGGCGAGTCTGAGGTACGGTATTTGGTCGTTTTTTAGCTAGGAACTCACTAGCAATCTTGGCGCTCGGCTGGATGACGTGGGTCGGCTGTGGGGCTCTTACATCCCAGAATCGAATCGTCTTGTCCTGAAGTGCTTTGTGTTTCTATTTTATCTCCTGACCAAGCCACCGTAGCCTAGGGACAGGGCCGTAGCTGACCCAAAATTTCGGGGGCGGCAAGGTTTCGGGGGGCGGCGGTTCAAAACATCTGCCGTTTACCGCCCTTTTTCAAGGATTTTCAAAAATGATAAGGGTCCCCCTTTCATTTTTTCGCCATCTGCAGATTTCGGGGGCCGCCCCCCCCCCCCCCTCCCGGGCCGCCTAGGGACCTACCTGGGAACAGGAGACGAATTGCGGGCCAGTACCCCAGGAGTAGAGGCCCAGGATCGGGGCTGAATGGCGATGAATATATCTTTTATATAATTTTTTATATTTTAATTTCAGTTTCCAAATTAGATTTATTAAATCACTATAAATTTCGCTTCCACAAATTCATAGGTTCGTTTAAGTTTTTGAAATATATTTTAGAATCCACCCACCACTATGGCCGGAGTAGCTTTGAACGACTTGGCCGGTGTGACAATCGCTGACCCTAAAAACAAAAATTATTGTCTATACCGTAGCCCTTACCGTAATTGACAATCCCCGGCCCCACCAGATATCAGCAGTGACGTCCGATTGGCAGAGTCTTCGAGAAAGATCAAATCCCGCACCGTCCCATCGTGACAATTCAACTCCATTTCGGCTCCTAAAAAATATTTGAGTTTAAAAGAGATATCTGCTCGCTCAGCCTGTCAATTAAAAAGCCCACCTATCCGGCTGTTATCCACGTTATAGGCCATTAGACGCATCGATTTGTCGTTTGAGCCGGTTGCTAGCATTTCTGTAATGGCTGTTACTTTGCAGGGTCAAGTTAACAAAAGGAAAACTGAGAAAAATACCTTTTGATAAAAATCAACTAATTTTTAACAAAATACCTCCACTCGGGCTGAATCCCAAACAATAAACAGATCCGCGGTGTTGCTTTGGGCGTGACAACAATATTTCTGGCTTCGGCATCGGCTCGTGAGTCCTAAAGCAAAGCTCATCTACAGTAGCCGGGGGAGATAAAGGCGAAAAAGCCATGCTATAGACAGCCCGGGGCTTTACTATATTTTGCTTACCGTAGCCTAGGATTGTAGAGTCTAGAAAAGTTGCGTAAAAGGTATTGCTGCGTTGTGTACCTGTTCCTTTTGACGTCCGGGTAGGCGCAGATGAGCATTTGCTTCGAGTTGGTGCCCACGGCAAATACACGGCCGGATGGGTGGAAAGCGGAGGCTCGGATGGCTTGCGCGTCTTCGTATCTATGTAAATATTTTCAAAAGTCTTAAACATAAACTCACGTTAGCAAAGCTAAAAAGTTCTAGCAATAATTTCTAAAAATTCACCTGCAAACCGGAACAAATTGTACGTTCATTCCGCTGCTCGAGGGCATTGAATGGGGACGAGCCGCCGGACCCGGATGCGCAGGTGAAGCTGGGCCTAGAACGATTTATCGAAAAGGCTAATCTGTTTTTATTATGACTAATTTATATCACGTCATTTGGGGCTGGTTGAAATTGCGCTTACTATATTTCTTGATACTCTATATCTGATGTTCTTTATCTTGATGATCGCGCTGCCAAAATCGAAAAATTGCGAAATTATCGAAAATCTTAGTGGCTAATCGCCTACCCATCATCGACAGTGGCCTTGGCATGGCAGTTGCAATTGGGGCCATCGGGTTGGGGCCCATATGGCCATTAGGATAGATCGGGCGAGGGCCCATTCCGAAATCCCCATACGGTACTGGCGGATTTATCGCGTAGCCGGGTAGCACCTGATAAGGGGTCTATTTTCGAAAGTGTCGACATTTTAACAGGTCGAAGTTTACTTTACACGAAAAACCCCAAATACAGGAGAAAAACTTCGACGTATTGAAATGTCGAAATTTTGATAGCAAATCGGCAGAAACAATTAGCTGCCAATCCGGCGTCTTAGATTACACGCGACAATAACCTACCGGTGGTCCAGGGTACGGCATCGGTTGCGGGCTAAGGTGTGGCATCGGCTTCGGCATTTGCGGGCGTAACTGGACTTGCGGGGGCGCGGGCTCGGCTGGAACACGGTAACCCGAAGGGTTTAAGGATCCTCACGTTTTTGACGACTGGCGAATTCCTGAAAGAGTCGACTTTGGGTCATGGCGGTGGCATCTTCGGAGTGTGGAGACAGCTCGGGAACCGGGGGGAGGGAGGATTGACGGGTAGATGATGGTGGAACGGATCTAGAAATGAAAAAAGGTGAAATATTGATGTATATTCAACCTCCTCGTCATTTCATCGAGTTGTCTTCTCGTTTGCGTAAAATCGAATGGGGCGGCGGACATCGATTGGGCCATTGCTGGTGCAAGGACTTGTGGAGCCACGGACCTGAGATGTTTTCCTTATAATTTGTCCACTAAGAAAATAATGCTAGAAAACGGCCATTTTGTACCAGAATGTCGAATTTTATAGTGTGGAAATTTTCATATGCCAAAGGTGTCCAATGTTCATTAACTTTCGTTATTTTGAAAATAAGCGAAAAAAGGGACAAAATATCGATCGACTTACATGCTCATCGGTGTCATCTGCCGGCTTTGTGCAGCTACAGAACCGGGTCGACTTGTTTTCGCCAGCTCGCTCGTCTCCAGCATAGCGTCGATGATCTGCGACTGCACCATCGCCTCCTGAAAAAGTGTATAAATGCTAGAAGTAAACGAAGCACAATATAAGATTTATCATTTCATCATAAATTCATGGAACTCTATAAAACATACCCCGCTTGCTTCAGCCGTCCCATTGAGTGTAAATCCGGGAGCCGTTGATTGGGACATGACGTGCTTCGGCGTGGGATACGTGCCTGAATACCATGAACTTACAAAAACACTTTTATCCTTACTCATCGCCATACTCGCACCCATCGGTAATGCAGCTATGCTCTGGCTCATCTTTTCGGCAAAACGAAGCTTCGTCTTTGGGACCGCTGAGTGCGGGAATGCTCCACCCGGCTTGATAGGTGTCGCCAGAATTTGCTCTGCCCATTGAGCCTCAAGCTTGGGCTTTCTGAAATAAGATATTTATTGAATCTTTAGGGGAGCTACTTGATGGGCTCGATGCGGGTGTCGAGGCCCTTCTGTTGGAATGGCATGGCGAATTGCTCACGGGAAACGACCCCAAGCCATGATACCAACGACAAATCGACGCCGCTGAGGCGAGGTCGATTCGAGAGCAGTTGGCCGATTTTGGGTCCGTCTTCGCGGCCTAAAAATTGCTTTTATTGATTTGCTAAAGGTTTTCTAACTGCCAGAGCTTTTAGTACCTTTATAATCCGTTTCAATTAGTTTTCAAAAGACATTTTTGAGGAAAAGCCTTGTTACAAATGTTTAGTTATGTATAAAAATTGTTGGAAAAATATCACCGCCTTAGACACTATACTAGGTGTCAAATTTTAATACGGCACTAATACAGAAAATTCACACACCTTTCAACTCTCCAACGGCCTGTCCTTGGCAGTAGTCGACGCAACCCTCGTAGAAAATTCCCTAAAACAAAAATTTATATACTTTTTAGCAGAAGCGCTAAAATCCTACTGGCTTCATAAAAAGCTCCCCACCTTGGCCACCAAAGAAACCAATCTATCATGGATCGAAGCTGGTAATGGCGTTGACTCTTTTTGGGTAGGCGGGAGTAGTCTTGCTACCATCTTTTCCACCTAAAAATCAAAATCTAACTCCATTGCCTTAACTTTTATACCTTATGAAAGCATTCTATCCGCGCTGCACTCGGATTCCAATGCCGAAAATCGTGATGATCGGAGAGACGAGGTAATGTGAGCATGGCGCAGAGATGTCGATAGTCTTCTGGACTCGGGCAGATATGCTCCAGATCGGAGAGGCACTCTACCAATTCCTAAAAAAGGCTTTCGGAAGAGGGAATCTCGATACCTCGACCGCAAAATCGTTATCATGCATGGGGCCCGGTTCGAGTTTGATGCAGAGCAGCTCGAAAAACTTGTACTTGGTGATGTTGTACCTAAATGATAAACATTTGGAAATTTAGAACTGCAGAAAATGAATATATAGAAGCATAGTTCAGAATAGTATTTATTATTAGAGTTTTGAAACATTTTTCAATTTTAAAAATTCGAACTTGATCAAAATTTGTCATGGTTATCCATCACTTTATCTACAGAAACCCCCCTAACAGCCCAGAAACGAAGTTATAACCCTACCGGAACGCCTGAAAGTCAAAATCATCGCAGCCCTTCAACGGCTCCACAAAGTCCAGAGCGTTGTCCCATTGGCCGTCGATGATCAACTGCCTGAAATCGGGAGAAATTGTACGTTACTATACTTTGAACAAACCTCAAAAATAGCAGATCAGCCGAGTACTGACCGTTGATCACACCCGTCTCGCGCTCCAAAGCTAGCTAAATTAGAAGATACATGCTTTGAAAACTCTCGTACCTGTGCAATGTGAAAACCGCGCAACTCGAGAAATTCGAGGATCACCTTGAGCACGTCCCGCTCGGCGAACGACACGTGGACGGCCGGTGACGCCCCGGCCGCCTCGTGGCCCATCAAGTCCTTTGGAAGCTGCAAAAAAGATTCTATTATTTTGTAAAAATAAGAACAAATTATATGGAAACGGAAAAAAAAACCAGCAGCGAAACTTTTGAAGGAGCGAGAACTAAAAAAATAGCCTTGTTTAAAAATTCAAGGGATTGGCCTGGGATGAATGTGGATAGTTTTTATTGGGCATTTCCTGTTTTATTTGTTAAAAATCAAAACAGACGCCTTGAAAGGAAAAGCGAAAGCGAGAACCTTTAAAAAGAGCCGTCTAGCGAAAACCATCTGAAGCGAGGAATGCCATAAAGTTAAAGGGATGCACAAGGCACGAAGATGGGTTTTTAGCTGCGGATTTCTCGTTCTAATGCAAGGGCAGGCGCGAACAAACTATTTTTCGTTTGTATTAAAGGACTTGGTAGTGGGTTTTGCACATTTTCGCCGATTTTTTGTCATTATAAGGAGGGGTTGTAATTTCAGCTCAAAATAAGGTATTATAACATATAACAAAATCTAGCCGAAAAATCTTATCATCTTGCCAATCCCTTTAAAACACTTTAAAAACGTCAAGAAACACCCGGATTCTGAATAACTACGAGCCATGATCTAAACCAGGCCACCCACCCGGGGTTGGCTCACGCAAAATCGCCGTTCCCAACTGCCGCCATTCATCATTTGGGGGCAATTTTTTTCTCTCCGGAAAAGTCCTCTCAGCTGCCAGCGGGTTGTGCTGCACCCATTTTTTGCACGCCTCTTACAACCGTCACCAATCACCCTCCCCGCCTGGGATGCCATTTTTTAGGAGCAGCAGGTGGGGTTTTGAGGCGCAGACGGTAAAAAATTAGTTGCCAATGGGTATACGGGTAAAATATGGCACTGGTGTGCTAGCGGGGGGGGTGGCGCAGGGTCTCACCAAAGGAATACACACCGTTTATGTAGCTTTTGAAGTACAGAAAAGTCATAGAGAATCGTTCAAATCACGCAAATTATTTCTTCTTGGCAAAAAAGGGATAAATATGAGCAAAAATTAAGAATTTTTTTTTTTTTTTTTTTTTGTTTTTATTTAGCTTAGTTCACACTTTTTTTTTTACTTTTTTGCCGTTTTCAAGCATAGAAACTTCTTAGAATTTTGGAAAAAATGAGATTTTTCCTCAAAAATTGTTATGAAAATGGTCAGAACTTTTGATTTTTTGTTTTTTTTTTTTTTTTTATTTTTGTTTTTTTTATTATCGAAAACGACGAAAAACTATAACGATATACCAGAAAACCTTGAAATAGATACTGGCCCCGCTCACTACCCCTCCCCCGCTAACAGACTAGTGCTTAAATTATTAGCGTAGAAAAGCCACTACGGGATAAAGCAAATCGGAAGGAGCCTAGATTGGTTCTCAGTTCACGAGACGGCGGACGCGGGAGTGGCTGGTTGCGAAATTCGATCTGCAAATGGCTGCTGCCCCGCTCCGAAAACCAGCAGCACCACGCATCATTAGCCGGCGGGCCTGGTTTTTGGTTTTAGGCTTGTAAAAATTGATAAAAACCCCTAGTGCAAATTTTAGCAAAAAAAAAACATATATAGAAATGCTACAACTCCGACATAAAAAATCAGGACAAAATCCGCACGAACAACGCATCGGCGCAGCTGTCCAAATGCGCGTGAACGTGCTCGGATATCCGGGCAACCCGGCAGATCGCAACCAGCGATATCCACCCTCCTCAACCCAATGCAACCAAGCGAAGGGCCCCCACAATAAGGGGCAACTCTTGGGGCCCAGCGGCCCCTGGGGGTCCCGTCCAGTCTGTCCCTCTCCCTATTGATCTCCTCCGTCTCCGTATAAGCCGAAGGGAGGCTTCTCCCCCAGCTGGTGCCCCTCCTCCTCTTCTGCTTCCACCAAAAAGGGACTCCATGCATAGTAATTGGTGTCTTTGCGTCCGGCAAGCTTGTACAACTTTTTTGGGGTTCGCAATGCGGGGCTTATCCGTTGTTTGAATTCTTTCGGAACGAATTCACAAATTTTGCGTAGATTTATATTTTCAAAAAATGTTATCACAAAACAAACTGAACAAACGAGCAAGAAGGTGATACCTTAAACAACCCATAAAAAGCGTGGAAACTGGGAAAACCTCGTATTCGATGACAATGAGAAGAATGGCAAAGTGAGCGTGGTAGGACTGAAAAGCAAAATATCAAACAAACAAACAAAAAAAACTAACAAATAAAGCTAGCGACTACACCTCCATATCCGAGTCATACAGGTCCGCTTGCCGTATCCGCCGTCGCTTTCTGAAAACTTTATTCGTGTAGAATATAACCGACTTACACAGCGGTCCGTTTCCGTTGCGGCTTCAACGATTCGTAGAATTCATTCGAGCTCTCCTCGTCCTCAGCCAAAGGCTGATAGTCATCCCGAGCGCGACAGTCGTACTTCCAACTGAATGTGTGCCCGTCCCACTAAATTTGTTATTCAGAGTTATTGGGGGAGAATGAGACACACCGATGCGGAGGCTATCTCGTTTGTCTTCCCATTCCATTCACACTCCCTTACGACGGCATTATGGCCCTGGAGGACGGCGACGCTTTCGCCTTTCAAGATGTCGAAAACTGGAAAGGGATAAGGCACTAGACTGTTAGCGGGGGGGGGGGGGCAAGCTGGCTTACTGTAAAGTGTTTTTACTCAACTTGGAGTTTCGATTCGGGACCAAGTGCATCTTGTGCAGAATTTTTCGCTGATTCCGAATCTGTTTTCCAAATTTGCTACGGACCGTGATTCTGAAAGTTATACGGCAATTATGACCCTATTTTTCACCAAAACGAAGGTATCGTCATAGTTTTCGATTTTCTTCATTAATTTCAACGTCAGAATTGACTAGACGCTGTCTCGACTAGCATCCTACAGATCAAAACAAGCATTTTAGATTAAAAATGAGATTTGTTATGCAAAAAGCAAAAGGAATGATGCAGGGCGGGGGTTCGAACCGCCGCCCTGCGCTTGGCAAGCGAGTACTTTGCCAATGCACCATGGTGCCAACCGGGTAGGGTGCTGTCAGAGGGTACTTCAGGGCCCCTGGGAACCATAGACCTCCTAAACGAGAAATAGTGGGCCAGCGACCGAACTTTTGGCTTTTTTCGGCCTAATTGTTACCAAAAATGATTTTTTAAATAAAAGTCCGTAGCAAATTTCAAATCCGTATTCGGAATCAGCGAAAAATTCTGCACAAGATGCACTTGGTCCCGAATCGAAACTCCAAGTTGAGTAAAAACACTTTACAGTTAGACGAGTAGCAAATTCTTTTACCATTTATAGTTATTAAAACTACTAAAGTCCCCAGAGCCTATTGAGAAAATTCAAAACTGGGTAAAAAGCGAGTTAAAAGATACATATTTAATTCGCAGGCGATCGGCCAAAGTTAAGTCATGTCAGAATATCACTGAAGACTTACTCCAGACTTTCCCTGCCGCACATCCGGTGTAGACATATCTGGAGCCGGTGCTCCGGGGTGAGAATCGAGCTCGAATCAGCGTGTGCCTCACAACATGACCGTAGAACGTCATCAGTGAGCAGTCGCCTAAAGATTAGCCTTTTCTTCTAAGCCACTCGCCTACCTGGGAGAAGCTCCGACTGATACACCGGATTCTGATTAAACCGGTAGTCCCAACGCTGCGACCGCACACAATTCGTTGTTTCCTCCTAGAAGGGAAAATAATTATACAACCCAAGATGACTCACCACGGCTGCATCTGACGCAAATCTACGTATGTCCCAAATCTTGATTGACTGATCCTTACAATTCGTGACAACATATCTGAAAAGAAAAACAGACGTAAAGTATGATATTCAGGAGCAACCTATCATCCTCTCGAACATCCACCGAAGTAATCCCGTCGCGGTGGCCGGCAAATATTCCGGCTGGTTGATCGGATTCTCCCATGGCCCGTCTGTCCCAGACCTAAATCAGTGAATAAAATAAATGAAAAAAAATAATAAACCGTACCTTACATAATCCATCATCACCGGCGCTGAAAACAAGGTGATTTTGACTGCTAAATGCGACTGTGTTGATGTCATCCTCATGTGCAGTCAGCTAAAATCGAGAAATTCAGCACGAAGGCCCAAAAAAAGGTGTAAACAGATCTAAATTGCCCCTACTCTCTAACTTACATCCAAAGTAACGCGCTTCGTTTCCAAGTCAACGGCAAATATCCGGAATGCTGAAGAACCAGCCAAAACTTCACGCCCATCAGGAGAGAATTTGAGTTGGAACAGAGCAAAACCGTTATTTCTAGAAAAATTTGATATTTCATTCATCTAGCCCGAACAATACCTTTCGGCGTCTTCGTCTTGTGTCAATTTCAGCTGCTCAAACGCCGGCTCCGGCTCCGAAAACTCTTTGCCGAGTTCTCGTTCCTGAGAATCAAGTACAAACAAAAGGAATAAAAGACGAACCATTCTGTATCGTTTTGTGCTTCTCATCCCCATCCGCGTCAAAAAGACAATATCGCGCCATGTGGTGTAGGCTAGATACTGTGAATCCGGGCTGATCGCCACGTCTAGCACCGACCATCCAACAACCGGCACCTGGAAAAAAGCTGATTTTCTCTGAACCTAGAATATTTTCTACCTGTAAGTGACTGTCTTCCGTGTATCGCTTTGAGTAATTACAGCCTCTCGTATAAAATCGGATAACACCATCTAAGATTTCTCTTAAATAAAGCTTTCAAAGATATACCTTGACTTGCAGTCATAATATCATCATCGTTGAAATAGTGAGCGCAAAAAGTCTTTATCCTCGTCGCATCTACGAGCTTATGTCGATTTGGCAAGAAACTGAAAAATTGACAAATTATTCGAAAGGTTTTAATGATTCTAACCTATCTAACATGCTTGCTCGACCGACACTGGTGTTATATCCTCGGCCGCCAAGCTGCAATGCCGTCCGTTGTCGGCTAATCGGCGAAAAACCGGCCAACGGCTGGCTGGTCGTCGCACAAACGTGTTGCAATCGGCTGATCGACTAAATAGCAATATTTTAAAAATTAATTCAGACTAACCGGTTGACAATCTCCAGGAACATAACCAAAAGGGCCGTCGATGTCTCGGCGATTCGGCGGTGATCGAGCTGGCGGCATCTAGATATCGTCGATTAAGGGTTTTTTGCGATAAATTACAAACCTCTTGATCCGAGTCCGAGTCAGACGAGTTTGACTAAAGAATCTGATAAAAGATGAATCAGTTGTGGTACCGAATCTGACATTCGTCGCTGTTGGGCGGCGAGCGTTGCTGCTTGCGCGATCAAATTGATTGGTGGCTGGTATTCGATGTAGGGTCTGCAAAGTAAAAATATAAAAAAATAAAATGTTTAAAAGTATACGGCCCAATTCGACACATTTACAAAAAAAATAGAGGTCTAGAAACAGAGAACAACAAACAAAGCACGTGCTATTCCCACCTTTGCAGCTGCTCCAAGCCAAAAATATACCGCAGCGGCAAATCTACGAATGCGGACCAGCTTATGCCCATGTATTCAACATTTCAGGGCTTCTAGGGGTGATTCTATCGCGTAAGAGGTAGGTATGGATCAGCTGATGAATGGAGGGTGGAGGGTCGAATCCGCAGCACTACAAACTACCACACCAGTCATACACAGGCCCAGATCTTTGTAGTTGCTGTGTTATGCTGACATTAGGGGGGCTAAAACGACGCCGGAGGAGTCGCGGACCGTCCGAAATATGCTGACCAAGAAGTGGAACGTACCTGGTCGAATAGGAGGGGCCGAAAAAGATCCTAGAGGCTAGTTAAAGGGATACGGAAGCAAACTATTGGAAAAATTAATGTATCGCAAATGTACGTCCCCGGACGCCGGAGTGATATTACGCAAGTACGTAGCGTAATGTACTCCGTTCTACCGTACGCCGAAAATTCCGCTTAAATAGGCTTGCCTGTAGAAATTACGGTCATTCGTCGAAAGTATGCTATCGGAATAATTTTATAAGATCTAAAATTAGAATTCTAACGAATTCTAAAAACGAATTTTTTTCGTTTTTTCGCTCGAATCGTTTTTTTTCTAACTTAATACGTTGTCGGATTTATACAGCGTTATTATACGTTCCTTTTTCTCTGTGCCGTGCTCCTTTTAAAACTCAGAATTAATCATTCATTCTCGACCCCCGGTATATCTCCACTTCCTGGTCCAACACCTCCAAAATTGCTCTGTCTTCCTTTGAGGATATTTTTGGCAACCTCTAGCTAGAGTACTGCTGCCCCGCGGTCAGCCAAGTTCAAGATGCGTTATCATTTTGGCCGAGCCAGGCTTCTCGCAACCCTTTTGCTGATAGCCAACTCATCCAAAATGGCCAGTTTTTCGTGCCCATCAATTTGGACAAAGATTTAATTTTATAGACGATGTCGTTTCACTTGGGCGGGAACACCCTGCGCGTCTCGGCCAAGCTTTTCGTCGAAAATCGCCAGCGGTTGGTGAAAGCGCTGAAGGAAAAGGTAGTCGTGTTATTTTACTAAAGCTAAATTCCTCTTTTCTAGGTATCTGGCCCCGGAGCCGTCGTTGTATTGGAGGGTGGCCACGAGAAGAACAGATACAACACCGATGCCGATGATTTGCCCTTCAGACAGGTACAAAATTGACTCGTTTTGTATTGATTTTTAGGAGTCTTATTTCTTCTGGACATTTGGCGTTCAAGAATCTGATGCCTTTGGGCTGATCGATGTTGACTCGGGTCGCAGTGTGCTTTTCCCGCCTCGTCTTCACCCGGATTACGCTATTTGGGATGGGAAGTATGAATAGAATTTAATTAATGAAGTAATGTTTCATTTCAGGATTGAGCCTGAGTCTTGGTTCAAAACTAAGTACGAGGTTGATGAGGTTCATTTCCACGACGAGAAGACGGCTGCTATTGCTGATAAGTTGAAAGAACTGAAGGCGTCGAAGGTTTATCTCTTGGTAAGGGTATTTATCGTTTTTCGAACTTTTGTTCCTAGAAAGCCGACAACACCGACTCGGGCAACGTTCTGCCACCAGCGGAATTCAAAGGAAAGGATGGGTAGGCAATATTTTAGTTTTTGTATATTTTTATTCAGCTTCACGATTGACAATGACGCACTTTACCCTGTGATTGCCGAGCTTCGCGTTTTCAAGACTGATCTCGAGCTCGAGGTTAGCTGCCTGAATTGTCCATTCAGCCCTTTTCTAGGTATTGCGTTACGCGAGTAAGATCGCTTCCGATGCGCACAAGGCTGTCATGAAGCACATCAAGCCCGGCCTTTTCGAGTACCAATGTGAAAGGTATTTTTATAAACATTAATTTATGACCTTATTTTGAGCTTGTTCCGCCATACCAGCTACTACACGGGAGGATGTCGTCATCTCGCCTACACTTGTATTGCTGCCAGGTTAGATCCAAAAACTCGCTCCTAATGTTCTCTAGTGGCTGCAACGGTTCTATCTTGCATTATGGACATGCTAACGCCCCAAATTCCAAAGAAGTGAAGGACGGCGATATGTGCCTCTTCGACATGGGTCCTGAGTACAATTGCTACAGTAAGTTCAACGGGCAAAATTAAGTACCACCATTTAGCCTCCGACATCACGACTTCCTTCCCTGTGAACGGGAAGTTTACGGAAAAACAGAAGATTATCTACAATGCCGTTCTGGATGCGAATCGCACCGTTCTACGCGAGGCAAAGATTGGTAGGGTTAAGAGGAAGCGAATGAATCAATGTGAACATTTTTCAGGCGTTAAGTGGGCGGACATGCATCGGTTGTCTGAGAAAGTCATCCTAACCCATTTGACCAACGCCGGACTCCTCCATGGCGACGTAGGACCACTCACCCTGTCAATTATTTTTTAAGGTTGATGCCATGGTCGAAGCTCGTCTTGGAGCTGTTTTCATGCCCCACGGTCTTGGCCACTTCATGGGATTGGATGTGCACGATTGCGGTGGATACCTTGGGGTAGGCGGTCCGAACTCTTGAGGTAACCTCCTTTAGGACGCCGAGCCTCGCTACAAGGTTCCTGGGCTGAAGAGCCTGCGCACGACGCGTACCCTGCGCGAGAGGATGGTGATCACCATCGAGCCCGGATGTTATTTCATCGATTTCCTGCTCGATGGGGCCTTTGCGGACCCCAAGCTCTCCCAGTTTATGAACAAGGAAAAGATTGCCGAGTACCGCGGATCCGGAGGGGTTCGTACCAGGTTAAAACGTACCAGTCTCTTTAGGTACGTATTGAAGATGATGTCGTCATCTGGGAGAAGGGCAACGAGAACATGAGCCAAGTCCCGCGCACCGTCGAAGAAATCGAAGCCCTGATGGCCGATCGCTAAATACTTAAGATTAAGGTTAATGCATTTGTATTTATTCCCCTCTGTGATTTATTCAAACGTGTAATCAAACGCCTTCCTATCCTGCAATAGTCGAATCTTGGTTGATGCATCACTTGTGTTTGATAGATTTATATTAGCTTCCACCCGTATTCACAAATGTCAAATTGCACCGGTATTAATCGAAGAGAGGGCAGTCAGGATATTAGTTTCGTTTCTTTGGGTCGCGGCTTCCATGGTAGTCTCCATCCATTGTCGATATTCCTGCTTTTGCAGTTCGCTGTCGATCGTTAGCTGATGAGCGAGGCTCAGCTTCCGATAGTTGAAAAGTTCCTAACCGGAAATAAGTAGATCGCGGCAGCTTACCTTGAACCTCGCCAAATAGATGGCCTTGTGCTTGGAGTCAACAGTAAGGTGGCGGAAGATGGTGATATATGACTGCAGCACGTCCAGCTCGTTCAAAGGCACATCGCCGGGCTCGTAGACTTTCACGTTCGATTGCTAATAGACAGTTTTAAACAGATAATTTGCTAGTAACTTACAAAATAGACGCGAAGACACAGCATCATCAAGCAAAGCAAATTTTGAGATATTGTCGTAGTCGTGGTTTCCAGTTGGCGCGTTAAAGAGGCTCCACAATTCTCCAGGATCCGAGCGACGAATAAGGCAGCTATTGTCTAAATGATCGATACGGTAATAGCTACGATTATAGTTAGAAAACCCTCTGCGATAAAACCCACAGAACCACGCTGTGCCGACTGTTGAATGCATTTCCATACAGCACGCACCCAAAGTTCAAGCCTGAATTCGCCGAGTCGCTCTGGCGATTCACAGCATTTGCCGAGTGCCTAGAAAAGCAAAAATTATATTGACAAAAGAAATAGGCCGCGAAACATACCGCTGGAATTTCAAGTATTTGCCGAGAAAGATCATCAAATTGTGCCTCGGAGGATGAGCCCGGCTCACTGGTATTACGCACAAAGTCCCGAATCGCATCAGACGCCTCACGAAATCCCGGGACTGTAGGCATATCATCGTTATTTCCACTTTACCATTTTTCAGACCTTTTTCGGCTTCTTTGAAATGCGAAAATACACAACGGATCCAGACGGCAACTAGCGTATCCACCCGACATGAAACATCATCCACCTTTCGTGCAACATCCTTGCTGCTGGCCCGCTCCAACTTATCGCGCAAATGGAGGATGACCTTGTACTAAAAAGAAAATACCCATCTTCATTCACTTTACCGAAAATACGCTGTCGCATATGAAACGCGTGTCCAGCAGATATCTCAACAATTTGGTGGTTTCCGAATCTTTTCCGAGATAGGTGCCCGAAGAAATGTTGATTTCGACCTGAAATTGGCTTGAACAGATGAATAATAATTTCACCTGAGCAAGCAGGTAGGATTGTGCCAGTCGGGCCGTTCTTTCTTCTTCAGCTGTTTTCAGCCTCTTGGCCACTTTCTCTGCTCGGTCCCAGATGTATTGCGGTAACTGCAAAAAATCATATAAACGTATTTATAATCGAGTCACCTTTTGAGTGCAAGAGGCCGCTAGATAGCTGCAAAATTGCCCGAATTCATTTTCGGTCAATCGTTCGACGGACGATTTGCTCGTTTCGGACACGGGATTCTCACTGAAACCGCCGTAAATTCAATCTATATTTTTTAAAATTCGGGTTAAATTATACCCACACAATCATTTCGGCCATCTCCTCGATCACACCTCCACGATTGTTTGTATCAACCAGCGTCAAGACTAAAAAAGTTAAAAACGAAGTAACAAATGCCTTACGATATTCCGCCAACACGGCGATGGTTTGTTTGGCTGGACCCCGTTGTTCAGCAGCTTGTAATGTCCGCTTCATTCGCGCGACGAACGCGCGGATTGTCACTAGGCGCTCCTAAAAACAACCTAATTCGATGATAAACTGATGACGAGCCTGAGACACTGCACACTTATCGACTTGAGTGACTGGGATCTGACTAGTGAAGCCGACGATGGAGAATTGGGCAGCACCGGGGTAAAAGACGGCCTGTTTTTCCTGAAAAAATACAAAATAAATAATCGAAAACGGGCTAGTAACTATCGTTCGACCTACATGTTCATATCGATATTGTTGAGTCTGTGGCTGGGCACCCGGTAGACCGACGGTCACCGCGTCTCGGATCCATTTATCCAGCTTCTCGACTAATGGCAGGGGATCTGTAAAAGTGGAATTTTGACAAGAGGAAGCTACACAGACCCTTCAAATAACGCAGCCAAACTCGGCACAAAACACAGGTCCGCTCGAATTTTTGGTCGTTCGGGTCGGTGAAATCCTTGTCGGAAAATTTGCTGGTCAGTATGGCGTGGATGCTCTTGGCGAGGTTTTCGTCTAAAAATGTCCACACTGCAAACAGATTAATAAACCTTACTAGAAATCAAAAGGGCGAAAAGCTTCAAATAGTGCTCATTGGCTGAGAGCAACGGTTGCTTGGAAGATGCTATACTTTCTGGATCACGCGGGCATGAAAACTAAAGCACAGTTAAAGCCAACGTTGCAATGTTACATCACGAATATCAGAACCAAGTATCGATTCCAAGACCGCTTTCATCAAAGTCTGTGCCCGGGGTATCGCCTCGAGCTTCAAGCAGCCTTGATCGACAAGTTTTATCAAAGCTATGGCCACTGTATAACTGTCTTTCGGCCACGCACGTACTAAAAAAAATAATTATTTTTTTATTTTAAATCACCTGCCAGATCGATCAATGATTTAGATGTCGTCTCCAGGAATTCGGCACCGGGGTTCAACAAGGCTGAAAAAGGCCATTGAAAGTTGAAACTTCCTTACCATGACCTTTAAAATGCCAACGCTCCACTTCCGCCGCGAATATAAATATATCGAGAGCTTCTACTGGAGCGAAGCAGTCGGCGAACGACACTAAAGCTCTTTGAAAATGAAGACAGCCGAAGTTACGTGTTGATTGAAGGGGTTCCGGTGGTGGCTCGAGCAGCTTTGGCAAGTAATACTTCCTTAGATTATACACCATAGACAAAAAGCATTGGCACTCGATTTTGTAGTCCTAAAAGAAAATTCCAGCCGATTTCGGATTTCCTACCGAAAGCACAAAAAGGTCTACGAGCGATTTGGCATGGATCCAGGTCAGTTTCTCCAAGTAAGGCGTTGTCTCTATCGGTTGCTTTTCTGAAAAAATACAAACTTCGCAAGAAGCTAGAGACATACCACGAATAATGGCTAATGCTGTGAGGCAGCTATTCCAGATTGAGAACTTGCCATGTAGCGGAAGATAGGTCTATAAAACTTTGTCCTTGAACACAATCAAAACTTATTACCTTCCTCATCAATGGTTGAGCCGATTCTCGCTTTATCAAACTTCCAACGGTGCGTAAGAGGAAAACGATTTCCTGCAAACACGACGAATGAAAATCTTGAATAGAGTTACCTCTCTCAAGACAGTAAGTGCCGAGAAACATGCTTCCCCCGACGCGAAGCCCGTAATTTTGATCAAAAAAGAAAGCTGCCGGCGCAGCTCCGACAATTTTTTATCGCAGCAAGTGTCGGCTTCAAGCTTGTGGTATGCCATCAGCAGCTTATTGAAACGGGCCTGGATCCCAGAAGCTGTGCAGCGCTGAAACAAGAAGGTTCCAAGGAATTCCAAGAATCCCTTACATAATCTTCAGCTTGTCGACAAGGGTCATTCTGAAAGTCGTCAATAGACTGTATGATTCCAGCTGGATTTGAACAGGCGGCAAGGAAGGCTTTCACCACACGCTCGTCCTCATAATCAACTAAATTATATGAAAAATCACTGTTAATATTAATATACCTCGACCACAAGATTCTGGATCAATCTCAGACGCGGGCAAAATTGTAGAAGAATCGTTGAACACTTCCTGGGTGCCCCAAACAATCTCCAATGGTTTGAAATCGACCATGTTATCTGAATTTATTATTAGAGCTATATATATTTCGCCAAAAAACGTCTGAACAGGTAAAGTTTAGAATAGGCAGCTACAGTATCCAGATGACAATTTTTTTCTCCAATAAGCTACGGCTTTCGAAGTGGTGTAATGTTGCCTTTTTCGTATAAGAAAGACTAGAAGGCTCAAAAACTTCCTAGCAAAGTTATTCTATTTTTATTTGAGTTTCAAGACAGGATTTTAGAATTTTTTTCGTGTTTTATAAAAAAGCATTTCCCGCCAAGTACGCCAGGATACTAAAGCTGGTGCCACGGCATGGTCTCTTTTCATTCGTTAAAGGTCTCCACCATGTGAAGGGCCGATCCGGGAAAAACAACAGCTTCTGCTATCGATCATAATCGCTAGAATTTAATATACCGTTTCGGATATTGCCAGTCGACTCCTTGGCACCCTCAAAAACATGATTTTCAGATGGCGCAAGCCCTTCAGGACCAGCCATGGTACTGGGGAGCCGTATCCAAGGAAGAGGCAAGTCTTATATAATTCATCGATAACATCCCAACGCAGGTTGCCGGCGTCTTGTACGGCGAACCGGATGGCTCCTTCTTGGTGCGTGACGCGTCGACGCCTGGAGATTACACATTAACGATCAGGTTCGATGCCGTACTGGGGTCCATGGAAATGTATTAAGATACCTTGGTCAAACCAAGCTGGTCAAAATTCACGTTGTGAACGGGAGATGTGGATTTGCTCCCGATGCTCTAACGCATAGCTCGGTGCCGAATCTGATCGATTTTCATCGAGTGCGGTCCTTGTCGGTAAGTGACTCACACAAAGCTAAGACAGCCGTTTTCAGGTTTATAATGAATCTCTCGATATCAGCTTGCGACATCCGGTGGCCCGACGAAGAGAATCATTTTCTGGGGTATTTACTTCTGTATCCGATATATTTTTTTGAAGTGCATTTCGCCCCCGTCAACTTCGAGAATAACGTCCCCAAAGTCTGGCTCGCCGAAGCTTCGTAAATCCCTCCCGACGCTGGAACACTACAACCTGCCCCAGCCTGTCAACGACGATCCGCTATGGGAAAAGAATGTTGGATTGGAGAAACTAAGGTTCATTTTTTCAGGAAAATTTTCAATTGCTTTTTAGGATAGCGCAAACAGCACTGGCTCGCGCGCGCAGATTATACGACTTGACGCACGAAGAGTTGGCAAGGGCCGAAGATCTGCACCGAAAGCAAACACAGGCGGTTTGTTTTCGAAAAGTAACAGGCTTGCGGCTTAAATCTTTGTCCTTTTTCACGAATGATTTTAGATGCTGGATTCTGAGCGAAAGATCGAGGTCATGCGAGATGTTTGTGACGTCCAAGAAAATACCGTTTTTTCTGAGAAGGATAATCCCAATTTGCCGGAGGTCATGCAGAATAATCAAGCCGTCCTCAAGCAGTACATCGAAGCCCTGGAAAAAGAGCGCGATTATATCAAGACCCAGATGCATCAATTAGATTCAGCTATGGAATCGCTTCGAGTGTCTTGCGAAAAGGCCCAGGTAATACACGAGGAAATTTGCAGCTTACCATTTTTTAGGAACGCCTCCAACATAATAACAAGATGGCCAATGAATGCTTTTCTTCCTTGAGAGCTGCTGGTGTACCGGCTAATGAATTGGATGAGACAACCGAGCGCGCCAAATCGAAATTTATTCAGGTAAGAAATAAAAAAAACATGAGCATGAAATGTTTTTTAGTCTGAAACCGTGAAGGTCAGCCAAATTCTTGGCGATCTCCAATTGACTTGGGGACCAAGTCGATATTTGGTGAACGACTGCACAAAGGAAGGGGCCCATACCCTCATTACTTCGGCCAAGCATCGCATTATCGAGGCTTCCCGACAAGCAGGCGTAAGCTACATACATAGGAAAACCTACGAATTAGAAGTAAATCAGCTCATCATTTTAGGTCTACCGGCATCCACCACAAGGCATTTTCTTAATCCGCCCTAGCGGAAGCCAACCGGATAAATTAGTCCTTTCCGTTCTCAACAATGAAAAGGTCTCCCATTGTTTAATCGAGCAATCTGAGCAGGTAGTTTCTCCAGCAAAAATAACGCAACTTGAAAAACCTTTAGGGATGGGGCTTCGAGCACGGAGGGCTTTATTTTGTGACGCTAGGGGATTTTGTGCGTTATTACTCGCACACCTCGCTCGTCGAACATAACCCGGAAATCAACACGTGTTTGACCGTAAGTGATGAAACGCAGACAGAAACAACTGAGATAAATAGGTACCTGCTCTCTCCTCTGCATTGACAAATCGTGCATCGATTTCTCACGAAGACGTAAGTTCTAAGAAATCAACTCTTTCCGCCTAAAGGAATCTTTTAAAGGGCTTTTCGTTTTAAAAACTAACTTCCTCTCATCCTCGAAATTTTTTCATAAAAATTTCAGAAACACATCGGATTGGTGCAAAGCCCCACCTCTGCCGCCACGAACACTTTTGCAAAAATGAGTATGGCGGAAGGACCGAGTCTCCAAAAGACTGAGGCCGTCAATTAAATTGACCTGCTATTTCCCCCTATCAATTTTATGCCCATTTTGATGTATACATTCAATTTCCGGTGTCGGATTCAATTGCAATAACCCCCGACACCGGGCGCTGTCCATCAATGCCCATGAAAATCGTTCGATCTCCCCGCTGTGAAATGCCTTTTTGTGGATTTGTAAACTATTTTATTTTTTTCACACCACTCACATTAACTACTTCATATCGTTTATACGAGGATAAAGACATTTTTTTAAAATTTGTTTGTGTCCAGCCTGATCTTATTGGTTGACTCCGCAGCGATACCTTTTGTTAAAGTAATTTTAGAATTTAATTAGCTCGTGTGGAACTGATTTCGTAAAAGCCTTATGATTTAGGTATGAAATTCACTTTGGACCGGGACACCCCAGAGCCAGAGGGAGACAAAGATAAGGACGTCTCCGAAGAGGCAAACGTGCGAGAATACCTCTCTTTTGTCGGTATGGGTAAAACCCGCCCCCTAATCTCTTCGCTTTAGTTAATAATGGCAGCGAGCCCACCGATCGATTCCAGCAGCTTGAAAATACGCTGGAGCAATTTCAGGTGATTCACGACGGCCTGTTATTTATTTCCGCGTTTAGGAAAACGCACGGCATTTGGGCATCATCGTCAGCGACTTCACGCCCAATGCGCAGGACAGCCTAAATCGCAAGATCCACACCCTTTTGACTGGATTGCAGGTTTGGGCCTTATTTGGAGAAATAACATATTTATTTACAGGGATTAGACCGATTGCGGCACGACTTTGATGACGTCAGAGTCCCGCTAGAACTGTTGGATTTCCTGGATCAAGGTAAAAACCCGCAACTCTACAACAAGGAATGTCTTGAACGTGTGCTTGAAAAGAACAAAGAGGTTATATCGATGCATAAGCTTTGAAACTTTATTTAGGCGAATGGGAAGATCGAACTCTTCAAACGGTTCCGGGCACTTACGTTGAAGGAACTAGGCTAGTTTTTCTCTAATTTCTGGATCTAAGGCATTTTGATTGGCTTTGGACTATGTTTTTTTTTGCAGGAGAGGAAATGCCCGAAGAAACAGCACAATATCGCTATGTACGCGGCGAGAACGAAGAAAGCAAGAGTCCATAAAAGATCTCATTTATTCAATCAGGTGCGATGCGGGTTCCTATTTTCGTTAATAAATATATTTCACCTCGATTTTACCTGGTTTTCAAAGAAGATTTGGTTCTTCAAATACATATGTGCTTTCTTCTTTCAGCAACAATTTGTTTATGCTGTTTAAGATGAAGGTGTTAGATCGTCTCCGGCGAATTTTCACAGGTGGATCCGAATCGGCACATGAGCGTTTGAGAGAAGAAAGTACAGGTATAGTCGTTTTATCAATCATCCTAAATCTATAGATGCAGCCTATGGGGCGGCGCCCTCTGACGGGGCAAGCCAGCGAACGGTCTCCAATGATTATACCGAATTGCGATCGGGCAATGTTTTATGTCCAAGCTGCAAAGGAACCGGCCTAATCCCGAGAGGTCCGTTTTTGATCAACAGTTCAGGCTTTGTGTAGCGTAATTCCTCTGAGATAACCACTAAAATCCTTTTTCAATCACCCGGAAAAGGGAGCGTATGCTCTTAATTTTTATATCTGCAAATTAGTAATTTGAAATGACATAGATTTTTAGTGCTTCAAACTGCTGAGGGCCACTCAGGTTCACATTTAGGCTCAAAAAGAAGCGTTTTTCGCATTTGTTTTTCGCTTAAATGCTATTTTGAGCCTTTGAAGGGGTGTGGGTGTCATAGATAGAGAAAACACGAAATATAGTCCTTATTTCATTTAGAGCTCGAAGAGACCCTCGTCGCCCTGATCCCTTTGAACGACGATCGTTTGAAGCCAAAACGCACGGTCTGGTGGGTGCTTCTAGGGATAGGTAAGGCTTTGCTTTTCCCCCGAATATTCCTGTTCAGCAATCGTGTTGGTGATTGCTTTTATCGTGGTCTTCATGCTGATACCAAGGGCGGTCGATATTATGGCTAATCAATCTGCCATCGACCTCGTTCATGTCGTCGAGCATTCGGCCATGCCCGACCCAAAAGTCAAATTCCATTTCTTGGTATTTATCTCTTCATTTTTTACAACGTTCCTAGAACTACGTCCACGTCGCTAATCATAACTATTATTCGGTTAGCGTGGTCAACACCAGCGCCCAAGTCATTTGCAAATTCCAGCCGTGGAACAGTGAAGAAATTGGTAATTACCGTTGTTTTATATAATCTTTTTCTTCAGGGCAAGGCAAGAACTTGACGACGTTCAACATCGGCCCGCTGAGCACGGATGGGAATCGGCTGTATTTCAACAACTCTGTTGAAATTACGGGGGTGGCAGCGTGAGTTTTTTTCTGGAACTTCAAACTAACATAAGCTTACTGGTAATGGAATGATAGCGGGGGGGTGGCGGGGAGGGAAAAATAATTTTTCTAGTTTTCTGGAACAATTTTTTATTCTATTTTCTAGTTTTTAGATTGTTAGGGTTGAGACAGTCTTTTATATTTTTGAGAGATTTTTGATAGACAGTTTTAGATATAAATAAACAAGTATATAAAAATATTCAACTTTCAAAATTTGATGACTTTTTGGTCAAAAATATAAGAAAAATGGCTAAAAATTATGACTATACAATATTTGTTATAATGCTAAAAAGGGTCCAAAAAATACCTGATCAACACCTAGGTATAGGCGGAAAGATAAAAATCAGTTTCTCCGTTGCTACCCCCCAGCTAACAGTCCATTACCAACTTAATTCAATTATTTTTTAGGGAATATTGCCAGGCTCCATTCTCCAAGCTGACTTCTCTGTACATCAACATGCAATTCAATGTCATCGCTCTCTTTGAATATTTCAATCATCGCGAACAGGTACGCTATTTGACCGTTTGGGGTTTTGCTTCAACATCTTTTTTTTAGGTGACAATCTCGATGACGCAGCAGGTCTGCTGCGTACCGAGCGGCAACTGTACATCACGCTAAAGAAATCCTCCTACTTTCCGACCCCTCAACCCGCTCAATGCCGATATCGAATTATGTGCTCCAGGATGATTCTTGTACATAACTGTCTCGATAAGATTCTGTGATATCATGAATTTTGAAATTTGCCAAATTGTCTGTAGAATACTTAGCTTGCCTGGCAGCCCTAATACGGATGAACTGACCAAAATGCTTCGAATAAAGATGCTATCATTTCTGTTGTATCGCGGGTGAGCTGTTTTGAAAAACTTTATTGATGTATGAAGACATAACTTTAAACTTTGGTATATTTCTGCTGTACTTTCATTTCTATGGAGGCGTTATAGTAGGGACTAGAATTGGGACAGGTTGAGCGATCGGGCAAACGGCTCGGTTTTGATCTGATTGTCGGGCATGGGATTGGCCTGCTCGGACACGTCACTGGAGGTGGATGCGGTGCGGCCATTGTGTGATACCTAGAGGGGCGCGATCTTTTTTGTATTGTAAGGCCCACCTTGATGACATGATTATTCAGTAAGTCTTCAAACGAAGCACTGCCCACGCCTAGTTGACTTGTGATAGCAAAATAGGCGTTGACGTCTTCTAGGTTAGTGTGGGTACGCATGTGAGCTCTGAAAGGGTTGGTTATTTATTTATTTAATTTTGTACAAATTTAAAGGTTATTGGGCCTAGAGATATAGAAATTAGAAGGCTCTCACCTGATACCGCGCGGCGAGAAGCCTCGGTACCCGCACTCTCTACAAACATACGCCTGTACATCCGCATGCGCTTGCCGCATATGCACGGAGAGTTGAGAGGCCGAATTTGGCTGGTAGTCACATTGGGAACAACGCGAGGGCACCTAACTTTTTTGTAGATTTTAGTTTTTCTGATTAACTTTTTCTTATCTAGAATTTCTGACGATTACATATTTGTTTTTGCACCCACCTTTCTCGGCGAATCGCGAGAAGAGGAACCGGGGCCGTCATTCTGCCGCGCAGACAATTTGCAGTAATGTTGTTGGTGGGCATTGAGAGTAGCCTCAGCGGAAAATGATACACCGCACGCGCAAAGGAACGGCTTTTCCCCATTCTCCAGTGTTATCTATAAAAATAGGCTTTTTTATACAGGGTAATTTACCTTGGGTATTTTGATCGGTAGCGGAATGGGGAGGCTTGCGGAGACTGTCGTAGGGATAGGTGCCGGGTTGAGCCCGGGGCGACTTCTTTTTTGCATCATCATGTCTACTTTCGAAGCCAGACCAGCGGCTCGGCGTTTACGAAGTTCAGCATCCCTGAATAATATCACATTCACTATTTAATGCTTTCTGGAATTATTAACTTAAGTACAGTACGTTCTTTCCAGGCCCAACGTACTTAGCCATGGTCAAAGTAAAAAATAGGTACGCTTTCAAAGCATTTCAAGATCGTTTTAGATATGTACTCGTACGACTCGAAAGCACAGACAAGGCCAAGCTGAATATTCCGGGACATGAGCTCTATCGGGAGATGCTAAGGGTTAGGTTGTCTCACAAATTTAGACGTCATTTTAGCTCATCTCAGAATTTCACGGCGACTTTGGGCACGCGAAATGCTCCAGAATCACGGTAACTATATCGAATATGAGCCAGAACTTTTGTCTAGGTAAAAATAATGGAAGACGATATCGCAGTTATACGAGTTCCCGCTGATGATTCGACAATCGCCTTTTCTGTGTTGCCATTCATCAGAGTTCTCAAGGGTGTCAGCCTCACGGCCAGCATTTTGTTTGTTGGTAAGGAATTTTTACCCTCATCTTTAATTTCGTGTCTTATAGGCAGATCGATCCGCACCCTCCAAAAAAGACTCGTGAAAATTCGTCGAAACGAGCTCACGATGATGCTCTCAAAATGCGAATCTTTATGTGGGTTTTTTATTGGGAATTGACAGTGCATTTAGATGAGCGAAAAAAGGTGCTGGAAGCCATCAGATCGGTGACCGGCAAAATCGAATTTGAGGGCAGGACCGAATCGTAATTTACATAGATCTCATTCTACTTGCCTTCCACTTTGCGTGTATGAGCAATTTTTGAATAAACTGTTAGACTCACGTCGATCGGTCGAGCTGCACTAACGGTATCGACAAGTTGATATCTCCCGTAGAAAAGTTTGTCTCTGACGAATTGAGCTGAAACTTCCGGTGAGACACTGCGCACATAGTTTTAAATTCAAGCAACTTACGTCTGAATTAACGAGGATTCTGGGCATCCCATAGGCGCTGAGCGTATCCGGGAGTGAACCACGACCTACCGCCACCGGAATGATGGTCTGGGGAGGACCACATAACTAAAAATGGTCTTTTGACTGGAATTCAGTCTCACTTGTACTGCATTCTCGTCCTCGGTATCGAGAAAAGCCACCGGAAGGAAGATGATGTTTGATGGGGGCGCGGCATTCAAGTTTGCTGAAAAAGATAGGTTTCCAATTTGCTCCATTAAACACGCAACGCTACAACCGAAATGGCCCGGAAAACAAACCGAGTTTTGGAGGGTAGCCGAGGAAAAAGGGACGGTTCGTTGGGAGTGGCGGGACGGACGTTGAAGCAGAGGAGAGTGGCACGTGTAGGCCACCGGGTAGCGGGATCGTCAGCGGAATTCGTCCGAGCTGTTGTGGGCCTGAAAAATAGCCATTTACAGGCAAATCCTTCTTCTTGCCTTTTCTACAAACCCAAAAGCTTTGACACCTATCTCAATTCTCGAAACCCCAAATCCCGGGCCCCAAAACCCAGAAGCTGACGGCAATACACTGCCGTGCATCACTCATCGTAGTTCATTAGGGGGGACCCGCGGCAGGCGCAGGACCCACGGGCCCTCTCGCCTTATCTGGGCCCCGATCTGCGACTCCATCTATCACACGTGGGCCCTTATCGGCCTCCCTTTTTCCAGATCCCCAATTTCTTGCGGCCCAAAGCCGGCAGATTGGCCCCAAGATAAGGGGCCAACGGGCGGTGCGGCGAGCTCTGGCTAGGTGGATCGGGTTTGGCTAGCTATTGAGTGGGTCTGGTTGGTATGGCTTATCCAGGACTAGAGAGAAAAATAGGTCAAGGCTATCGGAAGTTGAAAATCCTTTTTCTGAGTAAAATAAGGTAGAACCTACCATTCCCTATCCCATTTAAAGGTCGATTCGCATTCGTTAATCTGGCTTTGCAATAATGCAGTCGGTGCGCCGTGAGGTTTTCTTGTGATTTAAAAGAGACACCACAATCTTCACAGGGATGACTGCCATAGGTGCTCGGGCCTGCGTTGCTGCCTAGAAAATCATTTCCGTTATATATGTTTACAAGGAGACGTTTTAGCGTAAATTCGGTTTTTGTGCAGAATTTCTATTAGGTTTTAGAGTTGGTGCAGCTGCAGGAACGGTTGTAAGAATCTGCTAATGGCCATTTTCAAGCAGCTACAGAGCTTTTTAGTTGAAAATCGTCTAAAATGACCTGTTTTCCAAGCCTACAAAAATTTTTAAAATGATAGTGGAAAAAATTGAATAACACCCTGAGAAAAAAAGCCCTCCCGAATGAGCAGGCTCGCGCATATTTTTTCCAAGTTTTGCTTAAAACGTTTTTTCAAACATGAAAAAGGATAGATACCCTCATCTTCTCCCCCGAGCTCTTCCTTGTCCTTTCCAGACTTGATCAACAGCCCGGTGATCGGTTGTCCCGGCGAGATTGGCCGCACCGTCATCAGCCAGAGGATATTTTCTGAAAAACGTACCTAACCTTGTGTAAACTTTCGCAATTTTCACCCAACCCCCCGCACTACACATTTGCTAGTTTCGATGCGCGTCGAAGTATTGTGTGGGCCGGCACCCAAAGGTTCGACGCCTCCTTATCGGGGCATTTTTGGGGGTGATAATATTGCTTATGGGGTGCCTATCACTCGGCCCAACGCATTCCAGCGTGGAAGCACAAGCCCGTCGCCGCGCCGCGCTACAGGAAAACAGTTTTTCTATTTGGATTAGGTGGAGAATGGGATGGAAACCCAACTTAGGCGCATCACCCAGTAAACTCCCAAGAATAAAAAAAAACACATGATTTTTGTAGCTTTGCAAAGCCGTTTATAACTACAGAAAGTTGTTAAAAATTATAAAAACTACCGAAAATACTACATTAGGTTATTACTATTATAATTAGGTTATTTCGCATTAACGGGGCAAAACAATTTTTTTGTAGAAGCCTAGCAACGCCTAGTAACTTAATTGGAAGCATTTTAATAACGTTCTTAGTGAAATAAAATTATATTTCAACCGGAAAAACTATTTAAAAAGTTTTGAAAAGGTCGAAATGTGCCCAAAAGAGTTATTTTCGGCCTAAAAATCTTTTTTTTTTGTATTTTTGGTTAATATTAGTAAAGTTTTTACGTTTAGAAATAGTGAAAACAGTTTAGAAACACTTCCGCTATTTATACCCCCCGATAATACGAAAGAACCGCGAAATCCTAGAGAAACCATAACCGTCTAATCCATTATGGAGAAATCCATAATCCATCCTTGCCAGAAATTACCCGAAATTAAGCTAGCTACTTCTCAGAAATGAGTCACATCACGATTTCCGGCGTCGCCCCCGCCAGTGACTAACTAGAATTTGGCTGATTGCCATAGATCCATACCACCATCTCTCACCCAGGCTTGCACACACAGACTGCCATTCGAACCTGCCCCCCATACACAAAAGCCTTATCTCCGGCCAATCGCCCGTCCTCCATCTCGGCCGAAACTTATCATTGGGCCGCTACAACGGACCCTATCACGTTCCGGTTCAGCATCTCGCCCCGAACAGCTGTATGCACCGGCTAACAATTTTTTGAAGCGAGCGTAAATAAAAAAATGGGGTTTGCTGGCGGCCGAAATAGGAAAAGGAAATATGGCTGCCTGATAAAATCTGAGGAAAAGCTGCTAGAGACAGAGATCACTATCACAACAACAACAAAAACACCCCCGAAAGTCAATCGAAATTTTGGTTCGATGACTTACCGTGTACATAAAGAAGCGCGTTAGCCTCAGCCAAGATAGTCGTTGACTTCAAATCATGCAAAACTGGATCGTCGGACAATATTTCCAGGTGCAACTGCTTTCCGCTTCCATCATCAACCTAAAATCGGGGCATGTATCTTCAAGTCGCAGCGGCACTCAAAGTAACTCACCGTGATCGTGGCATCATTAGCTTCCTCGTAATGTTTCACTCGATGCGGGCCTAAGATTCGACCCGCCAGAATCGCATCGGGATTTGGGGACGTCGCCCCGGATGAGGTGTGATTCTCCTCGAAGGGTGGAGCTGTCTAAAATCAATCATTATACCACGGAATCTCCAATCCTACATCTCGCATCTGCATCGTCGACTGTACTTGATCAAGTATTCTTCGCAAATTCTCCGAAGTCGGCTCTTCTTCAAGCTCGACTGGACCGTCAGTCTAGAATGAATATTCGTATTTATTGAAAATTACAGTAGACCTACCTGGTAACTAGTCGAAGGTTGGTCGCACGTCAATGGACTGGGCGAATGCTGCATTGCAGAGGGATGGGGCGCCTGAGGTGTGGCTGCCGAAACAACTTATCATTTATCAATGGCCGGCGACCCCGCCTGGGAAACGGCACAAATACTAGCTAAGAAGAGGTCCCCCAAAAAAGCCTCTAGTACCGAAAAGAAAGTCAGACCCTGAATTGACTCGAACATATGGCTCGAAAGTCGGCAACTAAGAACCTTTAAATTCTGCAAACAAAAACTAAAGAAATAGGATAAATGGATGTTTTGGTTGCAAAAGAGAAAGAGCAAGGTTGGGACCGGGGGGAAAAGCCTCGCGTCTATGAGAAATGAAAGGGGGAGGGGCGCTGCCATCAGATAAGATCTGATGCCTCCGAAATTGCGGTGAGGCCCGCAGGGGATGCCGATACGAAGCAATGGCCGAAAGAAAAGCTAAAATTGAGTTTTTGGGTTTGACCCCAAATCCAGGAAAAGGCCATGGAAGAGGTAGCTTTCAAGTAACCTTGAAACGTGTAAAAAATAACCATAATCAGGAAAATCCGGCAACTACAGGATAAATTTTATATTTCAGGTTTTGAATTTTGTGTTTTATACAATAAAGGGTAAAAAAATAAATAAATCAAACTACGTTCCGTAACAGTACAAATTACGGAACACGTAAGTTGGCGTACGGCAGACAAGTTGAACAAGTAATTCGGATTTTTGCAAGTTCGGATTTCTCGAAAAAGTCGGATTTTGAATTCTGAAAGGATTTTACCACACCAATCTTTTTCCGTCCTCTCGCGACTCATCGCCCATACATCAATATTTATACAATTCCAGAAACATGAGCGACGACAATTCCCCGCTTGTCACCGTGAAATGGATGCGCGAGAAGTATGAGCTGCCCTTGAACGTCGACGAGGAGCCCGAGGCGTTCAAGTCCCAGCTGTTCAGCCTCACCGGTGTGCCGCCGTCGCGCCAGAAGTTGATCATCAAGGTTGTCGACCTTTTCCCTTTTTAGGATTTCACCGCCCTGTTTTTAGGGCAAGACCATCCAAAACTCGTGGGACGGCCTGCAGGTCGCGCCCGGGATGGTGATGATGATGATGGGATCGACGCAGCCTCTTCTACCGGAAATTCAAGTATCAACGCCTGGCGAGCAGCCCTCTCAAGGTTCGTACCGTTCAGCGTTGTCGTTATTTTTCATTTAGGCGCCCAACGTGTTGAACAATACATGCCGGCCGGCCTGGAGAATTGCGGAAATTCTTGCTACATGAATTCTGTCCTCCAGGCTATGCACGTAAGCTTGATTGGCTTTCTGTTATTCGATTTAGACTGTGCCCGAGTATCGAGAGGTACTCGAGCGTTTTCAACTGAGCCCTAACTTCCAACAAAAGCCACGCGAGAATCTGGTGCACACGATGCGGGCTTCTTCTCGGATTATCGACCACAAGCCAGCCGGGTTTATGAACACCTTGGAGATGCTCTTGGTGGGTTGATCAGAAGTCGGGTTACATTTTGATTTTAGAGTCTGCATGCCGTTTTTCCTCAATTCAAGGAGAAGATGCCGAATGGAATGTACCAGCAGCAGGATGCGAATGAATGCTTCACAGGCATCATGCGGGTGACACTCGACGAGCTGAAAAGGCAGGAAGGTTGCCGTCCGAGTGCGTTTGTAGCTTAGGTTTTGGGAATATTTTTTGCTTCAGAGGGCTCTGAGGCAAACATTGATCGCTATTTCACGGGGGTCTATGAAATCACCTACACAAATACCGAGAACCCGGAGGAAAATCCGGAAACGGCGCACGAAGAATTCTTGCAGGTTCGATAGTTCGGTCTTGATTGACAAAATTCCTTCTCTTCCTTTAGCTTTCCTGTTACCTCGGACAAGACATTCGTTATATGAAGACTGGTCTAACGTCGAAGATGAAAGAGACCGTGACGAAATTCAGCCAGACCCTCGGAAAGGATGCTGTTTACAACAAGGAGGTAACCAAATTCTATTCGATATCACTTTTCTTCAGACTCTCATCGAACGCCTACCGGGCTACCTGTCGGTCCAATTTGTGCGCTTTTTTTACAAGGAGAGCGCCAAGGTATATTTGTCTCTTATCCTATTTTCTTTCAGAGTCACGTGAAAATTCTGAAGGATGTCCAGTTTCCCCTTCGCCTTGACGTAGCGGATATGTGCACCCCTCGCCTGCAAAAAGCTATGGCCGTTCATCGCGAAGAATTCCGGGTAATTATTTTTCAGAAAGTTTTTTAGATTTCGTTTAGAAGCAGGACGACGCGAAGCTCGCGTACGATTCTCAGCGCCGACAAGCCGTCGACGAGGCCGACGTTGAGGCAAGGGGTGTATGTAAATGAATTAGATTCGTTTAGGAGAAAGGGATCCCGCTGCCCTATTCTTTCCCGGATGATCACGGCTCGAACAATAGCGGCTTTTACGACCTTCAGGCCGTTATCACACACAAGGGCCGCTCCGCGCAAGCTGGCCACTATGTGGCCTGGGTTCGCATGGCCGAGGACAAGTTTGTTTTATTATTTCGTTTCAAGCTTATGTTCAGGTGGGTCAAATGTGACGATGATGAGGTGACCCCCGTTCACGTGGAGGACGTAAGCTATAGCTGGATGTGTCTTATATATTTTTCCAGGTCAAGAAGCTTTCTGGTGGAGGGGACTACCATACTGCCTACGTCCTATTGTACGGCCCGCGCATCTGCCATAAATTCGACCACCTCCTGAAAAAATAGTGACGATTGACCTTTTGGCATCATTCTTCTGATGAGTTCAGTGTTTTTGCTATGTCTCTTTTCTTAATTGTGTTCTTCTTTGAAGTAGTCCCGATTGCGATGAACTTTCTGAATAAATGGATATAATCGAGTTGCGGACTTATTTACAGGCTTCGAATCCATCTCTGCCGCGACTAAACGCAATGCAATGCCCGTGTTTTCGCGCCTTTGACCCACCGCTTGCCGGGCGTCGATAGGCGCCGATGTAGCGCTCGTCACCCCGACGTTCTCTTTTTGAAATAGTCTTTCGGTGCTAGAGCCTTTTTTACACTCAAGTTTTAGCGAACAATCACTCATATTGTTCGTCCGGGCAGTCTTCCATGGCGAAAAATTACGACTGTTTATTTAAGGTACGTCTTTCGCAAAAATTCTCAGCATGGTGTGCTTGGAAAGTAGTTTACAATTCTAGCTGCTACTGATTGGCGATAGTGGCGTCGGCAAGACCTGCGTACTTTTCCGCTTCTCCGATGACTCCTTCAACAACTCGTTTATTTCAACCATAGGTGCATTATTTATATTATGTTAACTTTCGACTTAGGCATTGACTTCAAGATTCGAACAATTGATTTGGACGGAAAGAAGATCAAACTACAGATTTGGTATTTCGTGGCGATTTTTTTCAATAGTTCGTTTAGGGATACTGCCGGACAAGAGAGATTCAGAACGATAACTACGGCTTACTACCGCGGGGCTATGGTATAACTATTTCCGAAATTTCATACACATATCACAGGGAATTATGCTTGTCTACGACATCACAAATGAAAAATCTTTCGAGAACATCAAGAACTGGATTCGGAACATTGAGGAACATGCAAGCCAAGTAATACTTTTTCAAAATTCCTGCAACAAAATTGATTATTGAGGATGTCGAAAGAATGATTATTGGAAACAAGTGCGACATGGAGGATCGACGAGTAATTTCCCGGGAACGCGGGCAGCAGGTTTGGCATAATTTCTCCTTGTCACATCTGCCTTCAGCTGGCCATCGAATACGGTACCAAATTCATGGAGACCTCTGCAAAGGCGAACTTGAACATTGAGGATGCGTTCTTCACGCTTGCTAGGGATATCAAGGTATTTGGACGGGCTATTGATGACCCTATTGTTTAGAGTAAAATGGAACGCGGCCAAGGGAACACGGTGGGCGTCGGTGGCACAACGGGCAGGGTGGCCATTGGCAGCCCTAAGGAAAAGAAGGGCCTTTTCTCAGGATGGAGTTGCGCCATACTTTAAGTAATCTCGCTAGCGCAATTTTTTCACTTTCCTGCTTTGCTGCTCAAACGCACCGCAATCGAAAAGCCCCCAACAGCATGCCTTTGCCTGCCCCATCCCCCCCTACGAAAATTGACTTTACCTTGAGAAATTATTTGTCATTTTCTTCCGCCACGCCATGTGCCTGATCAGCAAACGGTTTCTCATATTTATTCCGCAAATTGTGTAGAAATCGCGCTCCCTTTCAAACCTTTTACGAACCCTCAGTATTCTGAAATGGCTTCTTTCGCGCAATTGCAGCTCTGTGATCCGGAGTGGATAGCATAGCCCCGTCTATATCTGTGCATAATCTCCAGTCGGTTTGGGCGAAACATTTCCGCAGTATAACACCGATATCTCTCTCTGCTGGTCTGATTCCGGTTTACCCTTTTTGACCTTTCCCATACAATAAAATATACGAATTTGCGGGTGCTCGTCGAAACTGTTAGATCGTCTAATACCTGATCACTAATCTTTTCTTTGTTTACTTGACTTTTAGTATTTCCAACGCTTGCTATCGACATGTCGGACGAGGAAAAGGTATATTTCGAGTGGGATTTCGAAACATCTGCTTAGGTGGATCTTTCTATCGAGGGTGCTCAGAGCGAAGAGCCCGAAGAGACCCCACCCCCAACCACGGGGCCCGAAGTGGAAGAATCGTCGCCAGCTGACATCAGAAAAGTGGACGAAGAGAAGCCCGCAGAAAATAAAGAAAAGCCCAGGCCATCAAAGTCGCCGAAGAAATCACCAACCAAGCAAACAACTGAGACCCCTGATGCGCCGGAAGAAAAGAAACTGGGTGTCCTCGACAAACCTTTGATCATCGAGGGAAGAAGATCGCGCGTCAAGGTATATTCCCACTAGTATAAATAAGCTTTTTTTTGTTTCAGGTGGACCACTTCGTAATTGCAACCCCTAAGGCCGAGAAGCAGAATGTCGAAGATGTCGCAGGAAAGGGAGCCGGGATGGCGTTGGGAGACATTAGTTCAGGTATAATTCCGTCACTTGTAATAACTGTTTTGCTGCTTTAGCTAACGAATATATCACAAAGTCTCGTCCGGCCGACCTGAAGCTGCTCCATAAACTTCTGTATCGTCGTGAAGGACAGGCTGCCCATGCAACGATCTTCAAACGCGCCCTTCGACAGTTCAACGGGTATTTTTGCAAAGGCAAATTATTTACTTTTCAGGTGGTGGTTCGATGAGAAATCAGACGAATGGCAAAAACGTGTTGATATCCTGAACAAGATGAAACTTGCCGACGTAAAGAAGCTTCGTTCTGGCGTCGGCCTCCACCATGCAGCGCCTACCCGCGAGAAAGAGGTTATAAGATTCCTTGTTCTGAAATTCGAAATTAGGCAGAGAATTTGATGAACTATCTGCTCAACCCTTCTGGAAAGTCTACACAAGCCGAAATGGCAAAGAAGGAAAAGAAAACTGCCGCCAAGAAGCGAGTCTCGAAGGCGAAAGCAACGGTATTGGTAGAGATTGGGGTCGACATTTCCATTATAGCCCGCAAAACGGTCGAAGAAAGCAGCGAATTCCGAAAGTGAGCAGTCCGAAGATGAACCGGAAATCGAGGACAACGAGGAAGATTACGCGGCTCCTACACCGAAGAAGGTCAGTGGCGTTTTTTGAACAAGAACATTTTGCTACGGTCCGGTGTGATTGTTCTTGTACCTATTTTCCTTAAGCGCGGCCCCCCGAAGACAGCGTCCCCTAAAAAGACAGCCAAGTCAAAGGCCAAGATTGACTCGGAGGAAGATTCTGATTCCAAGAGTAGCGATGAAGGGGAAGATGAAAACGACGACTCATCTGTGAAAACTGAGACCAAGTCTACAGACGAGGTTTGGTTTTCCGGCTTCATTAATTTTTTTTTTAGAAGGGTGATGTTAAAGCCGCAGGAGAAGAAGAAGATAAAGAAGACGAAGCAGAAAAAGAAGCAGAAGAGGAGGAAGATCCGAAGCGCCCGAACGCCGCGCTCATCCGAAAAGCTGCTGGGAAGCTTTTGAAAGAATTCGACCTCACCCAGGTATATTTTATTGTTACGTCCTTTATAATCTAATTTTCTGTGCAGGTGTCAATGCGCCAAATGTGCGATGCTGTCTGCGAAAAGTTTCCCGACTCGGACCTGGTGGAGCGCAAATCTTTCCTCAAGGGCGTCATTACGGTAACCGCACGGAAAGTTTTCTATACCGATATTTAGGAAATTTTGCAAGAAATGGCATAAGAGACGATACCCTTCTTTTTTTATACAAGACTCCCTGATTCCCCGCTCGGCGTTCATGAATTGATCTCATTGTTCTCAAGAACCATCACTCCATACCTCGGTTATTTGTTTTATATGCACGTTCGCTTTTTTTAATTTGCTGATAAGATTGTGTATCCGTAACTAATTGGTTCTATGCGAAATAAATGTCACCAAAACGACTCTATTTTTAAGACCCTGGTTTTATCCCAATATTAATGATGCTTTGGATGATTTACAGAACATTAAATCATTATTTATTAGGGATGGCCAAGCACCATCCCGATCTCATCTTTTGTCGGAAGCAACCGGGAGTGGCTATAGGGCGACTGTGCGAGAAATGTGATGGGCGGTGAGTGAAATATTCCCCTTAGGATCTTGGGTTTAGGTGCATCATCTGCGACTCCTTTGTACGCCCCGCCACCTTGGTCCGTATTTGTGATGAGTGCAATTACGGAAGCTTCCAGGTCATTTGTCTGTGTTTGGTTTGTAAGCAAGTTGTTTATAGAACCGATGCATCATTTGCGGTGGCCCTGGAATCAATGACGCCTACTACTGCAAGGAATGCACGATCCAGGAGAAGGTTGCTGCTGTAATCAAACTAAATTAGCGTCAATTCTAGGACAGGGACGGATGCCCGAAGATTGTGAACGTCGGAAGCGCCAAAACGGACATGTTCTACGAGCGGAAGAAGTACAATAAATAGGCCTGGGAGCGTGTCGGGTCGACGCATCCTGGGGGCCTACCAGACCCCTTTTGTTCCTCTTTATTTATATAACGTTGTTATCCTCTCATTTTGCGCGTTTTTGGATCTCCATTTGGTTGTAGACGCCGTTCAATAAATATCACTGCATTCTATCGGATATGAATTCAGGTTGTAAGGACCTCGGTTATCTATGTGAACTACCTCAGGCACGCTTGGCAAATATCGATGGGCTGGGAGGGGAGGACTGTTGATTCACCTCGTGGGGGGGCGCTGGTTGTTGAGGAATTAACCATTCTGTGTCTCGCCGGTCACCCCTCCTCTCTCCATCTTACTGCCCCAACTAGGACTAGCACCTTACCATTTCTAGGTCTTCAAAACTTGCTAATCGCGACAGCCATGGCGAAGAACATGATGAGTGCCGATTATCGGAAAATAGATGTCGATGCGCTTGACGAAGAGCGTTACATCGAAGAAGAAGGTACAGTCTTTTTTACCGACGTCTTTGGGTCGATTTGACCATCGGCAAATTATTGAACGTTTTAGGACAAAATGCGTACGATACTGCGTCTTCCGGCCCGGATGAGCGCAATGTCCAAGCAATGTTGTCGTCATCACGTCTCGTAGATGCGTTACACGCGGGTTTGGCGAACCCTCCACTTGCGGCAAAGGACCAGGTTCCGTTTCGTTCTCAGGCACACGTTGGCTTTAGCAAGTGAAAGATCGGTCAACGTTGCTTGTCGTGAAGGTGCTTCAAACGTTCAAAAACAGTGAGATCGAGCCCGCCATCAAGGTTTGGTTAACAGTTCGATGCCAACGAGATATTTTAGGCACTTTCCGCGGATGAGGGTGATATTTTGATGAAATACATTTACAAAGGCATGGAGCTGAACCAGGACACGGCAGTCGCAACATCATTGTTGCTTTGGCACTCCCTGGTAAGTTACAACTTTTTTACTCGGTTGCATCGAAAAGCCCACTTCTGGCCCAAACTAACGTCATAATTTAGGTGATAAACCATTTCGGGCTCGGCACAATCATGCGTGTATTCAGCGAGCGACAACGTTTGTAAGCCCAAAACTGCCTCAAATAACCCTGCCGTGCACTATCTCCATTGCTGTGATTTTCAGTGTTTTGATTTTGTCCCTTTGCGTTGTCGATAAATTGATGTATCTTACTACTGAAACGCCTCGCCGTGGTTAGCTAATTCGTAAAATTTATTTCACTGAAGAGTATACAAAAAATACAAAACGAAAAGGACTAATGACAGTAACGGAAGCATGCTTTTATACCTACAACGTAAATCGGAGACTGGACGACGGCTTATTTCTTGCCGGCTTTTTCGAGGTCGGCCAACGCCTTCTTGTGGCGGTTCAGGGCTTCTTGGTGTTGCTTCAATTGGGCCTCAGTCTGGGCGACGGTTTCCTACGAGAAGATTATCGTCATGTCAAAAAAGAAACAAACCGAAAGATGTTTCTTCAGCTCGTCGATTTGCTTTTGCTGCAGCTTGTGGAAGTACTCGCCCTCGCGCGCGGCTTCCATCTTTCCGAAAGCGCCACCGGCATCGCGGATGGAGCCTCCGGTGCCGCCGGACTAAAAATAGAAGCTATTAAAAAGAGTTCGACGTCGAAAAAAGAAGGGAAAGTAACTCACCTTGCCAGCGCCGTCTCCGTGGACGAGAACACGGGTCGTGGTCCTCATAAGGCAGGCAGTACTCTGTCGAAGGGCCATTCTAAAAAAATGCGGTTATAAGAAACTTTCAATGGCAAGAATATGGCGAAAAAAACAAGTCGTACGTGAGAACCTGAAACTTGTAATGACCGATCCCGTGCACATTTTTGGGCGTTGAAAATATGTCACGGTGGGGGCGGCCTGAGTATGCATTCGGAACAAACAACTTCAAAATAAACTGTACGCCGTGCGAGTGTTTTAATATTAAACGTTCCATTTTTATTAAATTTAATTTAGAATAAACAATGACGGAAATTTTGTTTAGGTATGCGAGCCGCGCTAGGGGCCAATGAGCGTCCGCCATACTTGGAAAAGCTGCTGAACAAGGCGCCTTTGTTTTCATTGGTACCTTTTTCACCTGGTTCGTATCCTTATTTAGCTAACTTTCATCGGAGCACTATACTGGGCATGGAACATCTTCAACCCAGAGGTATTTCAAATATACACCTTTTTTATCCGATTTAGTTTTGCGAGCACACGCGCATTTCTGAACATGCGCTGATGGGCGGCATTGTCAACGAGAAATTCAACAAGGAGGGCATCTACACAGAGATTCTGAAGGGCCTACCAGCTCGGAAAAAGTAAACCTTCCTACCTTCTAGTGCACATTTATTTAGCGAACGAAACGAGTACCTGCTCGAACGGCTTGAGCATTATCGGATCGACGGGTACGAGCAGCGCTGGCGTACAAATGCTGCTATTTATGTAAGCAGAGGGCATTGTTCTTTTTTATGGATGTTTTAGAATACTAGCGGCGTAAATGTCTGGGGAGTATTCCGGGCGAAGCGAGCTGCGAGCACGGAATCGTTGCTTTGGCCGCCGACGCAAAGGATAACCACGCCATATCATTGGTGGTTGCGTTTGCTGCCTATGCTCAAGGTGAACATTCGATTCTCCTTGCCATTATTCTTTCATTCAGAACAAGTCTACTGGGCCCGCGACATATTCATCCTGATGGCCGATGGTGGGCCACTGGGCGTGGAAGCCTTTCTCAGCGCATTCCACCACACCCAACGAGGTGGACTCGTTTTTGATCGGCTACCGACGCGTGGCGATGGACTGACGGCAATGCTGGCCGTCAAGGTATTACTATTCCTTCTTCATATCGTTTTTAGGCAAATTCAAAGCAAAGCAGCAAAGAGATTGAGCTGCAAATCAATCAGCTAAACGGAGAGCTGCCTAATTTGGACTACGTCAACACGTGGGTGTCTTCCGATTTAGTTCATTTCTCGATTTTTAGCGTGATTCGTGTTGGTGCCACGAGCAAATTTCGAATGCCATCCCTGATTTATGGAATCAGAGACCGACATGAGGTTGGCAAACGGTTGAAAAAATTACGTAAAATTTTTTAGGGTGGGAACAATCCATGGTGGCTCATTCCGGCCAGAGCTCTCTATACACAGGCTTTTGTATCGGTCGAAGGGCTGCATTCCCTCAGCACAAAATATGGCGTCCAGGTTGCTGTTTATAACTGTTTCTAATATTTTGTGTTTAGGGTCTCACCATTGGGCTTCCGCTGAACTCCGGGTCACCGAAAACAGCGGCAAAGTTTGTAGAGGCGATCATGCGTTCGTTGAACAACTTGTTGGAGAGGTATCTAATTAACCATAAAAACTTGGACTCTTTCCAGCTTCCACCAGTCATATTTCCTCTACGTGCTAGCCGATGAAGACAACTTTGTGTCGATTCTGTATTTCATGCCGATCCTTGGTGGAGTCGTTGCGCCATTGGCCATCTTTGTAGGCTTTTGTTACTTTGGTTCTTTATTTTTCCAAATTCTAATTCGATGCAACTTGCTTTTGCAGGCTTATCGAGAGTGGGTATTTGCTGTACAGAAACTTGTGATCCCGTCGGCGCTGTTGTTGGCGCACGGGGCTGGAGTCGCTGTCTGGTATTGTTCCACCAAGGTTTTCCGTGAACATGCCGTGACGGACGACACACCATGGCTAGGCCTCTTGGCAGCCATCCTTTTTCCGATTGCGGCGCTGTTTCCAATGTAAGTTTTCGTTTTTTAAAGGGCTGCCGACGGCATGTGTCGATCCCCCCCTCATCAACAAATTGGCAAGTAGCCAACAGGGCAGAGAGCGCGCCCTGGGGAGAGGCGCAGAGACATTTTCTTTCCAGCGCGTAACCGATTGACTATGCCTTCGGCATCCCTTTAATAAGTTTTCCCGAAGCGCAGCCTATTTTAATTTTTTTCAGTGCTGAAAAGTCGAAATCATCACTTCGTTTCCTGCTACTCCTCGAATCGGCGCTGATCTTTGGGTTGATTGGTCTGCTCAATTTCCCGTTGGCCCTTCTTACGGCCATTCTAACCGTTCCAATCATCATCGTCCTATCGCGAGACCTGTCGGTCCAGCCCCGGTAAGGCTAGTTCAGTTGGCTTCTTATCCGTACCGTTCAGCGCACGACAGATCCTTCAAGCTACATGTGTCCTATTAGCCCACCCGTTGATCATCTATCTGCTGGTTAACATTTACGGTAAGAGCAGTTTCAAAAACTCAAAGTCATTTAGTGTTGCCGCTGATTGGCTTTGGAAGTGTAGATGGAGCTAACCTGAAGCTCCAGGATATGGTCGATCCGATCCGACATATGCTCGCAAATCACTTGCTATTCGGTTGTAATCTATACCCAATGTTTCTCATCCTGGCACTCCCAATTTGGGGCCTCCTTTTGCGCCTCTCCCTCTAAAAATCGTTCAACTTTACTGTGATTTCATGCTTATAACATCTAACCATCCGGGTATATTTATTAAAAAACTCGCTTGTCGACGGTTTCATGCTGTTTGCACCGTACAGTGAAAGACGAGTTTTTGGTAGTCCGAAAAATCTCGAGGTGGGGGGTTTTCTTAGCAGCCGAGAAAAGTAGGATTACCGCGAAAGTAGAAGTCTGCGAGTATTAGCGACACATAGAAACAATAGCACAGATGAGGGCGAGCGCCCAAGGAGAAGCCCTCCCAGAGACGCTTGTTGCCCAAAATCACAGTCAGGGGGTATGCATTTGGGATAGACACAACCTATTTGGGGGACCCATCCGACCAGGTCGGGAAAAAATCATAGAAGCGAAACAAATAGTGCCCGGATTGGAATCGTTGTTGTTGGCAGTAGTCTCCGATCAGTACTCCTAATAGAATTTCGGCTTCTCGGATTTGCTCCTAAAAAATAGTTGAATCGTTTGTGGTAAGATACCTCATGAATACAACGCCGATGATGACTAGAGTTTGGACGAAGATAATGCCCATGAAGAGTGAGGAAGACGTGCACGAGAGATTCGCACAACTGTCACCACCTCCAGAAGCGCCGCCCTAATTTTTGGAGTTAGCGCAAAGCGAATGTTCCTTACCGCTCCTTGATTGGCCCTAAGAGTGTTCAGATCAGCCAATATTCTGTCGAGCCTCTGCTGCGTGGCCAGATCACCGACACCTTGTGGCTGGGCTTGGCCTGCAGCTTGTGCCACGGTACCACCTAAAAATTTGGGATTAAACGAATAAGAGAAAGCAAGAAAAGAGGTAATCTGTTCAGAGACACATTTCCACTTTCACAAAATCTTACCCATTTTTTGTTCGATGTTGTAGGTTTTCGTGAAGATTTCGTTCACATAGTTCTTCATGTCACGAAGGGAAGCGGTGAGATCACGTAACGTCTGGATCACCTCGTTCTTCTCATGTGCAGCAAATGATGGTGCGCCGGCTACCACTAAAAAGGACAAGGACTATATATCAAAACTTTCAATCTTACCATGCCCTCCGCCCTGGACCGGCTGGGCAGCAACAGCGCCAGTTAGCTGTTGCTGACGGATTTCGATGAGTTTTTGATCCATTTGTTTCATTATCTAAATCAAATGATATAGATTTATTAAAATTTCCAACCTCGTGGATCGCATTCTGGGATTCGTAGATGAGGCGCAATTCACGAGCCGACGCATCTTCGTAATATTTCCCGAACTCATCCTCATCGTCATCCTTTGCCTTGTCAGGATGCTGTTCCTTGTACCTGGCACCATTGATGAGGCGAAACTAATTTTCTAACCGTTGACGCTCCTTCTCATATTCTTCCATTTGTTTCTGGAACTCCTCGTCGTATTTTGTCTTTTCGGCCTGAAATCGAGGTAAACTCAGTTTTGGTCGAAAAAAAACCTGTGGCAATTGTTGTTCGGCGGCAGGCTTCTGCGTTTCTTGGAAGAGCGAGAAGACTGAGAAGTCCGTAATGTCGTGGTCGTCTGTAAATTATTAGTATACGATGCCATGCAACACTCTAAGGGGCCAGAAAACATCACAACTACACCTACTCACCGAATGAGGGTCTTGTCTTTTGATGCACTATGGAAACAAATCAAAATGGGGGAAAATAATTACCAGCAAGTCCACCAGTAGCGGCAGAAACACCGAAGAAGCCATTTCGGGGCAGGAAAATGTTCTCGGCTCGCAGGCACAACTCGTATCTAGAAATTCAACGTTAATAGCACGAAAGCTTTTGACTAACCTTGGAACCTGACTCATGCCATCATCGACATGGACGGTGAGTACATTCTTGAAGTATTCAATTCGCACTCTAACCGGGAACGGCTTGTTACGGAAATCGCGTTGACAGCCTAGAAAAGAATTAAAATACTCTACAAACTCCACGAACTGGCCAAAATTTGCTGGCTGCCGTCAGTGTGATGGTCGTAATTGCGGGTTCCATCGTTGATCATCAAGGAAATCTGGAGGACGATCTTTGAGGCAAATGCATAAATATTACCATCGGATTGTTCTTCTGTCCATCGTTGTCGAACGAATCGAAGAACAGACCCATACCGGTCCAAAAGTCGTTGGCTCCGAATACAGGTCCGAGGGTTCCTTGACCGGCCGTGTACCAGAGACCGAGTCCGTCAGCTCCGATTCTGCCCTGGCCCGAAACTTTCAGCGAGACGTCGATCTAAATTAGTTCGTAGCTATATGAATGAAAGCATACCTCAAAATGTTCGCTCTCGACGAATTGCCTCTTGTTCCAAGCAATGCCCTTCCTTGATCTCATCGAAGGCGCCAAACGCAGCTGTTCACCAGATGCAATCGCGTCACCAGTAACCTGAAAAACACCCGAAATAAAGCCTTCAATTCCAACAAACCGTCCAGAATGGGATGCTGCCATCGCGTTGGGCCAAATTGGGTGCTCGGAAGGAGTGTTTGTACTCGAAACGCTTGAAAGCCGCCGCCTAAATTCATATTTGCCAAAGTAAAATCAAGAAGTACCTGACCGCTGCTAATAACCACCAAGTTACAGGCAAAAACCCCGAGTAGTGCGACGCCAAAAAGGCCCATCTGGAAAAATTTTGTGTAAAATTCGAAAATAGGCGAGAAATGAAGGGGGAACCGCAAAGACAGTGCAAGCTCCCATGTAAATTAGCCAATTTCGGCGCAATAACCATAAAATAAATATCAGAGACTCCACGTGTACGCTGGAATTGTGGGAAAGAGTGGGTGCGAAGAGGGTCGTGCAGCCCGTCAGATCAGACGGACACGAGAGATAACCCCAAATTGAGAGGCACAGAGAGCAAATGTGGATGCTAAAGGATAGGTTAGTGAGAGACCCAGAAATAGCCTGAACAAAAGCTTGCACACGGGGAGGCCAATGCCAATTTATCGCTAAAAACTAATTAAAATTAGTATCCAGTCTATATTGTTAGCTAAATCGTGTGCAAAAGTCAAACCTACGAAAATGTATTCAGATATCAAACCGCCATAATGTCATGTGCGATATCTCTGCTCGAATAAATATTTATTAGGCGTAATTTTATTAGTATTAAGTATTTAAAGAACTAAACAAACGATGTTCGGAACAACAACAATGAGCTCCAGAGTCAACAATTGGCACCGTACGCCTCAAGGGAAGACAACTACACAAAAGACAAGAGACCTAGTAGATCAATCCCGATCGAAACTTGTAAAGGAATGGATAGCGGCCAACATAAATAAATGGAAGATCACGGATGATGAGCGAAATGTGGTGCTTCATTTCAACTTCTTGACGGCACCCTCCATGAAGGGAAGGATGTGATTTGTTACCTAAATGATGGAGGAGAGAAGATTAGTCAAAATACCTGTGAGAACATGGCCAAATAGGTGAAAACCCCGGCCAGAATAAAAAGCTCGAAAGCAGCCGGGCGGATCCGCTCGGCCACAATCGTGTCTTGAATTCCGCCCCACACGGATGATTCTGATAAGACCACAGCCTGCTGGGAAACCTAAACAAATAGTGTGCCAAATGTATTCAATATATACCTTCGCGTAGCCGCCGGCGATTGAGGCGATGGCGCCGGCAATTTCCTTCGTCTTTACTTCGTCAGCAACCGAGCGCTGGGTGTGCGCTAACTAAAAGACCTTTTTGAAAGGGGGGGGGGTATCAAAACATACCTTCTCAATAAAGAAATCCAGCCGCTCCCGGCTGACCTCGTCTTTGCTTATCATTTTGTATTCGGCTCGCACATGGCTAAAACGGAAAAATGATAATATAGAAAATATAAATAGATACGCTGACCTTGGAATGTCGGTAGGCGCTTCAATTTGGAGCAGATACGCGAGTGTCGCTTCTGTCAGGGCCCTGGAATCCAAAAACTCAAAATATCCTCGTTTCCATTACAAAATGGCTCCGGAAAGCTGTTCGCGGTCAAGATGGCTGTCAACCAGGGATCGTCGCACCGGAACATCGGGTCCAGAGAAACGACTAATCGTCGCCGACGCTAGACGCTTGATGTTGAACCTAAAAATCATCAAGATAATCATCAATGTCCTACTTTTCGTGTTCCCATGATAATGGCTGGTTCATGTTGATCTTCTTTGACACCACCTTAAAAATTTTTGGTATGCAATAAGGAATTGCCTCACCTTGACATCCTCAATGGCACCCAGCTTCTTCAAAAATCGTTCGGAGGCCGATCCCTCTGTGGGATTCTTGGCGACGTGCATCACCAGCGGGCCCTTTCCACCCAGGCCTTCCAGACAAATGGCCAATTCGAGTTTGCTTTCTGAAAACGACCTATAAAATCCCTATTCCGTAGAATACCAGCGTCCTTTGATAGGAAAGATTCAGCGGCCTGCCGTGCGCCTTGGAAGTTTGATTTGCCAGCGGCGGTCCAGATGAAGGCCACATTATATTTCGGCCGGGTTGATGTGCGATCATAGAACTTCTTCAGGATGGCGAGCAGTTCGAGGAGGGCGACGACGCCACTTCCGTTCGAATCGGTGCCAGTTCCAAGTCCCTGAGAACGTGTTTAAATCATAGTTTTCAAAAGACGAACCGGAAAGGCAGAGTGCGTATCGTAGTGCGCGACAAAGGCAATAGTCGGCGCCGTTCGGTCACCGCTCAATAGTCGGGCCTAAAAGTCATGTCTGCATTTTCTAAGTATTGAATGTACAGAAAAACGATGCCAAAAACGCACCACAACATTGTTGGGCTGATAGGTCAACGGATTTGCAGACGGGCTGCCGACTGTGGAAAGCAACGTGGATGGGGAGATCAGCGTCGCGGTGACAGAAGATTGGGTCTACGAATAAAAATAATAAAAACTAAATTAAAACGTTACCGTTGCTGACTTCGAGGCAGCTTCTTCAAGCAAACGATCAGTATTCTCGTTCCTGGGCGTAACATAGACTCCGAGTTCCGTCCGTGCATTCAGGAAGTACTGCTCGAGAGTTGAAAATGACTACAACAATTGTCTTCCGAAGCAAAAAAAATCCCACCTTCAACTTTTCGGCCGTCAAGTTGCTAAAATCGGAGGGGACGACAACCAGTAGAGCTCCAGCCGAGGACCCGAGGACGGTGTTCAAGTCCCTGCCCACCAGTTCGCTCCAATCAGCCACGATGCACCTAAATAAATCATACGTCATACTATCGTCAAGAAATTACCGTCTCAAAAAGTTTCCATCCAAAGTAACGCCTTCAAAAGATATCCTCGAGGTCTTGCTCCCGACAAAGGTACCTAGTACCTCGACTTGTTGAAGGCGATACGCCTGAAACCATTATATAAAGCACGACATGGAGAAATTTACCTTGAATTCGACCTGAACGGCCTCCGTGACCTGTGCACTACCAGTGGCGCAGAAGGAGAGCAGCCCGGCGAACGTCACCAAGATCCACGGGTTTCGGAAGGCTTCCCAGATTTCGTCGTGCATTTCTGAAGAGGCTTGGGCTGAAGATGATGTTGTTGTCGCATTTCAGTTTGTTAGAAGACCTTGATAAGAAAAAATTGTAAAAAAAAATAAATTTATTTTTATACTAGTACGAAAAGCTACTAATTTCGCCGATGCGCGAGGGATTCAGACGTACTACCCCGGAATATATTTTTATTTTGTTTTATCAAAACTTTTTATAAAAGCATTAAAATACTGAGAAATTCCAAAAGTGGTTGAATAAAAACAATAATATATTTCTGATTCATATCCTCCAAGTCGATAGCGATCTATGCGGTTACTGGTTGGTAAATGGTTAGTAGCCGTTGATCTGTTCAAAAGCGAGGGTGTACACTGGGCTACGTCTCGTACATTCCCTCTGCCCTTCCCGCCCTTACAACCCCATTTGAGTGCCGCAATGTTAGAGACGACCCTTTCCCAACTTTTCTACAATTGGGGAAGGAAACCCTGGTACATCCGCGAACCGTATATACTCCCGAAAATACGCCCTCGATTTCATACAGAACATAAATTTTTATGGCGTGTTATTCCCAAAAAAAGCCGGATTTCGTAGGTGTGCGGGGTATCTCTTCCAGGTTGCTCAACGTTTCATCCTCGGTTCTAAATATGTATTTGCCTAACTCTGCTTTTTCCAGCATGGCTTCCACCAGCCAAATTCCGATGGATGACAGCTCGGCGGAGGAGCGCGTCATCAATGAAGAATACAAGATTTGGAAGAAGAACACGCCGTTTCTCTATGACCTCGTCATGACCCATGCGCTCGAGTGGCCCTCGCTGACGGCTCAATGGCTTCCCGAGGCACAAAAGGTGCGCTTTATTGCCTATTTTTAAAATCAGGCCCCTGCAGACTAACACTTTTACATTGCTTTTTTTTTAAGATATACAGGGTGTCCCAAAAAACGACCCATCTGGCATTTCGCCGTGTTACATCCAACCGGCCTCAAATTTGGACCAGAGGTGTAACATACCCCAAATAACAACAATGGCAGTCAAAAATTGGAAGCAAGGGGTTACGAGACGCTCCGCTTAAGCTTCTTGGTTTTCAGCTTAAGCCTAGGCTTAACTTAGCTTTAACTAAGCTTAGCTAAGGCTTAGGCTTAAGCTTAAGCCCAAGCTAAGCTTAACTTGAGCTTTAAATTGCTCTAGGAGGCCAAATTGGGGTCATTTAGGGCTAAGCTTAGAGCTAAGCTTAGCTTGGCTCAAGCTAAGCTTAGACTTCGTTTGTATGCAGCTAAACCTAGGGTTAGGCTTGGCTTAGCTTTTCCAGAGGCTTCGAATTTAAAAAACGGCATTTGGAGCGTCTTGTAGTCAAAATCCGGACTGCCCCCCCCCCCAAGTGCATTAGCACCATCCTGACTTATAGCTTTGTAGCTATAGTAGTTCTCAAGTTATGGCAAAAACAAACTTTATTTCCATTTTTTTCGTGGAATTAGACCCCCTAAACATTAAGTGAAAATGATCCGGTAGGCCTTCTTTACCTTAAAAAATTTTTTCCAGAGTAAAATTAATTAAATAAGCTTTGATTTAAGCGATTTTTACAACGCAAAATTACCCAGGTTCTTAAGCGAAATTAGGGATTCACAGCCGGAAGTCGATGCAAATCGATGCAAAGCCCAAAAAAGATAGCCGAAAAAACTGTTCAGAATTCCGGGAAAAACAGTATTTTCGATATAACTCGAGAACTATTGTAGCTACGCCGCTAAAAGTCAGGATTGGGGTTATTTAGGGTTTGATACACCTTTGGTCCTAATTTGGGACCGATTCGATGTGACACGGCGAAACGCCGGATGGGTCGTTTTTTTTGGGACACCCTGTACTTGATTCGATTCTTTGCAGGTTGAAGGCCAGGACTACAACGTCTACCGCCTGTTGCTCGGCACCCACACAACCGACGAACAAAATCACCTTGTCATCTCCAAACTTCAACTTCCCATAGACGATGCCCAGTTTGATCAATCCAAGTATGATTCGGATAAAGGAGGTAGTAAACTAATCCAAGTACAAAAGCTATATGTTGCCTTTAGAATATGGTGGCTTTGGGGCCGTGACTGGAAAAATCGAGCCTGAAATCCGCATCAACCATGAAGGCGAAGTCAACAGGGCACGATATATGCCACAAAACCCACACATCATTGCAACGAAATCTCCAAGCGCCGAGGTTATTCCCTTGTTTTTAGCTAACCCTGGATTTTCTAGGTGTTCATCTTCGACTACACTCGTCACACAGCTGTCCCGGCAAGCGATGGAGTCTGCAAGCCTCAACTGCGGCTACGTGGGCACACTCGCGAAGGATATGGCCTTTCATGGAATACAAACAAAATGGGACATCTTCTTTCCGCCAGTGACGATGGAACGGTTGGGGGAGTTCGAAAAATCGCAAAGTACTGTTTTTTTAGGTGTGCCTCTGGGACATCTCCGCAAATACAGCGAGCGGCTCTGGCGGTCATTTGGATTCGAAGGCAAAATACCCACATCAATCGGTCGTAGAAGATGTCGCATGGCACGTCCTTCACGAAGCCCTCTTCGGCTCCGTCAGCGACGATCATAACCTCACAATTTGGGATACGAGGTGATTTTTGTTTTCGACTTTCAACCGCTTTTAGATCAAAATCTAACCAGCCGACGCACAAAGTGGAGGCGCACACTCAAGAAGTCAATTGTTTATCGTTCAACCCCTACTCCGAATACATCCTTTGCACCGGCTCTGCTGATAAGGTTTTTCTCTGTGCTTTACTTAGGCTAAGCCTTTGTTGCAGACCGTCGGGCTGTGGGACTTGAGAAATTTGAAGAATAAGCTCCACTCATTCCAGTCGCATCGAGATGAGATTTTCCAGGTTTGCTTTAATGTCACCAATTAATTGTAAAATAGGTCCAATGGTCGCCTCACAATGAAACTATCCTGGCTTCTTCGGGTAGCGATCGGCGCGTCCACATTTGGGATCTGAGCAAAATCGGAGAGACCCAATCAGCTGAAGATGCAGAGGTATTTGTTGTTATAGTTTTTTGCAACTTATTTCAGGACGGTCCTCCGGAGCTGCTCTTCATCCATGGTGGCCACACTGCCAAAGTTAGTGACTTCTCGTGGAATCAGAACGAGCCCTGGCTCGTCTGCTCGGTTGCTGAGGATAACATCCTTCAGGTATTCTTGAATACCTTGGATTCCATCGTCCTTTAGGTGTGGCAAATGTCCGACACCATCTACAATGAGGATGACGTTTACGAATAATTCATCATACAGTATCTCCATCCCGATCTCTATCAAACCTTTCATATACAATGCAGGAGGTGTAATAATTATGCCCATATTGACACTGGTATTCCCATTCATATTCCCATGCTTGAAATAAATGATCATAGCCGACCGCGAGCCCCTGAACGACATATCACATTGTTGAAATACATACAAGAACAAAAAATCGTAGCATATTCCGTTAGGATGCTGAGTAGACGACTACTTGTCGTTGGACGCGCCTTGCGTGGATTCGCGACTACATCGTCAGCGCCGGAGGTTGCTTTAGCTTTTGTTATTGTAAAATCTTGATCAGGCGGAAGCGACAAATGATGTTGACGCCTCTACACAGAGCAGAGTGCATTCTAAGGATATTTCTGCGTATGTTTGGTTCACTAGATTTTTAACTCATTTTCAGCATGCGCTCGCGTCATCGAGTGGTAGCTGCCGGGGGTATCCCACCCATGGAATACGAATGGGAACGTGATAGACATTCTTTGCAACAACGGTGGGTTTTGTCCCGGATGGCTCACTTCCATTCCGTATTTTAGATTTGGCACCTACGGTCTGGAGAGCGGCGTAGATGTCCGCCAATGCTGGCCGACGTTGGAGGTAAATCCAGGCGTCTGAGTTATCTTTGTGTAGGAAATTGAGGAAGAACGTGCGATAGGCTTCTATCGGGAATACAAGGATGTGCTGCGCGAAGTCGAAAAAAACAAATTGGAAAAGCAGAAACAGGATGCCCTGCGGTAATCTGTTTCGACCGTCATCTATCGTTCTTTTAGGCTGGCCGAATTGGAGCGAAATGAAAAGAAGTATCCTGAGATTCTGGCTAAATATCAGGCCAGTCAAGTCAAGAAGGAGCGCGAGAAAGATGAAAAGGAAGTGGTTTTGGAAAAGAAAATTCGAGAAATCCAGGTTGTTCTGTTTTTATATTAACACTTTTTTCTAGGAATACTTTGGATATTGGATCGACCCCAAGGACCCACGCTTCGAAGTGATGTTTAACCAAAAGGAGGAAGAAGAGAAGAAAGCGGAAAAGCTAGCCAAGCGCCTGGAAAAACAAAAGAAGACGATCGCCGAAGTGCTTTGAATCTCGTGTACAATTAGTCATCTAGGATTGTTGATTTATCAATAGCTATTTTGCTCAATAAATTTTTTGTAAGAATGGCATCATCAATCACCTGTTTTGTGACGTAATTATTGAGAAGTAGCAAGACATGAATATTTTGGAAATGCTTCAGGCCATGCCAGATCAACGACTTTTGTCGTTGGTTCAATGGTGTGGTCAAGTGACAGATGGTCGTTGTGGATACTGCCAGCCGAAGCGGGAAACGTCAAATGGTACAATTACTGGTTCTCTTGACGGTCTTTTTCCTAGGAAGTGACGATTCAAGTACCAGTGGTGACGAACGTCAGGGCAAATCGTGCTCCTTCGGTAATTCTAGATTTTTGTTTCGCTTAATTTTCGGAATAAGTAGTTGGTTTAGGCCTCTTTCTATTGAAAGCAAATCCTGATGATGAGCAATTTCTGCTGGATTGTGGGTGGGACCGGTGAGTGGTGGCTATTCTAACATTTGGCACACTGGGGAATCGGTGAAAATGTTAAATTACCTTGCTGCCACCCGCGGTCCCGCCGAGTTCATGCCTAGAAAATTCCAAATTAAGGCATGCTCGCCCCGTGGTTCAACCCGTATGACTATCAAATTTTGCTGGATCGCGGGTGGCGCCGGTAAATTTTGAATGTGTTCGTAAAAGAAATATGTTTAGATCGGGAACGTACTTGTACAAACCAACGATGGATACGACGTGTTGTCCCCAGTATACGATTAGGTTGTTAATTTTTTTGGTGTTTTATTGCTTCAGATTGGACGTGACAAAGTTCCGGCCGTCTCGCACCCAGAAACGGGTTCTTCGGGCTGCTGTTGACTTTCTCAAGAACGACAACAAGCCCAAGCGTTTTGTCAAGGAAGAGGGAGGCCAAGCTGTAAGAAAACAATACGTAGTTTGAATTTTTGCTTAGCGGTGTGCGGCGAGTTCAGCTTCGGATGAGCCGAGCGCAAAAAGACCTCCAGCGGCTGTGAAGGAACGTACGGTATCTGCGGAAGGGCCGAGAAAGAAGAAACTGATCCGGCGGTGGGTTAATTTTGTGTTCTTTTAGGCTTGAGCTCTCTTACGTATTTGAATTTCAGCGAACGAGCCATCAAACGATGGCAGGAAAAGGGACTGGATGTTGCCGCAGAGCAAGAAAAACGACGACAAAAAGAGAAATCGCGTGAGAAGACTTTGGCCGACTTACTTCCAGAGTGGGATGAATCATGGAAACACAGGCTCGAGGTGATTGTTTGATACCCGCTGCCTTTACGGCCTATATAGGTGGAGACGGTCCTCGTTGGTTCTGAGGAATATCGGGCTCGCGAGCACGAAGCTTATCAAGTTTACTTGAAATACCAGACTACGGTAACTTTCATGCTCACTGAAATTGAATAGAACAGATCCACAATGATAAAAGGGCTTCAAAAAGTGGATTCGACAATTTCCTTGGTTCGACCCCATTGAGGAAGGAGCTTAGAAACGGGATGTAAGTCTTGGGGAATAACGATTCATTTTATTTCTAGCACCTACGGCAGCTTCCATCAGCGCTATATCCTAGACGGAAAAATTGTGGCCGTTGGTGCGATCGACATCCTTCCATGGTTTGCTGTCTCCTCTCCGGTGGACTCTTTTTAGGTGCTTTTCAAGCAAATACCTTTTCTACGACCCGGATTTCAAATTCTTGACGATTGGGACGTACACGGCTCTCAGGTATACCTACTTGGTTAATGATCAATGGTTTCCTTTAGAGAAATCGACTACATTCAGCGGACGCTAAGGACAAAATCGGCGGAACTAAAATACTACTACATGGGATATTACATCTACACCTGTCCTAAAATGCGTTATAAGGCCAAATTTCAACCGTCAGAGCTATTGTGCGATGAGAGCTTCACCTGGGTATGCTTGAGGATCGTTGATATCGATTTATCTTTTAGAAACCGGTGTCAGAATGCGAAAAGCTTTTGGCCGAGAATGAGGGCCGCTTCACCACTTGGGCTGGCAACGCCCCGCCTGCCACCGGTCTCAACCCGGACGAAGTCCCTGTTTACTCGAGCAATATGGTGAGCATGGATTTGGCCTGTTTTTTACCGCCTTTTAGGCATATGTCTGGCGTGTGCTTCGAGCGCAAAAGCCCGAGTTCGACACCCCCGAGGTGAGCTCATTTTGTTTTACCTAGCTAATTTTACATTTTAGGTGAATGAGAAGGTCGCAAAATGGGCGAAACTCGCCGGGCCGCTCGCCGACAACATTTGCCTTTACCTAAACGAGCTGAATAATAGGGCCCGACAAGAGCCGGTAGAAGCAGAAAGTGAGGAAGATGATGAAGAAGAAGAAGAAGAAGAAGCGTGAAGAAAACCTTTGAATTTAATCTGTATTAGGTGCCTTATCCTGCTTTCTATGTGAATGTTTTGCTCCTGGCTTCATACCGGTTGACATTTATTGTGATAACTGCATGCGGTTGCCGTTTGCAGCCTGTTTTATGCCTTGAGAGATTTTATTAGGTCGCAGTGCTTTTAACTGCTTATCACGGAATGGTCGAGATTCCGGTGATCAGCCCTGCGGGCATGGGTAGCAATTCTAAAATAAAGCTCAATTCATTTTGTGTGCAACCCACGAGATCCTCTGTTTCCACGGTACGCTTCCGACGATTCGGTGTCGCCGTACAGATATTGCAATCGATGAACTGGAGGAGGCGGGGTTTGAAAAATGATTAGTTGGAACTTACATTTCTTTTGACGCGGTTTCGACATAGAGGGAAAGCAAGGCAATCATGCTAAAACGTTTTTGTTAGCATCGCGTAGTTTAAAATTTCGTAGACTGAAAAATCTGACCTCTGACGCGTTGACATCTGGCCCGAAGCTCCTCTTGACCCTCTTGCTCAAAAGATCCGAGGTTCCGCATTGCGTGCACTTGCTCCTCTTCGCCTAGAATTTTTCATACGCGCTCTGCGAAATTAGACATACGCTTCTCTTTGTCCGCGTATGGTAGACCTTCATGTACACGGCGTATTCTACCTCATTCAAGCAGTCGTGCGTTTGGTCACAGTGCCCACCCGAACGAGTTCCGTGCTAGAAAACATATTTGAATAGTCGGTATAGCCATACCTTAAAGCCGGGCTCATAGCCCTTTTTCCGGCGTATATCTTTGATCGCGTCCGAGAGACTCATCTTCGGTCCATCCTGCTCCTGGAATCAGGCTATGAATCAAAAAATAGGCCCACGACAAGATCTTCATCATTTTCCGCGGCTCCACGTTTCTTCCGGCTAGCTAATGCCATGGTCACCCAAGCTGGGCAGGGGACGCAGTTCTAAAGCTAACTTTTCTGAAATTCAATTAAACTTACTGCGCTCTGGTCGGGGGTAAAAAACTGCCGTTTTACACGGCTATGTTGCTCTTTGTGCTCGGCAAGTGCCCTTAACTGGAGTGATTAGTTTCAACTCTTGCGCACTTGTGATACTGCTCCATCCGTTCTGCATGGCGCTTCCTTCTTCTTTTCTGAGCAAGAACACATGCAGGGAACTTAACGCAACCGGCGGTCACTATAATAAGTCAGTAACTGCTAGGTAGAAAGGGAGGGCCAGACCTGTGGGAGCAGCAGCGGCTTTGCTCATCACCTTCACGAGGTCCAGTAATCCCTTGCCGTCATATGCCTAGAAAAAAATTTAGGGAACGTAGCTAAGAAATGCTGATTTTCGAAAATTCTACTACCTGCCGTTTCATCCGCATCAGCACAGAGCCCTCTCCATCTTCGGCATCAAATTCATCGTGGAACTGCTTCTCGCACTAAAAATGACATTTTTGGACCCTGGGTTAATTCATACCCGGTCTTTTTGCTCCAGATTCCTGCGAATGCACGCGTCCTGCTCGGCCTCGCGTTTCCGGCGACCATATAAACCGCCGCAGGGCTCGCAGTACTGAATTTCAAGATAAAGCCCAGCGCCCAGCTTTACCTGTGAATGCACGTTTCGCCTCGAGCGTCGTTTCGGCGCCAGCGTACATTGGGGATGGGGTAGGCACTGGAATTTTCTGCACGGAAGCGCGGTAAAACTTACTTTTCCCTCTTCGCGTTTGCTGCGCTTCAGTGGTCTGCCCACCTGGCTCATCAGCTGGGGCCCACCGGGGAGGAACGGGTTATTTTCAGAATATTGCGGTTGTAGATATGTACAGGGCTGGCACTAGAAAGAAATGCTTATTTTTGGCTTCATGAGGTGTGGCATACAGCTGTTCGCTTCACTCGTTGCGTGACAGGCTCGCCGTTGACGCATTGGGCACATCCCTAGTAGATGTCTTCGTAGAAAAGAGTTAGATTAAATTTACCCCCGCATCTCGTCGAATCCTCGAAGCCCGCGAGCGCTCGTAGAGACCACCCGCGCGAGGGGCCGTCAGCCCGTTTACGGCGGCTATAAATAGTTGTATTTCGTAGTTCTGCAAGAAACCTTACCGCATGCCATACAGTGAGCCCCGCGTTTGGCGCGTTTCCCAAGCATCACACGCTTTCGACATGGACAGCCCGGGCAAGCACTGAAAACAACGAGGTATTTAATTAATTTAATTAGTCATGTCACTTCATCCGAATTAATTTTCAAGGTACTAGGAAGCGACAGAAAAGACCTTGCGTCGACTGAGTGTCGACAGCTACGCGCCGCGACAATAGACGCGCAGAAATAACCCGTTTTTCACTCAAAACCACTTCCCACACACTTTTTTTTGTTTGACAGCGGTCTTGACTAGGCCATTTCACCTACCGTAAACATGGTGGGGCAGCGGTGCAGCATTGCGGGGTTGAGGGCTTCAAGCAACACGGCAGTTTTGGCAATGGAAGAATTGGTGGGCAACAGGGGGAGACCCTATAAATTTTAAAAGAACCATCAATAAGTCTCACCTGGGCACAGCACGACGGATTTTGGTAGTAACAACAGGGTTTGCCGCATCCGCAATCTAGAAAAAAAATGTTATTAAATTAGGAAGTTAGGAAAACGTTTGCCTACCGCCATTCGGGCATCCGCATCCGCTTTTCCGAGGTGGCGGCAAATCGTCGCAACACTCGACGGGAGGCTCTAAATCTTTTCTTACAGAAAGAAGATAGAAACTTTTTCACCTGGCGGCGGTGGCGGGGGTGGAGGAGGGGGGAGGTGGAGGAGGAACGGCAGCGCCCGCGCAGCAGGTTTTCGGTGGAATTGGCTGCTCCTGAAAATGGATTCGTCATTTTTGCTTCAAAGAAAACAGGGAAAACTAACCGGTTGTTGTGGGTTACCGCCAGGCTCATCGTAGTCTTCCTCGTCTTCCAGGAATGGCGGTCGTTTCCCCTGGCAGCATGGACGTGGGCAACAATTCGGGGTCCTGAAAAGATGTTTATTGACCCGATCGGTGGGAGCTCATTCTTTCGAAAATCATATTTCCGGAAATCATTTTTGCGAAAGTTTTTTATCGATTTCTAATTCCAAAAAATATGCTGGCTATTTCATGCACTCCTTGAAGCCTTTTCCTATTAGTAGTTAGATCCAAATTTTTTGTTCATGGCTTTTCGAAAAATCGATTATCGAACATTTTATTTTTCTTATACTTTTCGAAATTTTCGAATTTTCCAGAAGTCACGAAAGGGGAATCGGTTGGTTCACGAAACTCACGATGGACAACAGGGACCGTAAGCCGGCTGGCAACAGGGTTTTGGTGGCGGAGGCGGTGGGCAACAAGCTAGCGGCAGTGGCTTCGTACCGCAGCATTCTAAAACTGCTGGTAATAAATCGAGAAGCTGAAGCCAACCTGCAGAGCAACAAGGTCGATTCGGGAATTGGTCACAGTTTGAGCAGCCGCAGGAGCAGCGCTTTCGCCGGGACGAGCGGTGTAGTAACGTTGCGGGCTCGTTGGCTGCGTGTGGAGCGCGATGGCCGCGGAGTTCAGAATCCCATAGAACTAAAATACGGTTAAGACGCTAAAGACAAGTTACTTTTTTGGGCTTCCTGTTTTACAGTAAGAATACCTATTTGGCATGTCTCGCCATTTTTAGCTAGTTTTCGGGATCTTGTTTTGGACGCAATTTGATAGAGGCTATAGACTGATAGTGAATACTACTGAAATATTTTGCTGAAAATAAATTAATCGAAGATAATCCTACCTTCAAAATCAAAGAATTAAAAAGCCCCACCTCGACCACTCGGATCCCCTGAAAATGATACACCCGGCTCGGGATCATCTCTTGCAAAGAATTCATCAACAGTCGACGACCCATAAACGGCAATGGCCCAAAAGTATGGCAATATAAGGGCACCAGTCGTGCCCCACCCTACCATTTTGGCACACCAAAAAATAAGCCCAAGAGTGCGGGATGATGACCGTGATAGCGGGTGATGGCAGAGCCCGGCCGGGATGGACGACCGGTTCTTCTGGATCGGGACTCCCGGGTAGAGGCGCCGAACCCACACAAGCAGCCATCCCGGATCCGATATCATCGCCTGGCTGGCAATCTCAGGCGCGCCATTGCCAAGCTGATCCGAGAGACGGCTTAATAGTCTAAAAATGTCTGCTCATTCGAGACGTTGTTGCATTTTTTGCAAAAAAAGCTGGTTGTAAGAATTCTGAGTCCGAGGAAGCCGCCTAACAAGTCTCCGTTCGACGTCGAATTTCCGTATGAAATTTGCACACTGATAGAACTCTTCGGGCTGATTTCAGTGATGTGAATAACATTCGTCCAGCGTTTAAAGTTCTTACCATACCGTCTTATCATAGCTTGTTTCAAGGTGCGGTAATTCAATAGCAGGTCCTAATATTCGAAATTTTATCAGTTTTTCACCATCGTGCCTTCTCTATACGACAACCATTCGAGCTAACAGAGCAATCAAACGAAATTCGGATCGAATAACACATTCAAGCCGTCCGGCAACGAAAACAAGTCGTAGCCCGTCTGAAGCCGACCGGTCACCTTCGAATTTTGTCTCGCCGCCGGGCGCACTATCTGGCCTAGATCCGAAGACAGAAACTGTAAAAATCTTACAAATAAAGATGGGGAAAATACCTCAACACCCCAGCACTGCTTGGACTTCTCGCGGTCGATGGTAACTTCAGTGGCGGCTGCGGCTTTTAGGCGACGCCGTTGAATGTTTTGTTCGGAGCGAACGGCTCCGAAATATGACTGCAACGAACGGGCGAAGCCGGTCAGCTTTCTAAAAATCAATTCAATCAGAATGAGTGATAGATCACCCGCTCCGTTGCATCCTCAAAGTATCGTTAGGTCCAAATTGCTCGGGTTGAGGCTCCTCTAACATTCGACTGAACTCGAAACCTGTTGCCTCGGCTTCGGCTTGGGTTGGTTCGACAGTCAATGGCTGTGGTGATCGCTACAAATTGACGTTGAAGCCATAAACAAATTGGATACCTGGCTACACTCCTCTATCTCGAAATGTGTTCTTCGTGCCGGCTGAGCCGGTCCATCAACAAAAGTGATGTCTGATTCGATCGTTTCTCGCCGTCTGACAGTCGTGGGTACTCGTGGAGGTGTCTCGGGCACAATTTTCAACTCTTGAGTAAAGTTTCGGCTCCTTTGGCTCGTTGAAGGGGCCTTCAAAAAGGTATTATGTTTGATAACAATGAAAAACCTTGAGGCAGTCGAGTGGTGATTGGGAACAGCGAATGGCATACTCTGAGGAACCTCGGCTTGCTTTTGGTGGCGTGTAATCAATCTAAAATTAAATAGGAAATAATAGAATTACAAACCTTAACTATTTCGCGCAGACTTCTCGGTGATAATCTCGAAATGGGGAAGACGCCTGTTTCTGCGTTTTCCAAATTCGCCAGTGCACTGGGAAATTCGGAGCTGGCACTCGACCATTCCTCCTTGACAGCTGCCGCAAGCTGTGACTAAATAATAATGTAAAAAACCTCACGAAAAACAAACTCTTGTTGTTGCTGCTTCACTCTTCGCGAAAACATCCTCGGATGTAATTCTAGGCAAAATAAAAATTGTTCCCGAACCCCTACATATTGTTGATAGCTGGATTCTGCGAATAGTCATTTTGAGCCTCCATGCTTTCGTTAATTTTGCAATTTACGGTCCATACTATTGGCTCGTGCTTTCTAAACATTTGTCGATTAGTAATGATAAAATGGTTGCTTTATCGGGGAAATATCCAAGTCGAGCCAATCCATGCAAACGCTTGACGATGGCTTGACCTCGAGGGAACACTGGCTCTCGAGTTTTTCCTCTTTTATCGTGAACTCGAGTTCGGAGCCGATCTGACAATTAACCAAACTTAATTTTTCTATCAAGACATACCACCGCGTTTTGCGAATCCTGGCTGAATTTTATGTGTCGTCCATTCCACGTGCTCTGTTTGTCGCCGTTGATGGAAGTTCGAGGTGCCGGTTTGCACGGTGACAACGATTCGTCCGAAATATGGGGCACAAACTCTTCTTTCACTTCCTTCCGGAACGATGGACGAGCTTAAGAGGCGAACATAAAGATGTTTGTGTAAAACAGTGGCCAAAGAAACCTCAAAAACTGACCGGGTGTACCATTGCTGAGCCTGGTCTTCCGGGAGCCACTAGCAGACAGTCTAGAATATCTTATTTTTCAAAAAACCAGTAGCACCGCTTGAAGTCTTCAGCTTTTCGAGTAGTGGATGCAATCCTCGGTAAGGGGCTTGACGCTAAAATCGGAAATAGAGCTAAAGGCAAATATCACTTTTGGCGAGTATAATCTTCCCGGGTTTCCACTGGGCTTCAAAGGATGCTCGTCGTCTGGAAATGACTAGAACTCGCATTTCTAAAGGCACACTACCTCTTGGCTTCTTCGTCAAAATTTACACGTCTAGGCGAGTTATCGATCGATAATCGCTTGCGGTTAGTGCTTATTGGTTCAAAATTCTTCCCAAGGCCCGGCATCCACCTAGAACTTTACAGTAGAGATCGAATTAGACCATCGACCACATCGGATCAGCTCAAGAGTGTCCCCAAATAGCTTTTGAATTGAAACATGGCTCTCTACTGTGGAGTACAAGAACGATACAACTTTATCAATTATCAACGTGCAAATGGCTATTCATCCTCTTCGCTTTCAGACGATTCAGATGGTGGAAGATCCATTGGTCGATTTCGTTCTTCTTCGTGCTCCCTAAAAAATAAAATTATAGGCCGAACTCAGGACTCGACGAATATCTTAGTCTTGATAAATGAAAGCCACCTGTCGATCCGCTCGAGATATTCTTTTTGCTTCTCGATGACGTCTTCAGGCCCAGTGCACGACGCATAGATTTCCAACAGTTCGTTGTTCATTTCCAAGAAATGAGGCCCGTATCCGAATTTGCTCATCACAATCTTCGCGTCGTCTCGGAATCCGCAAATGTGCAGCCCGGCAGCCAGAGCTTCAGCGCAATTCAACTTGCACGGGCGACCGTAGTTGACTTGGTTGGCGGCCACGAGATACGGCAAAAGACGGTGTTCGGGGGCCTTAACCTTGTGTAGAGGCGTTCTCTCAACTTCTTTCCAGCTGCAGTCGACGACGCCGAGACCATTTTGTTCGATGAAGTCGCGATCACGGGGCGAAAGGGTAGAAACCCCGGTTGGCGACAGCACTAGTCCGGCGAAGCGTGAGCCAAGACGTATTTCATCGACCAAGCCGATCCTGAAAAAAAAAAACTTTTAAGCGAATTTTAAGACCGAAAAAGTTCGATAAAATAAATTAAAGGAACATATTTTACCGTGATAACTTCTTCCCAGAGCAGCGCTTCGGGTCGCATTGCTCAAAGTCGTACATGGCCAGCTTCACTGTCAATTCTTGCGCTGAACCGCAGCCCTCATCGCCAGATTCTTCCGAAGACTCAGCAGCTTCCTCGCTGGCACTCGGCCTTCGTTCTTCAAGCTCGGGTTCCCGCCGGTCGCTCCTTACGGGTCGTTTATCCTTGCGTTTAGTCGGACCAGCTTTACCGCGGGGCATCCTACACCAACAAAAAACAATATGATTCTTCCGTTTTCTCCGAATAAAATGTTCGTTATAAGCGCGCTTGAGTGCATGGACAACTTCGCAAACGATTTATTCGAGACCATCTGAACAAAGATAAATAGTGAAAAAATTCTTAGCGCAAAACGTATCAAAAACGTTGGTAGTAGATCACTCATCGGTCTTTTCCTTCTTAGCCTCTTCACGCTTCATGTAATCGCTGAATTTCTCGGTCCGGCTCTAGAAACAAAAGTTGCCTGAATCGTCAAGAGGTCTACCGTGGCATTTTTCCAGCGCAATGGTTCCTCTCCGCGCAGCGCGGAGAACAGCATGATTGGACCACGGCCTTTGACCTATAAGCGGCTTAGTCTAGTTTCAAAAGCTAAACACACCTGGCCCCGGTCACCGCGACCGCCGCTTCTGTGCGAACGCCAAGGTGAGCGTGAACGTGAGCTCTTAATAAAGAAATAACAAAAATTAAGTTTTAGTTACCCTTCGTCGTGAATCACGTCGGTCATCACGACGATCTCGCGAACGGCTTCGATTACGACGATCGCGGGAACGGCTGCGATCGCGATGGCGATCTCGCTAAAATATTTGATAGAATATCAGAAATAACAAAAACCAACCCTCTCGCGAGAATTGGCGCGTTTCTTCTTTTTCTCCTTGCCATCCTTCTCATCATCTTTTGGCTTCCTTTCCGGTGTCTTGCTGTGGCGATAGAGAAAGTTCCTCTCCGCAGGAAAATCCGGAATATCCGAGGCCTTCATCGTTGATGCCGCGCCTTCCTTGCTAAAAGCAGTTTTATGACCACTAAAACACCCCAAAACAAAGAGGAATTCCTGATTACGTAAATACGACCATATCTAATTGAAAAGCTGCAACCTACTTTTCTTGCTCCACTTCCTCCTCACTCTCTGACGACGAATCTGATGAGGATGACCCAGATGAACTGTCGCTGTCGCTATCGCTGTCAGATGAGGAGCTATCCGATGATTCCGCCTTTTTCTTCTCTTTCTTAGCCGCCTTTTCACTTTTCTTGGCCTTCTCCTCTGGCTTGAATTCGCCGCAGTTTGTGATTAAAACCTAAAAAAAAATATATAGTTTACAACGCAACCGGATGGCTTACATCGACCAGCGGTTTGCTTTTATTGTCAACAGAAGCATTTTCGATCCTCGCGATAATTTTTTGTCCAGTGATCAGCTAAAAAAAAGCTAATTAGAAAAGCAAAAAAGCCCTCACTCTGCCAAACACCACGTGTTTTTCGTCAAGATGCGGGCACGGAACACAGGTGATGAAGAACTGACAGCCGTTCGAGTTCGGGCCCTAATCAGGATGATTTCGTTTATAAACTCGAACTCACGCTGTTCGCCATCGAGAGGAAGTAAGGCTTGTCATGCTTGATCCGAAAGTTTTCGTCTGGGAATGTTTTTCCGTAGATTGAGACCCGCCCGGTGCCGTCACCATTCATAATATCGCCGCCCTAGAGATATACAGTATTACAACATCAAGCCGGAGTCCAACCTGAATCATGAAATCCTTGATAACCCGATGGAAGAGCGTGTTCTTGTATGATAATACTTTGCCATCGATCTTGGTCCCGCGACAAAACTGAATAATAGATTAACAGAAAAAGACTAATTACCTCGACAAAATTCAGAGCCGTTTTTGGCGTTATATCGGAATACAACTCGAATTCCAGGCGAAACGGCCCTTCCTTCCCAATACGTATATCGAAGAAAGCAAACTTGTTTGGCATCTAAGCAATTATATTTCCGGGTCCAGTCAGGAGAAACAGGGCATCAAATCGCAGCTGGCGACACACAAAAATCAACGACAATAGTCAATACCCGTTTATCAGAACTGCACCCGCAAACTTGAACAAAATACAACGAAAATAAATTATTGTCCCGCGGCTTCAGCTTTTGTCGGTTTCAATCTAAACAAACAACCGATTGTCTTACTGCAAAATTAAGTTACCTCGAATTCAAGTTCTCGCTTCGCCGCTTCAAGGGTGTGCTTCAGCTGTTTCAACGCTTCATATTCCTGAAAAGACAATTAGAAGGCAAGATAAAATCTCACGTTAGTCAGCTCCGCCAGTTTGTGCTTCAAGTGCTGTGATTTATCGCGGGGCCGATTCGGCTTATCGCCAGTCTCCTTCGGAGCCTCAGATTTGACGTTCGGCATCAGACTACAGCAGATGTTGCAAATTTGACCGCATTTCATTTGAATAGCATAATCGATGGCAATCCATTTTTCAAACTAGTAAATGTCCCAAGATATTTATTCGAGTAAAACGCAGCGATCCAATAGTAAGCACATCCAATGTACAATTTCTAAAATCACTAAATGGGGGATAATCAAAATTTTTACATGGAACACACGAACAATGAAAGGGAACTAATAGTTTAGCTTCTGCTTCGTCGGCGGCGGTCTCTACGGCTGCGATCCCGGGAGACGGAGCGGTTACGACGACGCTCGGTAGAACGACTTCGGTCGTGGCGGCGGCGGCTCGATCTATCGCTGGGGCTGGCAGCGCGCTTTTCTATAAAAATAAAATAATTTTAGGCGGGAACACGAAAGTGTAGTCCCCTAAGACCGTTCGATCGATCAACGATGCCCAAAGAAGTAAAAATTATACCTTTGCGTCGATTATCCGGAGATCTGTCTCTGCGTCTACCTTCTGGAGACCTATCCTTGCGTCGGTCATCAGAAGACCTGTCTCGTCGTCGTTCATCTGGAGACCGGTCTCGCCGTCGAGGGGAGTTTCTCGGAGTGGTCGGCGGCGATATTGGCTCCTCCTTGACCTTGGTCGCATCGTATCCTATAAATGATCGTCGGTTAGAAAATAACGCAGATACCATCAGCCCGCTTCGGCCCGATATCAGTAGTTTGGTCGCGTCCGCGTTCTCGATGAAGTTGAGGGGATGCGGAGCGCTCGCTTGGTGTTGATGGCTCTTCTTTCACAGCTTCTCGGCGGGCTGAAAATTCGTTAGGAAAATAAAAAACTATACCTTTAGAGGATTCTCTGTCGCTGGCGGATGAATCGCTTTCACTGGAGGCTTCACGCTTGACGGAATGTTTCTTGGATTTCGATTTTTCCCTTACCTAAAAATTCATTTGGTTACAAGTATGGAATTTCTGAAGACGAAAAAAGAACGAAATTAGGCACCTTTTCCTTCTTGAGTCTCTTCAGTTCCTTCGCTTTCTTCTTCTCCTTTTTCTCCTTTTTCTTGTCCTTCTTCGATTTCTTCTCCCCGCCCATTAGTTTTCTAAAAATTCGATGAAGCCAAATCAGTAGAAATCATACTTCATTAAGATTTTCTTGTCCTTCTCAGTCATGGTCATCAAGAACTCTTTCATTGCCTCAGCTTCATTCTTAACAACCTTGGTTCCGAGCTTTGCCAGCTGATCGTCCATCCTGAAACCACAATGCGTCAATTGCAAAAAAAGACGACTATACCTGAGCGTGTCCAAGATGCCGCCTTTGATCCGAAGTCCATGTTCTTCACGCATTTCTTCAGCGAGTTGCACCTTATCAGGCTCATCCTCGCGCAAGTCATTGACATCAACCTGTTTCCGATAAGGACTATTACTCAATTGGAATACCTTGGTACTGGGGCCAGCCTTTTCGCGTTCAGCAATTAGTCTATTCTTGCGTGCCTGTTTGAGGAGATCCGACGGGTTGTTGGCATCTAAAATTTTAATAGGTCCAAGTAAGCAAAAAACCTTACATCCTTCATCTTCGAAATTCCCGCTCTTCCCATAAAGCGGGCATTCACTGTCGGTGTTGAGATGCCCCCATTTGTGGCAGCGTACACAGCGAACATGACGAACCTAAAAAAAGTCATGAAAAAAACGCCGGTTAGGACAAACTTGAATGCCGAAAGGTTGATCGACAATGTTTTGATTTCCTTTGGCCCATTCTTCCCGAGGGGCTTGGTATTTGCGCTGCCATTCGAATCGCGGCTCTTCTTTCGGCTCCTCCTCTCTAGAGTTTTTTAGAATTTCAAAAACTAAAAAACCTACTTTTTAATTCCGACAGGCGCTTCATACATAAACGAAAGACCAAGTTTGGCTTTTTCGTCTCCGAGGAGGGCTTTGTTGTTCAACACGTCTTGCTCCTTTTGATAAGCAACTCTCATCTCCTCTTCGCGTTTGTCCTTCTGCGCCTGCAGCTCCTTCGCTTCCCATACCTAAAACTGATAAATCATCAAGAATATAAAATTAGAAAGAAGCAAATAGCAAAAAAAAAAATACAACCAACGCACCTTCTTTAAATTCCACCATGCACTTGGATGGAAGTCCTTTTTTGGACATGAAATTTTGAAAACCCTTCCCCATCTTGGCGTCTTGTTTGTGGTTCGGCTACCTAAATAATGATGATTTTTTTCACTTCAGGACTTGCACAAGCTGGAGGTAAGTCAACGGACCATACCGATTATATCCGAGCAAAAAAATAGAAAAAAAATCGGAAATTATTTATTGACAACAAAGAAAAACAACAACTTTAACAAAGAATCAACAGCTGGAAACGTATTAGTTTCCATAAACTTTCAGCGCGCTATCCGCTCCTCCGGAGGCGACGATTCCTAGAAAATTTAGCTAAAATGAACACATGAATGCTACCATTAGGGCCGCTGGCAACGCAGAATACACGATCATCGTGGCCGTGGAGGTCGAATAGTGATGTTTTTCCACTCCTAAAAATTATTTAGAAGGAAAAGGGGAGCCCCGGAAACACCCCAAAGAAGGGGGGGAAAAAAAACCCCCCCAAACCAAGGGGGGAAAAGGGGGGAGAGGAAAGAGCAAAGAGACATTCTCTCCCCCCCGGAAACGGATGACCTAATCCCCCCCTATCTCTTTAAGTATCGTATCCTCAAGCTACCTGACATCCCACATTTTGACGACATTATCATAGGAACCAGTGGCGAACACATTTTCTTGGTCCATATGCCAAGCCACAGACGAGATCCAGCCGCGATGGCCCACATAGGATTGTTTGACAACGTTTCCTTCTAAAAATTAATTTTGATCATCCTTTTAATTAAGTTTTGGGTATACCTGTGCTTCGCGTATCGTAAAGCCTTGGCAGGGCGTCGGCTGATCCAGCGATAACTAGACCATTCTTCTTATTGACGTCAATCGATGTGTAAGCCTAAATCATGTAAAAAGGATGTGTTTGCAAATCGAACCTTTGAATGCCGTATCCGCGAGATTTCGCCTGCCAGCTCCAGATCCCATGTGGCGATGGTGTGATCTGCAGAAGCGGAGATACAGTGTGATGGATTGTGCGTAGACCATCGAACCGCCGTCACAGAGTCCTTATGTCCTCCCAACGTGACCATTGGAGTCTAAAACAATTGGGGTTTATTATAGAGATTATCACATACCATCGTCGTGCAGACTTTCCTTCGTTTACTGTTGTCGTCATTCTCTTTAGCTTTCTCGATTTGCGGGGCATTTTCTGAAGAATATTTTTCGTTTGTAGGTTGATGACCCTGACCCTCCATATTCCACACTTTGAGATGCGAATCGATCGAGCCAGAGATCATGCGAGTTTCGTCCTTGCTCAACGACAACGAATTGACAGTCCGTTCGTGACCGCGTAGTTGTTGTTTTTCAACGAATGAACCCTCAACGCACTAAAACGAAGTTATCGCCTTCTCGTCGAATTCACCTCATAAATGGAAATAGTAGCCATCAGCCCACTGACGGCCAGGGTGAGGCCATTTCCCGACGAGGAATCCTTTCCTAGAACGCGAAAAATTCATAGAAACAAAATTAGCATTACCTGTTGGCTCCTTCAAAATCTCGGAGCATTTGTACGCCTCGCCCTTGCCTTTTGGGAACTAAAAAACCGGATCTAGGATTGTAGTGACTCGATTTATTTTCAAGGCCCAAAAGCACAAAAATAATTTGCTTTCGATAAAACAAACCTCGCCAAGTTTTTTTCCAGCAGTATTCCAAAGGATGATATCACCATGGAAAGTAGTAGCTACCAGCCTAGAAAAAAATGGGTTTAGGCCGATTGGATTTAACCAAGTAAAAAAGGCAAAGATAACGCGTATCAGCTGTTGTGGAGAAGCCTAAGGAAAGTTTCAAAGCAAAAACTCACAGCTTTTCCAGGGCATGAACGCTTCCACCCAATCCGGGGTCGGCAAATCGTGAAGAGGTTTTGGCGGGTCAATGCCAAGAATGCACTCTATCCGGATAACGCGTTCCTAAACAGAGCTACAATAGAGGTGCTAGAAAACCCACTGTATCAACGGTATATTCTTCAATGAACTCCGCCAGGGAAGATCGAAGAAACGTCTCTCCAATCAGCAGTTCAAAGTTCAGCTCTTTCCATTCATCTGAAAAACTCGGGATAAAATAAAGCTCTTCGGCGTACCAGTTGTTTGTGAAATACTTTCATTAACCAATGCATTCAGGTTTGCTTGCGTCGCGGAGAGGGGGACATCGAAGACGGCTTCCGGGATTGTGGCCACCCTAAACAGGAAAAATAAGCAATCTGATAGAACTTTTACCGATCATCATTCGTGAAGAATGAGACCTGAACGTGGCGATGGTCGAGCGTAGGCTCATCCATACCTGAAAATGAGGTTTATCATCTGATAATTCGCGCAACGTTTTCAACAAATCAGAAAACGACAACAAGATTGAATAACAACGAAGACAAAATGGAAAAGGGACAAAAAAATATTTCTGGGTCTTTCATCGAGCATCGTAGACCATGAGCATCCTGAAAAAGGGAGGGTAATTCCGAAATTTGCACGATCCCACCTGCAGCGCTTTTTGTACAAAATCCGGTATCCGCAACTTCGGCAACGGATGGCGTCCTTTGGGCGAATTTCGTTCTCGGCGTGGCAATGTCCACAAATGTAGATCATGCTGTTACTGCGCGGGGCACCTTAAGGGAAGTTTATAGGGATTTGAAGAGCAAGGTTTACCTGCAGCGGCGCCTCCTGGGGCGGTGGCGGCATCCATTATTGATATTGTTGTGGCAGTTCTGCGCGAAGACTAAAATAAAGCTTGATTTAATAAATAAGAATTAGAAAAGAAAAGTGAGAAAATTTCGAAAAAGGTTTCAAAAAGCAGTATCCGCGCGACGAGGACACCCTACGAGATGATACTATCGACACTGGGGTATCAAGCATTCATAGAATTGTATCGCCTTCATTCCCGATACAAAGCAACGTGTACAGTTAAATTTATTACAACAAACAAAACAAAAGTTTTTTCCCATTGAATATTTTTGGATCAATAATGCTTCTTTTAATTAATGAAACATTATAGGGTTGGACCACGCGTTGTTACGATGTTTCTACGGCTCGCCTTGCTCCTGGTGGTCCCTTTCGAAAATTTCTTCAACTAATAAACTGTTTAGAGCCTATGTTCTTCCATCTACGCAAATGTCGTCTCACTCGACAGCGCAAACGTTGATACAGTGCTTAGTGGGTCGTAGCGTTGGTGGCTCAAATTCTGTTCAGAGTCGAACGACGTCGTGTTTGTGAATTTCTATGCCGAATGGTGTCGGTTCTCGCAAATGTTGAAGCCGATTTACAATGAGGCCGCCGAGAAATTCAAGGTGAAGATTTTGGTCGCGGCTTTTGGGTAATATTACTTTTAGGACTACCCCGCCGGCAAGGTTGTTTGGGCATCGGTGGATGCAGACCAACAATGTAAGCCATCAGTCATTTCTTTACCGAAAATTTAGCGGAAATCGCCACCCGCTTCAGCGTCAATAAGTATCCGACTCTCAAACTCTTCCGTAAGGGCGAACTGGTCAAGAAGGAGTTTCGGTAAATTTCCAATTTTTTTGATGATTGATGTATGGAGTTTTATAAAAAAACTGATTAATCTTTTTTTAGCGGACAACGTAGTGTCGAAGCCCTGACAGCGTTCATCCAGAAGCAGTTTGACACCGGTATCGTCGTGCTCAGCTCCGCGGAAGAGTTGAATACCAAATTGCAGGTGAGACGGTGTTTTTATTTTTATGAGCGTGTGGAAAAACAAAGATTTCGGGGTTCTCAAAATAAATTTTTAGGCCGGCAAGCGCAACGTCGTTGGCTTCTTCCCCCAGACTGGAGGAGTCGAATTCGAGGACTTTCAGCATGGTAAGGAGAAGATTATTTTGGTGAGAACGACTGTCTCTTTTAGGCTGCTTCTGTCCTCCGTGAGGATTGCATCTTCCACCAAGCCACGGGCGCCCTTTTCCAAGCCGATCTCCAGCACGGCTCAAAGATCACCTTCCAGGGTCCCGAGGTATGAATTTTTGAAAACCGTGTATTTGGTTTTTCAGGATCAAGCTCCGCAAGTCTACGAGGGTGGGCTGGGAGATTTCGATCAGTTGAAGTGAGTGCTTCACCTCGGTTTAGACAAAATATTTCCAGAAAATGGCTGGCAGAAAGATGTGTCCCATTGGTCCGGGAGATCACTTTTGAAAATGCTGAGGAGCTTACGGAAGAGAATCTGCCTTTCCTTATCCTTTTCCGGGTTGGTAATTTGATAACTATGATTTTTGTTGCCTGTATAGATTTGATTAAACTTTATCGTCTACGTTTTAGCACCCCGATGACAAGCACAGCGAACAACTCTACAAGGACGCTGTCATCCGGGAAATTCCGGACCAAAAAGGTAAACCCTCACGAGATTTTACATGAATGATATTGCAGCCTCGATCAATTGCCTGGTTGCCGATGGCAAGAGATTCGCCCACCCACTACATCACCTCGGAAAAGCCGAGAAAGATCTGCCGGTCATCGCCATCGACTCGTTCAGGCACATGTATTTGTTCGGCGATTTCCAGGACATACAGTAGGTCATGTTTGACAACCTTCAATCGAGTCTTTTAGTACCGCTGGAAAACTACGACAATTTGTGATGGATCTCCATAGCGGAAAATTGCATAGGGAGTTCCACCATGGTCCGGATCAGGCAAATGTCAGTTCTTTATCATATTTTGACGAAGCGTCTCACCCATCGTTTAAAAACGGATTCTCACAAAATAATTTCCAGGGCCTCCCCCAACAGACGCAGCCGCCATCAAGTGCCTTTGAGAAGTTGAAGCCGTCGCATAACCGCTACTCAATCCTCGAAAAACATGAATTGTAGATCTCTGAGAATTTCATTGCCCAAAATTTACCCCACTGAAGTAGATCCCCGTTGCAGTTACGCCAATCATTCACGTATACCCCTCGTCATTGTCTAGGCTTTATTCGGGATCTAGTCAAGTACCCTTTGTCAGGTCGCGCTCTTCCTTTTATTCTAATCATGACGTTCCAACATGGCTTTATCCTTCTCCCCCATCATCGTCTGTGATCTATGGCGTGCAGTGCCCCTGGACTGCTTCACCATACACCCACCCTCCCTGCTCGTTTGTTCGTTCTTGGGTCAACTGTTGCTTTCCGTAAATATTTTATCTGACGAATAAAAACTAAAAAAAATCACAAAACTTCAGTGAGCAGCTCCTTCTTTTAGCCTCAACCAAATTGAGTCCCTTTTGTTCCATAGCCCGTTTCAACTCAAGTAGCTGATTCCTGGAGGTCTTCTTATCATCGTCTGTTTTAGCCTTTGTGGTGGCTTTCTTGTCGTAATCTTTGTAAATCTAGATAGGTTTTTCTTCAAGATTGAGCAAGGTTGCTTACTTTATTGAGCGCATCCTTGTATTCGTTGAAGAGAATCTTTTTGCGCATCTTTGGCGAGCTCTTCGCGCCGTTGTCTACTCATAACGGGAACCTGAAGACTGGTTGTTGCAAGTCATGACGACTTGCCTGGATATATAGAAATACGCCTTCCTGTTGCACATTATTTGATGCAATAGACCCTGCCTTCTAAAACAAATGTTAGCGAACACCACAAGAAGCAAACCTGGAGCGCAAGCTTGGCCGCCTTGATGTGTGGTGACGAGTCAGAGAGGTTGATGACTACCATGCGCGGACCTTTGAGCGATACCCGTCCGATATGACCGAGACGTACTTCTTTCCCATCGTCTAGGGGCACCGAGACTTCTTCAAAAACTCTCGTGTCAACCTAAAACCGGTACGTCGTTACCTTTCCAATGAGTTTACCTTGCTGGAAAAAACGTTTCACAAGCTCGTCGGCAAGCTGCGATTCACAGGCACTCATTGCTTTCAGGGCTCCCGCAACAAATTCATTTTCGCTTGCTGCTTGACTCGAGTGATGCAGCGACAAGCCAAGACCCTGAAGTCTTGGATATCAATCGCGTGCGCGTAAGTACCTTGTCCTTCTTCTCAACTTTCTGTTTGGCTTTATAAGTCAATGCAGAAGTATGAATTGATGCCGAATTTCTAAATTTGCGTAAAATGGTTTGCCAGGAGACAGTACCCCCACGAGCCAGCCGACCCGGAAATAGCCGTCACGCGACGTAGAAGTAATCGTAGCGACATCTGTTAGTCTTTCAGTTAGCTTGATCTACGAAATCGCGGTAAATACCTGGCGCGTAACAATGTCCTTATTTAGATGCGTAATGTGACAAAAATAATTTATTACGAGACCTTCAAGGGATAAGTAGTATATTACATGGTATGTAGAAACGTCAAATTCGACAATTAGTTTGATAGTAACAAGTGTTTGTGCAAATAAAATACCCGTATAGATATGGTAAATCGAAAAAGAAGAAAGGTCGAGATAAAGTAAAGGCATAGCCATTCTTGCAAAAATAGTGACGTTAATGCCGCGGTTTCACATGACAGGTCGCTAAATGCTTGGTGAAAATATACCGAGATGACCAGAAAGCCAAAATTATCACAGCAAAATGCTTAAAAGATACAAGTTAGCACACGTACGTTTAGACGGAATACTCAAAGGCGGGTCGCGTAATGTAGGGTTCTACCATCGGAGAAAGCCACCTCCACGAAAAGGGACCGCCAAAAACAATCTGAAAGAAAGATCAGAGGGAAAATAAACCCCGACCTGCAAGTTCTTCCAAGAAGAGTTTCGAGTTTTGTCACTTTCTCCTCGCTTTAGACTTTCGATTGCCGTTTCGTCTTGGCAGATCGAAGATATTTGAGTGCCAAACATGACGCTGGTGAAAATAGCGAACAGCACGCCCTCGAACAGCAGAAAAATCTAAATAAAATTATGCGGCTTTTAGTGAATAATTACCAGTAATAAAGTCGTAGCTGGAGGGGATAACCTGGGGCAAGTGGCCCATTCGGCGCTCACGCATTCGATGAATTGCCAGATGCCCCAGTATAACGCATGAACCGAGAGGCAGGCGATGTAGAACTAAAGAAGGTTGCAACATCTCTAGTGTACCAACCGTAAAAGGACAAAGTATTTTTGATTGCCCTCCCCCACACAATTGTTCACCCAAGGGCAGTGATGGTCCATGCGGCGAATACATCTAGAAATAAAATTTCGTACAATCTGATATACCTTTCGCAAACGGAGCAGTGGTGAGCCCTCTCGGGCTTGATGGAGCAACACTTTTGGCATTTGAAAACCACCTAAGGCAACGCGTAAAAATATTGTCAAATGCCTGCCTTGTTCTCTTCGACCAAGTGCAGTCGCTCAATGTATTCGGAGGTGGCGTTGCCTTTTGGGACAGCACCGGGGTCCGTCAACATTGTCTAGAGCCAAAATACAAACCACAAAGGTCTTTTACCTTTAAATGGCTAGCCAGCGACATTATGACGAAAAAGTTGAAGAGCGCGAAGTGGAATGTTTGATGAATAGGGTGCAGCTCCCAAGAGGGCATCATTACGCAGATCACACATATTTCTCCGTAGAGCACCAGAGACCTCAATGGGAGGTTCACAATTTTCCGATGCATCTTACCAGGTTATACCGGCGCAGATTATCCCACATGCATCACCGACGCACCATTTCCTCCCACAACATTGAGTCTTTTCCCGCCGCATGTACAGGCACTACAAATGTCTACAATTCGCAAAACTAATGTCAGGCGCTGACATGATTATACAATCATTTAGGTATGTCGAGCGTAGGACGCGATCAAGCACTCCGATACATGTGATCTTCAGACTGATAGAAACGTTTATCGAATTGCATGGCATTACTGCCAGAGACAGCGAAGTCGAATAATTAAAAACCAGAACAGATAAACGTCCGAGGAATGGGGTAGCTTAATATTAATTCAAAGTTTATGAAGTACATAGTCAAAAAACCGGGGAAACTAGAATTTTGGGCAAATTTCACGAACGATTTAAAGGACACGCGCAGATAGAATGAGGCTCGACACGAACAGCCAGAGTTTAGCAACTCCTCATCATTCTACTTGCACATGTCCTTTAGAATCCCTGTGCTGACCACTATATGTTATCAGCAACGAGATTCGTCCAATACACTGAAATAGGTTCGGAATGGGCAAGTGATGTGGAGTTCGGGTTCTACATGAGTTTGCCGAGGATCAGACCGATGAGGAGTCCGGCGACGGTAATAAGGATGGCCTGAAGAGTTGTAAAGTCGCAAGAAAGGCCAAACCTGGAGAGTGGGGGAAGCCGACCTCGGCTTGTCCGTGCAGTCGGTCGTGTTGCAGCTTCGTGTATTTCTACAAAACAATGAGGCCATAACGGGATTTCCCACCTTCATGATGTCATCCAAATCCTTCCTGACGGCCGTAAGCTCATTCTCGGCTTTCTGTGCCTTCTGTTGCATGCGTGCGAATTCGTCATCGTTGCCAGAACGAAGATTGGTCACGTGGCTGGACGTCTGGATGCCCGGTGGCGTCTAAACCAGCGAATTTCATCGAATTAGCGAGAATAGCAAATTTTGCTAAAAATACCCACATGGTGAACCGATTTAGTCGTAGAATTCTGAATGTATTTGATCGACGCCGGAGTCTCTTCCTGCGTGCCCAGAGTCTAAGAAAACATCTGTGATACAATAAAGGTTACATACGGTATTGGCATTAGAGAGCCCGGCAAACACGACGCGCAGCTTCGAATAGGACAGTTCGGCCGGGTTGATAGTCTAAAACGTATCTTCAATACGGATTAAAGTTTGTTACCTTCCAAAGACCCTCCAAATCGACATTTTCGTGCGGAGCGTAGCAATACTGCACCATGAATTTATGCCGGCTTGCTTCAACGCTGGCTTCATTTCCGGTAGGCTGAAGCATCACAGAAACCTCGAAAGTGTGGCCTAAACGAAAGATGCTCGCAGAAAAGGGTACTAGAGATACCTGGTGCTACGATCCCAGAGTTGGGCCGAACGCAATACTGCTTTGGGGCGGTAGTCTTCACCTTGAAACAAATCGGCTGGGTGCCACGATTCATCAGCCGCAGCGGAGAAGTAACGACATCGGTAAAAGGACCTAAAAATGTCAGTCATACAAAAAAAACGTGGAAAGTTGCGTACCCTGGAACACAAGCTCTTGCGGAGGGGAGATTTGTAGCGCCACTTTTGGCTCAGCCATTTTTCGCCTAAAAAAGTTGATTACAACCCGCAATGAAAAAATTACGGAGATGAGGGAGGCTTGCGGCCTGAACCGTGAGATTTTTTCATGGCGGAAAGAAATGATGTCGGTAAAAAGACTAGACTTCGATGAAAGGTATTCAAGCCTCATGGGAATGCAAATTGATCATATTGCGCTCGAAATTATGAGCCAGCCTACCACAGCGGTTACAATTCCAAAAAAAAAACAAAACCGGGCCGATTGTTCGCGGAGAGCCAGTCCCGATAACGAAAAAATTTAATGCGTAGATTTCCCCGAATAGCTACCCTGAACGCCCAGCCAGTAAGGCCCATTGCCGCCAAAAAAAAGAAGAAAAAATACGAGGTAATTAGATTTCTCGAATTATGATACCGAAAGGAAACTGAAGGCAAGCCAAATATAACCCAGTTGATCGTAATTCTATGACGAAGCCAAGTCATATCGAGTAGTTTTGCGAGCATTTTTGGGGGAACTACATCGCATTGGCTGGTTCCCTAGCGACGCCCTGATTAGTCAATTAGTGGGGGGCGATGGCATTGCGGAAATTGTGAAAAAGGGGGCTCGGTTTGTCAGTATTGGAAAAAAAACTCGAAGAAAGGTCCGATGGAAGAGGGTCCAAAACTCTTTTTGTAGTTTACGGTCCGGCTGATCGTAGTGGATGATAAAGGATGCGGATTAGCAAGTCAGATGTCGCTTTGAAGCTGTGGAGATGGGCGTGCTTTACAACGAGGCTGTATGAGGGAGAACCTAGGTTGTAGCAAGGGCATGACGCACGAATTCGTGCCAATTTAGCATGTAGATCTTTGGGTGATCGCTGGCAGAGACGGGTCGGCCGGGGCCCCGTCTCTCGCCTGTCTATTGGCGCCTCGTGGAATTCCGCGCCAATTCAACTTACAGCCAGCCACCTGACTCGAATTGTCAACAAAGAGAAACAGCCAATTTCTAGACGAGGAAATTCATCTCAAAATGGACCCCGAGGTACATTTCTTGTGATTTCTCTAGGGTGGGGTTGGTAGTGAAAACTATTGTAGTTTTCGATGTAACATAAGCTCGATTTGAGAGCTTGAAATTCTCAACAAATACATCTTCCAAATACTGCTGACAACAACGGTCCTGGAGGTGATCTCAAAGCAAAAGATGGGGAAAATAGTATTTCCGTCTCTGCTCAGCAGTTTTGTGGAAAGAGAGGAAATTGTTCAGAATTGCAAGCTAGTGCAGGGCTGGAGTTTGTTTAGTGGGTCCAGAATCGGATCCAAAAAGGCTTTCCCTGTTTCTGAATATTTCAATATAACTAACAACTTTGTTAGCCCTGGAAAATCGTCTGATGGAGAGCCCAACGAGTTAAGCAGCGCCCTGAAGAGCAAGAGAACGTCCAGCCTGGCTCCGACAGACAAAAGCCCGCTGAGGCTACTCTGGACCAGGGCGTCACATTTGATCAGGGAGTTCTTCTTGGGCCTTTTTAAAATTCTCGAAGAATTCGGAGGAACTCGGATGCTCTATCGACGGCGACGAATACATGACTGAAAAGAGCGCGCGCGGATTTGCACTTAAAAGTGACGAGGGCTACAAACCCGCGTCAGGCACTGCCTCCGGCTGGACTTGTCTGGCTGATGATAGATATTCAGGTAATGTGACATTCGCGTGCACAAAGTATTTTTCCTCTTACCAGCCATTTGTGTCGCTGCGCAACCAATTGTCACGATGGTCATGATCTCCACCCCATCGGACTCGGCGAAATCTCGATGCGATTGTGGCAACTCGCGGACCCCTGACATCAAATGCGGATTTGTCGAGGTAAAATGCCAATTACTCTCCATTTATGTCTCTTTAGGACAAACCAGCGGAAAATTCGCGAAACGTCTATGATCCGAGCTTCAAGGCCATCTACTGCAATGAGCGGTGTGTATGGGGATCCGTTGAAGAAGGATGATGCCATGGCGATGTGCGTCCTTTTTGCGAGAATCCGGTTTCATTATGCGGTGAGAACCATAAGATATTTTCTTGGGTACCGAGTGTTTAGCACACCGGCCTCCAAGGGAATGCTGAGGATGACGGCGCTGACCTGATCTGCCGCCCTGTGTTACTAAACATCCCTGGTTTGCTGGAGTGAGCAAGAGAGGTAGCCTGCGTGTTTGCGTTCCGGAAACAGGACTTTAGATGGTACCTTTTGCATCCAGAAGTACATCAGGTCCTGGCGCTGCGCCCGCTTCGGAGCAGATCACTGCCGTCCTCATTGGCCCTTCCGAGGATTCTGGCGTAAGGATCTCTGGTACTTATGATAAGCTTTGCTAGGTAATTTTCTTCCCGCTTGATTTATCATCATCTTGTCTTAGAGGATTTTGAGAATGACGAGGCGAATTTTTGACGAATCCGGACGATCGTTCTCTACGTACGAGAATGAAATTGGGGTTGAGGAAGAGAGAGCAAAATAGTCCTCGCTCTGGTGAAGAGATCATCCTCGAGGTAAGCGGGGAATCGAATCGCATTGCAATATGGCTGATTTAGATAGCAAATCGTCGTTAACCTCGACAGAGAATCCTCGGTCATGTATTCTCCGCACTACGGCGAGCTCAAAGAGCACTCAAGGCGAATTCTTCTCAACGGTCAACGAAAATGGAGTGGCGGGCTTAAAATTGTACCAAAATCACCACATGCTTCTCAGGTGGTAACAGGCGAGGTGATGGTCGCCCGCTCTTTGCTGAAAAGCGGGCACGACGCCGTGAGGGGAGGGCGATGAAGAAGCCAAACGCCCTCGATAAGAAGAGGCACCGCCTAACGATGAAGCCGAGTGATCTATAGAAGAATCTATGTAGACTATTAAACCTTGTTGTCATTGTGTTTTCCATCCTCGGTTCCTTAATCTTACGTTGTCAAAATGATCTCGGTCGGAAATGCGCCTTTTAAGAGACTATGGCCAACATTCGTGTACGATTACCGACGGGATTACATTTGATCCATTGGCCTTTGCCGTTCTGAGTCTAGTCTCAAGCTTCTGTTCAGGTGATGCAGAGGAAGCAGAAGGGGAAAGAGAAAGAAAAAAAGAAGCCTTGGTAGCAGAGCCGGGTGGAAAGCCAACTCCGGAAAAGGAAGATGCTGAAATTCCACCGAATGCTGCGTCAACTTTGTGCGTGACAACCTGGGTATTGTTCAGTCGCTTTTAAACACCGATATGGATGGATTTTTGCCGGGCATGGTTTGTCATTTGCTGCAGCGTTACTACTTTTGGCGACTGGCTACGGTCAGGTCTGAATGGACTCCGTCTGGCAACTTCGTACTTACGGAAAAGGTAGGAGCATGATTGTTTGAAAATACTGTTTTGAACAAGGCGGAGTATACTATTGTAAAATTTCTTTTAGGGATGGAGTCGCCCGGTTGCGAGATGGTGGCATTCCTCCTAAGAAGGCGACTTCCCTTCAGCACGGAAAAAAACATTTAAAAGAAAAAAATCAATTCTAGACGCCAATTGTGCTTCTTTCTTCAACAGAATTGTCGACATCTTCTCGCCACTGTTGGATTGTCACCCTGGCGTGGCTGCTGATATCAAATAAGCGTCTCACAAAATACACGTGGCTCGGTATTTCGGTGAAGACTCCAATACGGCGACCGCTGTTCTGAAATGGTGCGTAATTATGGATATTTATTTATTTTATTTCCTTTCAGTTACCTATTGAACTAAGCAAATAATGGCTCATGCGCTACCCTAGGCATGACTACGTTCCATAACTTTTCCTGGCCGCTTTTGTGTATGTGTTTAGCGCAGGCAAGTTCGTTACGGAGGTTTTAATCCTTTTCGCATTTTAGATATCGATATTCGCTACATTGATTCTGACGGCTACGATTAGCTTGCAACTGTATCCGATCACACCGTTCTCGCCTGTGCGGCTGCAGTGGTTTCCTGGAGCCATGGAACGCGTGAAAGCTACCGTAGCCCTGTTGATAGATCTCACGGGAATCACGCTCTTGAATTACGGGATGGCGGGCTATAACTGGGCATTTTGGAAGACGTTTGCGGCACATGTTAGTTTTTTGGACGAGGTTATTCACAGAATAAATTCAGGCTTCGTTACGACGACTTGCGACCCAACTGCGGATGGTATTGGTATTTCTTTACCCAGGCATTTAATTAATTTACAGCAAAGACAGAAGTGGGTTCCATGGTTTTCGACCATTTCGGGCAGTTTTATATCTACGTCTTCCAAGCGAATACTATGCTGTACGTGCTGCCGTTGACACTATCTCTACGGTAGGCAATTAATAGGCGTGTTAGCTCATACCAATTGTTTAGTTCTGCGCCGAAATTGCATCTTAATTCTGTCGCTGTTTCTGGCTTTGGCAGTTCCCGCGCCCCCTTATCCGACACTGCGGAATGCAGCTGTTTATATGGCCCTACCCCGTTATTGCACCATCTGTTCCCAGAGTAAATTAGCGTCAATCGAAAAAAACGATATTTTTCAATATGGAAGAACTGTTTGCTTTCCATTGTCATTTGGTATAAAAATCAATTTGATAATTTTAGTGATGCGGGAAGCCCTTGCTATTTGAGGCTACTGTAGTCACCTTCCGTGTGGCCTTGATGCCAGTCATGTGGCATCTCTGGGCCGTCTCCGGTTCCGGAAATGCCAACTTCTATTTCGCGGTCACTCTGATCTACAACGGCCCAGGTAACGCTACAATAACGATGTCTCTATAAACCAGGTCTTCTCACTGACATGGGCGCATTTCCGGCTGCAAATAGACGGCCACTGTCCCCGAGACGATCAACGAAAAGACCATATTTATTAAGAACTGAATATTTAATGACACCAAAGCACTTAATTTTTAATGACACGGTTTCTTTGGGATGTAGCCTTCCAATATTGTCTCATTGCTGTTGCGAATTCTTTATGTCACCCTGCGCTTTTTTCCGTAATATAAAGCGAGTGGCAGGACATCCTTGGCCCCACTACAAC